ATCTTCCTTGGCTCGCTCCTCTTCAGATGCCAGATGGGCGGAAATCTGGAGGAAAAACAAACGGAACTCTGAATAATTCAACAGTTGAGAAATTGGATGAGCCTTGCCATGATAAATCAAGAAGGAAGTGACGTGGGGGAGCCACTGGTTAGACTATTTTTTAACAGTGATAAAAAATTGCGAAAGCGTTTGGGTCTCGGCGCGAAAATAATTAAAAAAGGGGAAATTACGCCCGATTATTTTTCAAAAAATGAGGTTTATTTTGCAGTGCGGGAATTTTTTTTAATTCCAGGATTCAAATAAGTACTATACCATGTCTTCAGTCAAAAGTTCCAAAAAAAAATTCAGTAAAACCCTTAGGCAATTAACGCAAAACTTCATTGTTAGGTCAGGAGAACAAAAATTTACCATCGACAGAACTCTTGAGATTCAAATGAAACACGTGAAGCATATTCAAATCGGATGATTTGATTAGTAAATTGACCTTGGAACAGAGAACTGATCAATGGGTGCGGAAATGTCAAGATTCATCAAAAGCGCAAAGAAAATACGGAAATATAAGTTCATAGGCGATATAAAAACATGGCCATAAAATTAGAGCTAAAACCGCAGGTAAAATACGGACTCATGAAGTTTTAACGATGGTATTTTTATTATTTTATAACGTTTTTCCAAATCTAAATCCCCCATTTCATCCACCAGACTGTCCGAAAACAAAGTCCGCGGATGCGTCCCGAATTTTACTCATCCGTGCATTTGGAAGACATTTCCAATTCCCCGAAGGCGGTTTTTGGAAGAATTTCCTCGCATTTTGTCCCCGCATTGGTTCAGAAAACAAAGAAAAAAATGTCTCCGGGAACATTACGAAAAAAGGGATTTTTGGAGCTATGACACATCTGAATATGGGAAAAGAATTTGGGTGGGAGAATTTGGAGAAGTAGATTTGTAGCCTGAGGGTGGTAAAGGTGACGTCATAATAGAGTTTTGCAATGAAGGAAAAAAAGGGTCGTGCTTGGATTTTAATGCAAGTTTTCGAAATAAATTATATAAAAGAGATTCTAAGAAAACATTTATTTAAAAAATGACGTCATTCATGCAACATCTTGTTCAACAATTTTTAGAAGTCATGTAATCATCTAATTCATCCCTAAAACTGCAGCAAAAGTACTCCAGACTCAGTAAAGACTTATTCGCTTACTGAAAAAATAGATGCCCTAAGGGAAGTTCTTCTGGCGAATCGGAGAAAAAAATTGAAACCCGTACTTGAGGCGAATAAATTTATCGAAAAAATTGGAAAATAGAGAAAACGGCGCCAAAACAACTTGCTATGGAGAACATAAAGGAAACGACGGTAAATTGCTAACTAGTAAGTAAATTACATTACTTGTTCTCCCAAAGTCATAAAATCTACCTCTTTTTTAGGCGGAACTAGGCTCAAAGTCCCCTTTTAAATTCTAATGACATCACGTTTAAACTTCAAAATCCTTACTACTCAAACAATTACCACGTCGCCTGTAACACAATAAGCTCGCTGAAACATCAGCCAAATTGCGTAAAACTTTTCTCAATTTTTTGGTTCATTTTGCTCGGATTTCAAGTCAATCCTCGACCTCTAAGACCTCCCGATCCGATTTGTTTGCAGAGTTTTAGACGTTATACTCCAGCCAGACACACCTCGGATTACAATTGTATTTTTGTTAGTAATTTGAGGAGGTCAAAAATCGGAAGATTCGAGATCAATGAGATAAATTCAGATCGTAGTAGAAAAAGTCATACAAATTTACAGTAGAACCCTCCAAAAACTCTTCAAAACATTTTAATTCGATTGTAGAACTATTGAAAAGTAACCATTTTACTATGTAAACAACCTCATGCAACTATTAAAAGCCATGAGACCATCAAAAACTGTCAAATAAAATAATATTTAGGGGAGTTTCAAAATCGAATTTGCGAAAAAAAAGACGTGGACAGCATTTATGGCTGTCTTTTTGATCTCTCTCTCCCTTTGGGGTCGCTCTGTGATAGATAATATCAAAAAACAGTTCACATTTGAGAGCGTCCCTTTTGATGGAATTATGATAATGGGGTTTCGAACGATGAGAAAAAATCTGGAAAGGAAAAGGTTTTGCAAAGACGAGGGTCATTTCATGGGTCAAAATATCATCTCCTAAAGCAGCTGTTGTCCAAATCATAGCAATGGTAGCTACATTTTTCCTAAAAATTTTTTATTTCTTGCAAAATGAAGACCAAAAATTTTGAATACGACGTAAAATTCTGGGCTAAAATTATGTTTTGCAAGCATTTTGAAAAAGATGAGTCGGACCAACACGCATTGGAACTGTGACAAACATCTGTCATTCACAGTTATTCAGGCTTTCTGAGACATAGCAAAAGCAAAAACATTCTTTTTTCGGATGAATCAATGCCAAATTTTAATACTATTTTGTTCAAAGACCAACAAAAAAAAATGTAAAATCAGTGAAACAAAGTAGATCGAGAATCATGACAATCGAGAATGAAACGCGATTAAAAAGATGGGGGGCTATCGATTTCTCTGCAAATTATCGACAGTTGATTAAACATTCATGTTAACAAAACTTTAATTGGTCGAATGGAAGGTTACAATGGGGTGAATTTCAACTTGGAATTAAGTTTTACCGGGTTTTTGTATAGTTTTATACAAAAAATTTAAAAAATTAAAATTTCCAAACTAAAAATTGTTTGGCTACTTACAAAATTCACCTATTTTTTAGCATAGAACTTACTGATAAGCCACTTCAATCGAAAAACAAATAAATTCCCCCTAAACAGTACGATTTAGTAGTATCGGAAAAGAAGAACCACTCCCTTTAATAGTAAAATCCCAAAAAAAGAACTGAAAAAAAAGAATGTCTTGGCCAAAAAGACGGCCAACCTTCCATTCTCATTGCCTTTGAGCGGGAAAAAACAGAAAAGGGAACTTCTATAGTCGAGTAGAGTTCGTATTTATTGTGTAGATGGATGGGACATACAAATTATTTCGTTTTTTTAAGGTTGGCATAAAAATTAAAAAATACAAATTAGGACAAACGTATTTTACAAAACATATTTTATTAGTAAGCAGACTCTTTGAATCAGCGAGTATTACTTCGAAAATACGCCTTATTTCAACATTATTTTACCACCAAAAATCTTTTAAATTTTTAAAGTTACAGACAACATAGCCTGTTTTACTACCCTAGAATCCCTCCTGAACGGCCTATTTGTGATATATTATCTTCTTATTTCCGTTCCCCACCCCCATTCGTTCCCAATCCACCTTCGCTTGACTGAATCTTAAGGCCACGACCTTTCTTTTCACCGCTTTCCTTTCCAAAAAACCTTCAAGAATTCTGATGTCTATCTTCCCCAAAAACTCTCCTTCCCAACTTTTTTGCATTTCTTGCTCCAAAATCGACGTCACATTTTTAACGGATTTTTGGGAAGGGCGTTCCAAAACGCGTTTATAAAAAAGGAAAACGAATATGGCCAAGAAAAGAGTAACGACAAAACATGCAGAATGTGCCGCGGAAAAAACGGTCGAGAATTTGATGGGTTAGGAAAACTCGAAAAAAATTGTAAGCCATAAATCGTTGAAAAAAACGTGATGACGATGGAAGCTTGTAGCGGAGGTGGAGACAGTAAAAAATTCTGAAACTTCGACTCACAGGGGCAGCCGATTCTTTTGGGAGATGCTATGGAAAATAAATGTCATCAGTCAAAAGTTACAGACGCAGTAGCTCTAATTGTAAGCAAGACTGATTCCTTTTTTTGACCGAATTTTGGCCAGCTTCAGATGTGACTTTTTGCTGACTCTGTGCAAACAAGATAACCCTTCAAAAATAAGCAAATGGAACTTGAGAACGCTCCGGGTTCTCCTAGAACCGCCAAGCAATAACAACTACTAAAAATAAGAGTTCAATTGCCGCTGAAAGGCCACCCAATCCTTGGAAAAACAAGGCCGGCTTCAGTTTGGCCGAAAACATCCACGAAAATATTATTTTAAAAATAAGACAAATTTAGAATAATTTTTCAAAGAATAGAGAAAAAATGTAATTAAAATTGTAACTGTAGCAGCTACAGATGAGATTATTAAAGATACCGATTCTGTGCTGCTCTTATCACATAAAGAACTCATCTTCACCTTCATAGGATAGCAAAATTAATACAATGCTATTAATAACCCGTGCAAAAACAGCTTTCACTCCACCAAACACCTCAAATGAAGAATCGTAATAATCGTGCAAAAACTCAGTGCCTGCGGGCATTTTTACTCAATAAAGTGAGAATCGACATGGGAACTTTTTTCGAGGAAAATTTATTATACAAGTTAACTTCTCCGAAATTTTTTAAAGTCAACCCGCCCCTTAGGCGCACATATTTCCCCTAAAAAATGCCTGGCCATAAAGAAGCAATATAAAACTTACTGCGACAAAAATTAAATTTTTAATCCTCTCGAAAACGGAAATATGAAATTCGGAAAGTCTTTTGGAACGACACTCGGATGATATATGAATGTAAACTTTCGGAGGACAAAAGATATCCGGAGGACGTTCGGCATTGTTCAAGAGGCCTGAAAATCCAATAAATGGTCTCAAAATACATGAAAGAAAAGGGCGGTGATGTCAGTTTTGAAAGTGTTGAGTTTTTTTTGTCAGGTACAAAAGCCGAAAAAGAAAAAAATAGCAACATACCCAATTGCAACCTGTCAGTATGATTGATTGAACATTATGGAACCGTAGAATTCTTTTTATTACATGACTAGTCATCAAAATTACATAAGAGTTTATACAATTACGTAAGACAATATCTGATATGTGTACACCTTTGGCAAGAATTAAAAACACTATATGACAAGACGATGGTTCTCAGGCACTGATTGAATAGGCAGTTTTTACAATTTAGACCGTAGTAAAGTTAAAAAAAAACATACTAACAATGAGAAAAATAAAAAAACAAAAAAATTTGTGTATATGTTACAGCTACACCAAAGTGTCATTCTTCCGTTTGGCAGTAGTCCCATACCCCGGAGGCTGCGCTTCCTCATTTATCGTCTCTGTTGACGTATGTTCAGGTACCCTCCGTGTCGCTGTTCGTCCCCTCCGTTTGCGGAACTTCAGTTTAATGGGCTGTTTTTTGTACTCTCTTCGAGTTCGCAACATACAGAACAGTAAGATGGATAAAAGTAGGAGCACTAGGATGAGGAGGGACATAAATAAAAGAACTGGCTGATAGAAAGCGTTGGTGGTGATGGCCATGTTCTTGGTGATGGTCTCCACATCGCCGACGATCTTGGCAACGTTCCTGATCGCCTAAAAAGGAATTAATGATGCTGGGCAACGATGATAATTTGGCCAATTTAGGAACTTATTTTTAAAGGCTGTTGCCATCGACTTACCCCATCAATACTCTCATTCATGTGCAGGTTCACAGCATTCGAGACGATTTCAATTTCCTCCCGCACTGCTTTGATAAGTGTGACAGTCTCCTTCATAATATCGTCCACATTCAACTGCACTTGTAGCACCGGTTTCTGGTCCCCCATCTTGACTGAAAATCCATGATTTATTTTTTTTCAAAGAAAGCAAAGTTTTGTGGTCCGAAAATGCAAAAAATAATCTTTATAAAAGAAAGTGAAGATCTAAAATAACGCAGCCCAGGTATTTCACCTGTCAATTAGATATTACACCAGGATCGCCGGCCAATTCCTTTCGGCACTTTGACAGATCTTTACGACGCCCGGCTAGGCCCAAAGGAAAATAAAATAATTATCCGAGAAGACGATGACATTTGTTTCAAACGAACAGCGGAATTATCGAATATGAGAATTGATCATAATCAATCATTAAGTGCGGAGATAACGAAGATTTGACGTGCGAATATTAGAGACGCTTATTGAGAATAGTAGTGCTGATTATCAGAAAGAGTTTTTATTAAAGTAATAAAATTAACACATGGTGGAGATGAAGGGAGAAATAGAAGCATGGATAAAAAAACTAGTACAGGAACTCGTAAACCCAGCAAAAGCTAAGAAAATCTAATTAGGCTTATGTATTCAAATGAAAAGTTCCCGAGATACGATGAATAGATTTTTATGCAACTTGGCAAAAATGCAGGTTAAGATTCTGTGCAACACATCGCAGACTTTCAGATATTGTGTTGCAGAAGATGAGCAAGGTTTTTTGATCAAAATTTACCAAAAAAATCTCGATTTTTGTGCTCCGCAAAATGAAAAATTAACAGCTGTTTGACATTTTGATGACATTTTTCAGCAAATAGCAATTTTCTCGTTGCAAGGCGGAAGTTAAAATCTTCAAAAATTAAAATGTGGGTTTGAAAAAACAATCGTGATACGAGGTTGCACAAAATAAAAATTACCCCCTTCCCGAAATATTACTATCCCACAAAATTATTCAATATTATCCAGCCCCTAATAATTCCATCAAAAACCTCCTCTCCTGCCAAATTTCAGCCCAACATCTTACTATTTTATGATCGCCTTGAATGGTCATTCCAAAATTTGGAATTCAAATCAGTGAAGAAGGGGGTCAAAAGAGGCCCCAAATGTGATGGGGGAGGGAAAAGCCCTGAGGTCATTTCGAGGATGCGATCCGAAAGGCCGGGGACTCGAGATTGATCTGCCGGAAAATAAAGGAAGAACAATATTTGGGGCCAAATAAATAACTTATTCCAGGGGGATAAATGTTATCAGTCTGGCCGAAAAAGAATTTCACCCCCCTCCGCACAAAAATCGCAACCCGAAAATCCAAACCTGCGCGCGACATCGGAGATTTTCCGCGACGAAAGGGAAAAATCGCTAAAATTTGGTGAATGCACAGTGCAAATGAACGAAAACAACGGTTTGCACTGTGCAAAACAGGCCCGAAACCTCAATTTGGGGCCTGCGACACGTCGCTTTCTTCGTTTTTTCGGCGACATGCCCCAATTTTCTCCGCGATGCAAATTGGGGTTTGGAGTGCGTGCGACGGAGGGGTTCGGGGTGCGAAATTCTTTTTCGGCCAGACTGATATGAGAGTAGGAGAAAAATATTGCCGCTTGGAGAATTAGGGAATTTTTGAATGTAAAATACGATCTCCATTGGCTAAGTTTTCATATCTCATATCAGTTTGATAGCAGTGTCATGAAAGTTCAATATCAAAATTGGGTTGTTACTGATAAAAGCGACTGACATGTTTTATAGTACTCACTTCTACTCTGTGTCACGGAAAAAAACACTTCCTTTCAATTTCAATCCGAATCTTTCACAGTGTTAATAAAAGCGAGCCTAGTATAATATAAAGTTCTCACGTTTGCCAAGCGGATTGATAAAGGTTTAGAATTTTGACAGCTCTCTGCCTAAAAAAACCTCTGCTTTATAAAAGAACAGTTGGTCGAAACGTTGGACAATCAAGCGAAGATTTATGACATTCCAATTCCAAGCTTATTAGTGCAGGATGACATCAAGAAAAAGAACTTGAGGGGAAATTGAGGTGATTTGTATCATGGGGTTTTTGTTTTTACAGTAGGGAGTTAAACGGTCTAAATTCGGATAAAATAGTAAGTTAATACCTCCGACTCAAACCTACGGCCAAGAAAGAGTAACAAAAGTATTTTCTTCAGCGTTCTTGACTCATTTTATAACGATCTCTGCGAACGAAAAAGCGGTGATTTCACAAATGATTCAATTAGATCTCTTGCAAAAAAAGGTTGAGGATCTTCATTTATTACATGAAAAACAGTTGAATAATGTTGCTAAGCGCTAATTACCAGTATCAAGAGGTTTTTGTAAAACAAAGTGAGTTATGAAGGCTTGTTAGTAATTAGTCACCGCCAAGCCAGTACAATGTAAAAATAAGTCAAAAGAAATAAAAATTAAAAGTTAGCTTTAGGTAGAACACAGAGATTCTTATACAGCTACTAGTTGCTTTTTAGACCCTTAGGCCAACTTACGGGAACAGAACGGCTATTCCTTTTGTGACTCAAAGGTTACAAATCCCCCTTCTTTGGACCTCTTTTTGACTTGCAAACGGGTAGAAAAGCTCTCCAAAGTGAGAAGATAGTATAATATTTTACGGATAGTCAGTCATCTATCTATCTTGATATTTAGAAATCAACCGAGCAATATTATCCATTGCTGATGACAAAACAAAGAAAAAATAAACGTCGTATTCAAAAAATAAATCTCTAAACGTATGCCCAAACTTCTCAAATTACAACACCCTTGTTCTTAGAGAAGTAATAAAGGCATAATTGATGTTATCTTACCCCTGGCTTCGTAACTCCAATTATTTCCCATTGCATTGCAAGCCCAAACCAGCGATTTATATAGGCCACAGAATTGATTCTTCTGCTGCCAAGAACTTCGTGATAAGAACTCGCTGACTCAGAGTGAATCCTTTTGTTCTCAAAACATTTCTCGTAGAATCTTTGAGAAATTTTCATGTTGATATTGTCGTATGTATCATGCCCATAAGCTGATCATTTATGGGAAATTTTAATTCCTTTCATCAGGCCAATATTAGAAACAATGACCATTTTTGAAAATTCAATGCATTTTTAACTCGTTGACCTCACAAGGGAAGTCACTTTTTTCGCAGATCGATCCATACTGGTGACCTAGTGGACAGTGAAGGCCTCAGGCTGTGTAAGAAGAATCTGGCGTCCAAAAGTGTTTACGGGCCCTGAGGGCAGAGTTATGGCTCATCAAAGTTCGCGCAAAAAAGGTTCCGAAAAGACCCTCCAAAAAAACGTGATCGGAGATGTGAGCTTCGGTAGCAGAGTGGTTCGCAGATTTTTCTTTTGTCTGGAAGGGCCAGGGTTCGATTCCTCTTCCCGGCAATAACTAAAAACAATATTGTAAGAGTAGCGTAAGTTACAAAAAAAATGTTTTGAAATATTTTTTGAAAAATTTTATTATCCTGTCGTTAAAAAAATGACGATTTTGTTCATATCGTCCCTAAATTTATCATCTGCCCAGACAGCAAGCGTTTGACTCAAACGCTTCAGCATGATATCACGATCACCAAGGACGTCTTATAAAACATCAGAGATATACATATTGAGAATCCCAGTCCTACCTTTACGCCAAGGTTCCCGCAGTTTTCTCCAATGATACGGCGTCTTAATCCACCGTAGTCGCCGCATTATTCCAGAAATTGAATGCGATCCTCGGTGGAAAAATGCCCTCGCATCCCTCACTGTGTCCAAGCTCACAACGACTTCCCCAAGTTTTAACGACAGGATAATAACATTTTTCAAAAAATATTGCAAAACAATTTTTTTGTAACTTACGCTACTCTTACAATATTGTTTTTAGTTATTGCCGGGAAGAGGAATCGAACCCTGGCCCTTCCAGACAAAAGAAAAATCTGCGAACCACTCTGCTACCGAAGCTCACTTCTCCGATCACGTTTTTTTGGAGGGTCTTTTCGGAACCCTTTTTGCGCGAACTTTGATGAGCCATAACTCTGCCCTCAGGGCCCGTAAACACTTTTGGACGCCAGATTCTTCTTACATAGCCTGAGGCCTTCACAGTCCACTAGGTCACCAGTATGGATCGATCTGCGAAAAAAGTGACTTCCCTTGTCAGTTTTTTACGGTGACAAAATATTATTATCTCCCTACGAGCTGTGCCAATTTTAAAAAATTGAGTTTTGCCAGTAAAATAATGAAAAGACGAGCTTGAATGAGATATTACGCCTTTGAACTGCCATACCATTCTTCTTTATTTGTAGATTTTGAGCTTTTGACACCCGCGCCTAACACCCCTCCTCCCCCCACGTCCCACCACGAAAACGACCGTAGTTCAAAAAATTTCCATTTCTTGCAGCTGCACGAATTCTTTCTTCACCTCTCGATTTCCCCGCTATTTTTTCGTGAAATTCGAGCGTACTTCGATCCCCGAGCCGATAGACGCTCACCCCGACCTTATTTTAGACAGAAAAGATTTGTTTCCACCGGGATTTTTGTCGAATAATATTGGTTTAGAGGATTCGTTGTATAATTTGGTCCATTTTCAGTGTTTTGCTTCCCCTCTCGACTGCCAAGCCGTCCGAGGGTCAAACAAAAGCGAAACGAACGGAATTTGGGTTCAAAAGCGCTAGAGAACTTTGAGGTGAGTCTTTTTGACTTTTTCTTTGGTCTGATTTAGGGACGTCTGCAGGAAATGATGGCTGGGGTTGTGAAATGATCTCGTAGGGTAGAGACTTGGGCGGGACGAATTGATAGGCTAGTTTCAGGCACTTTCTTTATCAGGAATGGTAGTTTTTTAGGTTCGCCAAGATCATTGTTTAATCTATGAGGAATAAATTATAAAAAACTTGATCGTGCAAGTTTTCGCACGGTTTCGGTTTGATTGCAAATGTCGTTTGTCATGAAGTTTGAAACCTTTGCTTGTGGATAATATTTGTTTTTAATTGCATTTTTTTATTCAAATTTCTTCAAAGTTCCCACGTTTTCGAATAATTTGCATAAGAAATGCGACTAGTATAAATTCAGCGCCTCCAAATTGATTTACTTTCAATTACTCCTCTCGTTTTGTTGTGGTAAAGTGTTCGCCACGACATCGTTCCACTGCCTTCGGCTGTCATTTCTTCTCGACAAATCCCTTCTGGTCAGTTTGTCTGTTGGACAAGAAGGGTTTTTTCCTAGACTTTGTCCATGCTTTTTATGGGTTATTTTAATGTTCTTCCTGTCTCAATCAAATCGCGACTAACTTCGAAAACTAGTGTCTTTTCGCATGCGCAAGTGAATGTCGATGATTTCATTTAGACAGTGGGATCCCTAGCCTTGCTCATAAATGCTGACCACCGGATTTAGGCGTCAGATCCTTCTGCAGTTCCGTCGGTATTGCTCCACTTCAGCTGCTGGAGAAGAGAGACAACCAACTCGACAAGAAAGATTCGAAGCTCCCAAGGACGTCAAACCTTTGCAACGAACAGCCCTCGGCGATCAGAAGACTTTCTATTTGAGGTATCAAAAGCACAAAATGAGATCATCCGGAGATAACACCTTGTAAGTTTGTTGAGAATGTTTTGTTGAGTTTTAGGGCAGTTCGGCTAATTGGGGGTTAGCGTTTTCAATCCACGACTGCTTGCCTTTTTGTGGCTTGTGGTTACTTTCACGGCGCTGAAAGAAACGTCATTTGCAACTTAGACATTCTTTTCGATATTACGGTTTATTACTGATAATGACAACATTGTTTTCTCAATTGAAAATATCAATTTGAATGTATATTTGAAGTGGAGTACAGGCTTAGCCATTTTTATTTTCAATTGTTTCAGTGGAGCTTATAACAAAGGATTCGGCAGCTACAGCAATACCTACTCGGGTCCTGGAAATTATGGAGGAGCTGCTGGTGGTGGTGGAGGATTCGGTGTCAGCAACTACGGCGGAGCCCCGCGTGGTTTTGGATCTGGTGGATTCCCTGGAGGCAACTTGAGAGATGTCAGTTACAACACCCAGGAATTGGCGCCGATTCAGAAGAACTTTTATCGTGAAAATCCCAGAGTGACTGAGAGATCGGCAGATGAACTTCAAAGGTGGATTGAGGAAAACCAGGTAAGAGATTACGAAGAATTTGCGAAGTTGGTGGATTTTTGAATACATCTTTGGTGTTTTAGGTCACCTTGTCCGGGAGTTCGATCCCTCGTCCAGTTTTCAACTTCGATGAGGCTGGATTCAACCCTGAAATCGAGAGGGGTTTGTATCAGCATTACCAGACCCCCACTGTTATCCAGTCCATTTCTTGGCCTGTTGCCATGTCTGGCCGTGATATTGTGTCGATCGCCAAAACTGGAAGTGGAAAGACTCTTGGTGTAAGTATCTGCCCTATTATTCGTTCTTTTCTTATTTAGACGATCTAAGATTGCTTGTTTTAGTTCCTTCTCCCGGCCATCATGCACATCCTCAGACAGGAACGCCGCGGACCTCGAGGAGGCCCCGGAGCGCTTGTGATGCTCCCTACCAGAGAATTAGCTCAACAAGTGGAGGAAGTAGCTCGTGTCTACTGTCCTATCATGGGCTTGGAAGCGACTTGTCTATTCGGTGGAGCACCAAAAGGCGGACAACAGAATGATCTGCGAAGAGGAGTGGACATTGTTATTGCCACTCCTGGACGTCTCCTCGATTTCCTAGAAAGTGGAGTCACCAACATGAACAGATGCACTTTCCTTGTCTTGGATGAAGCTGATCGTATGTTGGACATGGGTTTCGAACCCCAGATCAGAAAGATTGTTGGCCAGATTCGCCCCGACCGTCAAACTCTGATGTTCTCAGCCACTTGGCCGAAGGAGGTCCGATCTCTGGCTTCTGATTTCCAAACCCAACCGGTCTTCTTGAACGTTGGATCTCTAGAATTGAGTGCCAATCATAATATCACTCAATATGTCGAAGTCATTCATGAGCATGCTAAACCAAGGAGATTGTTTGAGGTTTTGACTAGAATTGCTCAGGAAGTAGGTTTTTTAATGAAGTATTTTTTGAGGATTTCTTGACCTATTAATGTTATTTCTGTTGTAGGAGCAAAACAAAACTCTGATCTTTGTCCAGACCAAGAGAAAGGCCGATGAATTGACCAGTGCCATGCGCAGAGACGGCTGGCCCGCCCTTTGCATTCATGGTGACAAGTCCCAGGGAGAAAGAGACTGGGTCATGAATGAGTTCAAGTCTGGCTCAGCTCCCATTTTGCTGGCCACCGATGTTGCCTCCAGAGGTCTTGATGTGAGCGACATCAAGTTTGTCATCAACTATGACTACCCCAACAACTCGGAGGATTACGTTCACAGAATTGGCCGTACCGGAAGAAGGGACAACACCGGAACTGCTTACACTTTCTTCACTATGAACGATGCGGCCAAGGCCAGAGATCTGATCAAGGTTTTGGAAGAGGCCAGCCAAGTTGTTCCCGACGATCTGAGGAACCTTCAAGGAAGCGGCGGATTCTCGTCTGGAGGCTATGGACGTCGTCCCGGGGCTCCATCTGGTGGATATGGAGGAAACAGAGGTTACGGTGGTGGTTATGGAGGTCGCTACTAGACTCAAAGGATCTAGCATCTCGCCTTAATTTTGCTTTGTTAGCGATTTATCTCTCCGTTCTATGTTATTGATGAATTATTTTTATATGTTTTATGATACTCGGTTTTGTCTTCATGTTTTTTGGTCCTCGAAATGTTCTCATATCTATAGTGGAGGGTCATATATCCTTTCATTTATATATGTTGTCTTACGCTACGATGTGGAAACAATTTTTGAGGTTATATAGCTGGTGATCTCCGAAAGGGAGCCAATTTCAATGTTTGGAAGGCCTCTTTTCCTAGGTTTCGGTCTCTTTTCGTCCATATTTTACTGACTGTTATCTGTAATATACCTCCCCTCACTCTTCAACGTATGTACCCCAGCTTTTCTCTTTTGTAATTCAATTACAACGGCCTCTGGTTATATCGTTCCCAGTCTAAATCGAATTTTTCTTCACTGGGCCATGATTAGAGGCTTTACTTAATACGAATACTCTTAGCGTTATATCCACACGGGTCTCCATTTCCATGGTCTTTATGTCCTCAGACCTTTGCGGGTATACCTTCTTAATGTACATACTTGTTGATTTTCTTTCTTATCTCTGGGGAGATCACTGCGGGTTTTGAAAATATATTCTGGTAAATTGTAATTTCCCCCCCACTCAAAACCCTCAGGAATCTTGGTTTTTATTACAGTCGGTGAGATGTTATATTGTTGAATAAAGCTGAGCTGTCGCTAATGAAAGAGCTGATATGAATTTGTTTGAAAATTGTTTTGGTTTTCTCCCTGATTTATCTTGATTTCTGTGATCTGTTTTATCCCTGGCGTAAGCGGGATATCCTCATAGACCTCTGGCGGGAACAGTTGTTCCTCTTCACACAGGTGGTTGACCTGTTGGTTTAAAGTTTTGGACCAAATAAACAGCAAAAATAATGTGAAACTAGGGAAAGAGGGGGTTTGGGAACCTGGTTTCGGGTGACAACTGACCCAGAAGCATTAGAAATGGATAATTTTAGAAAGAAGTATTGTTATAGTAATTAAAAAGGACTTTACGATGATTAGAAATCTATCGGTCTGGAAGTTATGTCATTCTTAATGTAGTCTGCTTCCAAGAACTAGTTGAATCAAGGGTTTATTACCTCAAAAGTACAACAAAAAAAGAGGAGACACAAAGAGCTGAGCGGGTTCTACGAACCAATCTCTGACAACACTAGCTAAACCTTTGGAGTCATCATTTATTACATTCATCGAATCGCCAGGACTTTCTTCTTAAGAAAATAATCAAAGAAATGCGCGCAAAAAGCATACAATCGGATGTAAGAGAGAGATGAAGAATGAAAGAAAGAAGTCCACCTTCTACCACATTCTTCGCACATACTCTCCACGCACATCACGCGGGGTTCCGAACGAGGTCATACCGGTCTGGTTGGCGAAGTTGTCCTCCTGGCCCGACCAGAATGGCACCTCAGGTCGACGAGCGATGTCGGCGGGCAGATCTTCGTGCGTGTCGTCCACGAACACGGTGAATGTGCGACGCGGCATACCGAAGGCGGTCTTTCCGGCCTGGGAATCGAGGAAGTTGACACCCATCTGGTAGGGGATCATTCCCTGGGAACGTTGGTCTTGGTTCTGGAGGAGGAAGATTGTGTTATTACGGAAGGCACCGAATCCGGTCATACCAGCCTGAGAGGCACCTGGAAAAGGGTTTCGTTGATTTGGGATAGATAGATGGAATTGATTTTTTCTGGAATTTTGCCGTATCTTTCTTCTTTAGTGGATAGTTTTGACTGCTCTATTGAATTCCGCTGTTAGTAATGATTGTCATAAGCTTTGAAATACCCAATTAGACAAAAAATGGCCGGGTTCTAGGGAGAGAAATGTCAGAAATCACGAAAATGGATTCTTTTTTTTTATTTTTGCATTGCAATCGCCTAAATTTTCTCATCCAAATCCTCAACTTACCCTCTCTCCATCCGGAAGTCTGTCTGGAGGTGGTCGATTCGTCGTGAGGCATCTCTCCGCGCACCTCATCCTTGTACTTGGTGATGTTGTGACGGGGCATACCAAAACCGGTCATTCCGGACTGGTTGGCGAAACGGTTGGTTCCCATTTGCAGATGGATGAAGCCCTGCGAGTCACGGTTCTGCTCGTCGGTCTTTCGCACGTCGACAATACGTGGCATACCAATACCGGTCATACCGGCCTGCGAGGCCAACTTGTTGGTACCCGACTGGAGGGGAACAATACCGTCGGTGAGACGGGCCTTCTCTTCGGGGACCTCGCCGGCACCGCCAGTACCCTTTGGTTTGTAGTTTACATCACGAGGAGCACCAAATCCTAAAATACGAAAGTTTATTCTGGGATTCTCGGTTATTTTGGTTGGAAATGGGAAGTGTGAAGTTGGTTTCGATAGATACCACAACGATTTCAAGGATCTAATGTCGCTTTAAATATTAGAAAGGACTTACCGGTCTGTCCTTTTTGTGAAGCGAACTTGTTGGTACCGGACTGCAGCCAGGTGGAGGTCTTCAAAGCGGCGACCTTGGCTTCGTCGGTGATTTCGGCCAAATTGTCGGCCTTGATCTTGTCGATGACGTCACGAGGGGCACCAAATCCTAAAATTTGAAGTCAGTATTGCTGTAGTGAACAGAAATTGACATTATTAATTTCCTCGTATAGGTAAAAAAATGGGAAATCGAAGAAATTGAAAATTGCCATTGAAAATATCAAGAATTCATACAATTGGGACCTATTAATCTGCCAATTAGACTTACCGGTCATTCCCTTTTGAGAGGCGTATTTGTTGGAACCGGCCTGGATTGGGATGATTCCCTCAGATTTCATCAACTTGGCCTTGTCGAATTTGGATGGTTTGCCACCGGAGTACAGCTCCTGACGGCGTTGCACCGACTTGGGGATGGATGGGACATAGTTGATCTGGGAATTTGGAGTAGGGCTCTTAAGGCCAGCTCCAACTCCGGGCGATTTCAACTCATCCTTGGGGGATTCGGGCTTGACTGTCTCGACGGGAGCAGCAGCGGCTCCGCCGTTGGCCTGAAATAAAGACATCATAATGAATTGGAGTGGCAAGAGCTGTTGGCCGTTGGTAACCATTTATGATTTCCTTATCGCCCAATAATACGAATTTCTCAAGTATTTGAATTTTGACGGAAATGGGAAAACCAACTATTCAAACTTTGTCAAATTGCAAAGCTATGATGAATTTCGATTAAATGGTTATTACCTTAGGCTCTTCGGCGACTGGAGCGGGAGCAGCGGGCTTGGGCTCCTCCTTCTTGACGGGTTCTGGGGCCTCGGATTCTTCCTCCTCTTCCTCGTCTTCCCACTCCTCCTCGTCTTCAGCAATCTCGTCCTCGACGCGTGACATGCTTGTTGTTCAGGTTTTGGGCAAACAGGGATTAACCTGAAGAAATTTTTATTGGAAAATGCTGGGAGTTTTACTAATGACTGGCTGTATGGCGCGAAACAAAACAGTAAATTTGATGTGTATAAAATGAGGAAAATAGAAAATTGATAAATGAGGACGATCATTTTTTATTGCAATACGGTAGTTGTGTCGGGGTGTTCAAAAAATTCGACAGACGTTCTAAACAGGGTCAGGGTTTTGAAACACTTCAATACGTATTCTCCAAATTTGAGAGCCTCGACTTGATCCTTGTTAAATAACCCTCAGAAAACCTCAGCTTTACCTAAAACCTCCGTAAAAAATCCCAAATCTCCACCCTCTGAGATCATGGAAGGCTCAAGTTAGCCTCCAAAAATTTGCATACTTAGGTCCCCTTTGTTTTACAAGGCTGGCCCTAATAAAACTCGAATTTAACCCTTCGAGGGCATTTGGCCCTCCCTTTTCGACCCACGCGTTTTGGGCAAATCAACGAAAAAAGCGAAAAATCGGCCCGACGGCCAAGACAGTTGGAAGCAAAGTGCATTCGAGTTGAAGAGAGTGGGGAGAGGGGCAACTGATTTGAAATAAAAGGGAGAGAGTTACGGATTTTAAGAGATCCGCAGAGAAATAATTGATGGATAGGCAAACGAAACAAGCGGATCAAAGAGGGTGTTAGGGAAGAAAAGGGGGATCCCTGGAGGGCATAAAGTGACTGGTTGGAGATCGGCAAGACATCAGCTAGATGTTGGCCAGACACTCCGAGATCCGGCGACATTTCTCGGCCCCAAACGAAGACTCAGACCATGTGGTGTAATATGGATAAAGGAGCGGCGAGAAATCGGGCAGAGATGGCGAGTCAAGCGGCCCGCGACGTCGGACGTGGCCGCTGATCCGGGGCTCAGACGAAAGCCGCCCCAGGGCATAACCAGAAACGCCCCCACAATGGCTGCAGCGCCCTCCATTTTGCCGGAGGGAACGGTCCATGAAAACAGGAGGAGGGCGATTGGAATGCACATGTCTGTGCACGAAAAAACATTGACAAAACTGACATCGGGGAAAGACGGATCCGGATGAATGATGGGGAAAGTTCCATGAAAATCGGGAGTCAAGCCGTTTGATGGGTAAAATAAGGTCCTAGATCTTTGATTTCCAGGGTAAAACTGGAAATTTTCGTTAATTAGTACTCTAATTTATCCAAACAACGCTTCGGGACAGCGATGGTTTATAATCGCATTAATTTTTTGAGGAAGATCACAAAAATCATCCTTATGGACGGCAACGAATACAAAATTTGATGATTTTTTTTGACAAAAATGTGTATTCAAACGTTAATCTTTGATAAATACAAGCCTTCAGTCTCCAGTACAACTCTTTTAAACCTTCCAAAAAAAGGCTTAGATGACAATAAAATCTGGAACTAAGGTGTGTTTTGCTGCGAAAAGTTACAGTAAAAAAACAGTTCCAAAAACAGTAATAAAACAAGAGGAATGCGAAAAATATGAGCTCAGACATGACTAATATCAAAAGAAAGCAGGACTAACAATATAGTTTTGAAGAAAAAATGAGGATGGTTATTACAAAGATTGGGGAAACAGGAGTTGAATTTTTTTGTATAACATAGATTTCAGTAATCCATTTCGGGGTATTTACAGAGGTTAATTATTCCCTGATATAGGTAAATTTTATAATGGATAATGCCATTTTTAGTGGAAGTATAAATTTGGTAGTTAGTATGCTTAACAAATGCCTTTTTTGGATATAAAACTGTCTAAAAATTACTGTGACACCTACGGGCTCCTCAAAAATACCCCGAATTCCATGATTCACAATTTTGGAAAGGTTACAGTAATCCTCCTTCCAATTCCCCTTAAAACAACAGGCCATGGAGTCCAGTAAGCCTTTCTGAATCTCGCAGATCAATTCCGAACTTCCCTCGGTGCATTAAACTCGCGAAACCTGTCGCAAAACGGTTTATTAATTCGGGAATAACCCGCAAATGCCCTGAGGGCGAGAAGTCTTTGATCCGGAATAAAAATCGGAACAGATGCCCTGGGGCCCTTCCGCCTCCACTTTGGGACCGAAAAAAGTTCGTTTGGAATCAGAGAGTAAAAAGAAGCGGAGGGACACGCCTTGACGGCATCCGAGCCTGATTAAAATGATGTGAATCAATTTGGAAAAGTTAATGAAAAATGGATTTTTTGTAAAAAGTTAGTTAGGCCACCACACAATTGACGTGCTTTACAAAATCTGCGCTAGAAACGTGCGATTTTTTTACCGAAAAATGATAAAATGTTATAGTAAGTATTTATTTTTTCGTATTTTACCTTCCTTTTCAAACAAGGTATTCATCAAAGTCTCCGGAAAATTCCAATCAAAAAATCTTTATTTTAACATAGTTAACAACAAAAAATCAACAATAACATCGTACTTTCGGTCAAACTTCCGTCTGCTTCAAATTTACAACAAAAAAGCTTCATAAGCCATCGAAAAAGTCGGGATCCACCTTATTGGCCGGTTGATTCTTCTTTTCATCGATGGCTTTGACAAAGTCCGTAGCTGAAATCATCGACAAATCAACGTGGAGTCCATTTTCCAGGGCCACAAAGAGACTTCCACCGGGTTGGGCGACGGAAATGTCGTGAATGTCGCGACGATCGCTGACTTGGCAACGAATTTGGCGGGTGTCGCGGTCGATCACTCTGGAATCGCGGGATGTAAAGGTTTTTCGATGTAAATTTTTTTATTATTGTCTAAAAAAGGTATTAGTAGCTTACACAATGTCTTGGCCAATAAAAGGTTTTGCCAGGACGAGATCATCGTTCAGAATTTGAATTTTTTCCACCAGGAATTGGGTCCGTTTTATCGCGGTTTTCACAAATCCCTCTTTCATGTCGATCCAATGGAAATCGTTCTTGTCCGTCGTTACTAGGACCAATCTGAAAATTGCAATTAAAGTTTTCTCATTTTCTTCTTTTCCGCACAGTGCGAAATAAAAAAAATTCTCAAGAACTCTGGATACAACAATTTTGGGCCCGCAAAAAGTGAGCTATAAAATACGTCAAAATGGGACGACAACATATAGAGTCAGCTTACTCCTCATCCATCGCGATGGAAGTGAAAAATTTGTTTTCGAATTCCAATTTCCGGCTGAATTTTCGCTTCCTCAGGTCATACGCCGCGACCACTCCATTCTCAGTAATCGAATATAAGGTCATGTCTTTAACAGCCATCCCTTTGATTTCATTCTTCTCTGACTGGGTCTCCAAGGTGTGTACCGTACTTGTGGGGCGTTCGCGAGTGTCCAAAAGGTGGATCTGAAACAGTAAGGGGCAATAAAATTAGAATTGGGAAAAAACATTACACTACAGGGTGTTTCAAGAAATTTGGAACAAATGACTTGCTTATATCTTTTTGTTCTTTGCAGCTATCAACGAATTTCTTTTTGTTTCTAAAAATTGACAGCGTGCGTTTTTAGAATCTCAAAAAAAATTTTTTTTCGTCGGCGGAGGGCCCATTTCTCGGCGGAGAAAATTAGGGCCTTTTTTAAAAATCACAGCGTATTACGTGGCGGAAACGCCGTTGCAACGGCTGAAATCAAGTTTACGTAATATCTCCATCGATTTTACGGTATGCTTTTTTTGCGTTTTCGATTTTACGCACTTCCGCGGATGCGCGGCGGAGACCTCAGATTTCGGCGGACGTCGTTTTGGGCCTTTGGTTTTTGCAATTCATGTTGGAAAAGGAGGTTTGGGTGATTTTTTGTTGTCATCCGATGCACAGATGGCAAAAATTTCGTGCTTTTTATCCCCGGCGGAGGAGTCGGCGGAGGCTTTATCAAAGGGTAAAAACAAAACTCCGCCGATTTGTCCGCCGGACCAAAAAAATCAAAAATCTTTGAAAGACAATGTTGGTCTGATGGATTCTCGTAGCTGAGATTTTTCCCGGACTCGTAAGGCTGCTTTGACCCTTTGATAAAGCCTCCGCCGAATCCTCCGCCGGGGAAAAAAAGCACGAAATTTTTGTCATCTGTGCATCGGATGACAACAAAAAATCACCCCAACCTCTTTTCCAACATGAATTGCAACAGCCGAAGGCCCAAAACAACGTCCGCCGAAATCTGAAGTCTCCGCCGCGCCTTCGCGGTGCGCGTAAAATCGAAAACAAAAAAATGCATACCGTAAAATCGACGGAGGTGTAACGTAAACTTGATTTCAGCCGTTGCAACGGCGTTTCCGCCACGTAATACGCTGTGATTTTTAAAAAAGGCCCTAATTTTCTCCGCCGAGAAATGGGCCCTCCGCCGACAAAAAAAATTTTTTTTTAAGATTCTAAAAACGCACGCTGTCAATTTTTAGAAGCAAAAAGAAATTCGTTGATAGCTGCAAAGAACAAAAAGATCTAAGCAAGTCATTTGTTCCAAATTTCTTGAAACACCCTGTAGATCCTTCAAAAATCATCCCCAAAAGTCACTCGTTTGCTTACCTCTCCATCCTCATCAGCGACGATTAATGTGAACGGATTCTCTCCTTTGCCGAAGGGTATCACTTCCGTTGGTGGGATGTCAAATATTTGTTCGGATATCCCCGATAATCTTTCGGTATCCAAGGTAAATAGGGTCGAAGAAGTTAGGCAATGAAGATTATCAGCGGTGGATCCAAAAGTAAATGCCCCTATTTGGTCAAGGAGGTCGTTTCGTATCGTTGAACCGGCTGGAAGGAAAAGTTTCGGGGATATTTGCGAATTTTTTGAGAGAAAAAATAAAGAAAACACAAAGGAAAAATAAGAAAGTGGTCCAAGATAGTTGGTCACAAAAAATTTTCCACTTCAATTCATCCGTATTTTATAAATTTTTAAAATCGAGAGCCAGTTTTAGAAGGCAATCTCTCCAAAAACGCGAGTTCGAAAAAAACTACTCCGAACGAAAAGGAAAGAAACGAAAAGCGCAGCCGTGATCTCGTGGTGTAGTGGTTATCACATCTGTCTAACACACAGAAGGCCGGCGGTTCGAGCCCGCCCGAGATCAAAATTCTTTTTTGCGTTCGTTTGGACGGATTTTAATCGGAATTTTTGGGGAAAAGAGATAAATATGGACCGGAAATTTTATACTAATCGTTTCATTTTGTATTTGCATATAGTAAAATGCAGAAAAACCAAGGTCAAAATGAAATTCTAGCTCCAAAAAAGAAAATTTCAGATTTTTGGACTCAAAATTGAATTTTTTTACTACAAATGATACACAGATGAATGACATACCATTCTTATTGCCATTATGAACTCCACTAAACCTTGTCAGTACTATTTGACTCTCTCCACTGGTTGCAACCACCGTATCTTCAATGGGATGACCCTGAACTTGGCACGATAAGACACCCGTAAAAACCTCGGACTGGACGTACTTCTGGGCCATTTTTAACCCTGAAAAACAAGCAGTCATCAGCAATACACACTTTCAAAAACGGCTGGAGAAATTCCAAATTACTTATAAGCCCACGGCCTTATGGATCAAACCAAAAAATTCGACTTTTATATTATCCATGACAAGCATATAACGGAGGTAAAAAATAGATGAATTATCAATGACAGAACGATAAAAATCGATTCAAACGTCCCAAAATCCCGAATACGAAAAATTGTTTGGTCAAAAAATAATTTTTACGATTGTAACACAATGCCAGACCTCGTTGGCATCCAACGTTTTCGCAGGCGGGTTAACAAATTTATTTACAACAGCCAACATTCAAAAAATAAAGGTGATCAACAATAATTACACGTGTGGTTTCGCACTTTGTAAAGTGTACGTACGACCGGATTGACAAAGACAAGAACATTACGAAAACTAAAAAATATGACAAAATATAAAATCTTATGGAGATGACAAACATTGAGATCATCATTATAAATAAAAAAAATATTCCTCTATTTCGAAACAGTAGTGGACTCCACGGAAGCCTCCGGCCGTCTTCTTGACTTTCGGTTAAAGTCGAGGAGTTGAGATTCCTTGACATAATAAATGGTAACGTTGGCCTGCTCAAAGAATGGAGTGTAAGATGGTTCCTAAAAGTAAAAAAGATAAGCAAACCTTATACTCCACCTACCATTCCCTTAACCATAGGAGAGTCTTCTTCAAACACAAAAATAATTTTAAATTTAGTGTTGCACATGGCCATCGGAATAAGTGAGACGAGATCTTCGGCGATCGAATCCAGCCTCGGCTTCTCTTGAAACTTGGTCATCAAGTCGTTGACGTTAGAATTATCAGAAAGAATTTCATTCTCCGTGGAGTAACAGACATTTGTACAAAGAAAAGTGAAATTCTCGAGTTTTGGATGGGTAAGATCAAGATTCGCCATCAAAGTGAGGACAAATCGAAGGGCTCTGGTGTTGAAATTCAGCTCCAAAGAACGCTGGCAGAACTGAGAATAGTCTGTGATCACTTCTGCCGCCTCAACCCTCCGAATTATGGTGATTGAAGTTGAGATTGCATCGATTCGAAGGATGTCTTTTACAGATGCTAAAAATAAAAAAAAAAAACACAAAGCAAATTTACCTACCTGTTCGATTACACAGAGTAACAGACTTGAAGAGAGGCAGTGTTCCCTTCTCGAACCAGAATTGGAGGGCTTTTGGCGATAAATGCACCTGTCTCCCGAAGAACCGATCAACTATCAGTCTGTTGTTAATGGTTGTACTGAAGAGACCTTCGATCATGTAAAGATCTGAAGTGTAATTTGAATAGCTGCAGAAGCGAGGGAAGGGCTTTACTTATATTTTAACGCACATTTTAAATCGGCTCTTCTTGCCCAAATTGCGTAGATCGATTGATCGTCCTTCCGTCTTGGCAAGAGGAATTTGATAGACACATTCTTGAAAACCGACGCTGTTTTTGAGTTCATAAGCTGTAAAAGGATGCATCGTAGAATATTTTAGATAACAATCACTCCAATGTGCTCTAAAAGTCAAAGAAAAAAGTAAAATCCTCACCAACAGCCTCCACATCGCCATGTTCGCAACTCTTCTGCCATTCCTCGTTCTTTTGCCCACTCCTCTTAGCATCTCAGTAATATACGCCTCCATGAAGTGGAGAATAAACTCTTGATAGCATCGAGGGTTCATTGGACGTGCGGAAGACATGATCCAGAATACATTAAAAATTACTTTTAAAGTTGTGAAGTAAAAAATGTAAAAATAATTTAGAATATTGCATTAAGCCACATAATTTTGGCATCCATTGTTTTCATGGTGGAACCTTAGCCAAAATAATATATATATGACAAATTTATTATTTTCGAACATGTACAATATTTACTCCGTAAACTTTTGTGACATTACATATCAAATGCATCTCTATTCAGATGTCGGAGAGCATTTCTCAGATGAGCGTACGATTCGTGATGATAATCGCCGGCTTCGGAAATCCCTGCTTCTAATTTTAGGATGTGTTCCAGATTGGCGGTGAGCTGAAGGTCGTCATACTGATGGTAGGATAACTACAAAAAATCAAATTTATACACTTATTTTCCTTAATATTTCTAATAAGAATTTCAAAAAAAAAATAGAAAGTCTGACCGAGTGGATCTCATTGATGATCCAAGCGCAGAGATGGACCATCACAACCAAGAATACGACAAGTCCAACCATCAAAAAGAGCATCAAATACTGACAGATATTCAAAGGGCCACATTCATCGCCACTGTTTTGTGCGCAGAAAGCTCGGGTTAAATCACAGGCAAAGAACTGAAATTGTTACAGTAATTTTAATCAATAAAAATTTGATGACCGTATTTTACCACTTACATCGAATAAAGTTGAAGGAAACAGAAGAGACCACATTTTTTTATGAAAAAACGACCAATAAAATGAGAGAAATCAAAATCCGGTCCAAGAAATCTCGTTGAGAATAAAATTTTTCGATTTGAAGAAGAAAAGTACGTATTATAGTTCATGCAAATCCTCAGAACATCGCGGGAATAGACAAGATTACGCAGAGAGAGACATGATCTCGTGGTGTAGTGGTTATCACATCTGTCTAACACACAGAAGGCCGGCGGTTCGATCCCGCCCGAGATCAGAAAATTTTTTTCGAAGTCTTTCCTTTCAAATAAACTTTTTTACTGCATGCACCAGTATTAAAAACAATTTTTTTAGCGCATAATACTATTTAATTAACCGATATAAATATCATCGACACAGAGCTTGAAGATATTTCGCGGCAGCGAAGATATGATGACCACGAGATACCGGGCCGCAAAATTCATAGGTCCATTTTCCTTTTGGGTTCTTTATTTCAAACATATGTATATATTTAAATATATTCAGAAATACGTCATGATCACTGCTACTCATCTTCACAACTGCAACAGTAACAGTGTCTCGATTCTCCTCCGCCTTCGGCACATTCCAGTTCATCGTGCGTTCGGATTCTCAGAATTCGGAAGAGGACTCGCTTCACAATAGAATTGTCGTCACGCTAAGCCAGAAATAAAGTCATCACAGTCCTTGTATTTTCCTTTGGTAGCAAAAAATAAACTACTTACGAGGAGGAATTCATCGACCAGTCGATCAAATTTGACAACGAATACGAAGAGGAACAGCGAAAGAACAATGGGGAGAGTAGTGAAGAAGAAGAGAACCCGGTATTGGCATGGCGTCATGTCCGCCCATTGGTGATTTGGAATCCGACAAATATTCGTAGACACAGGGGTCAAGATGTACTAAAATACGAAGCGGTTATATCTAGGGATTGCCGGTTTAATGACTTACTATCAAGACGTCTTCAACAAACCCCATGGCCGGACGACCGAGACTTGGAAGAAGACCAATTTTTTCAGTGATTCCTTTTCAAAAAATAAATTTGGTGATTTTAACCAAATCGCGGCATTCTGTACTTTTGGGACACAATCTCTCCGAATTTTTTCTATTTTTTCAAAGCGGACCTCCTTCTTTAATTCATTGCTCGCTAGCCGGTTTGTTGGCGTCGCGACACTTGCGGGCAACCACTTTGCGGGCAAAATTTGGGGGGCCACATTTGCGGGCAGCTGAGACACTTGCGGGCAGCCGACATTTGCGGGCAACCGGCACCTGAAGGTTACAGGGTGGAGGTGGAAATATTACTGCGATATTTTGAAAATTTGCCGACATTTGCGGGCAACAGGAAAAAACAATCACAAAGTATTGCCTGCCCGCAAATGTCGGTAAACTTCCAAAATATCGAAGTAATTTTTCCATCTCCACCTTGTAATCCTCAAGTGCCGGTTGCCCGCAAATGTCGGCTGCCCGCAAATCTTCCAGGCTGCCCGCAACTATCGACCCTGCCCGCAAATGTCCCAGGCTGCCCGCAAATGCCGGTGCTGGCCGCAAATGTCGGCTGCCCGCAAAGTGGCTGCCCGCAAAAAATTTGTCCGCAAACTGGTTGCCCGCAAAGTGGTTGCCCGCAAGTGTGCGCCCGCCGGTTTGTTCCTTTCGGCTTTATTAATAGGAAAGCAAACTTTGTTATAAAAAATTTTTATTTGGAGGGAAATGATCTCACAACGAATCCCCGAAGAACAGAAAATTTATTCGTTATAGAAGGGCGTTGTTGTATGGACTCTCATTTTAGCCTAAAATTGACTCCATGACCTCAAAAATTGTCCGTTATCGAAAGGTTTTTTAAGTTTGTTGGACAGCGGTGTTACTCCCTATGCAAGGGTATATAGCCTTATGCCTCACCGTGAGACAAAAGCCCAAAAATGTGTCTTCTATACGGTGAATGATTGCGTAACGATTGCTACTTTTTTATATTCATAAAGTGTTGAAAGATCAAACCGTCACATTGATTGATCTCCACTGAACTTTGAAGTTATACATAAATTTGTGTATTGTGAAATTATTGTGCCTTGCTTGCAAAATATGTTCTTTTTTTTTTATTTTCCAACCTTATGCCCTAACATCAAACTTATCAACAAACTTTATTTATAACCCGTAGAATGCGCTCTAAAATGTACTTCTTTACAAGAAAACATTTTGATTGATAAGGCAGGGTAGAAGACAATACCGAGAATCACCGTCTTCTGCGGTTATAAATTTAACCGCTGTAAAGGACATCGCAACTATTTGAACAAGATACATTTATGGTAGTAAAGTTGCGTGTGTTGTAATATGTTTGAAATTGCACGGACTTTCTTCAAAGGTCGGATCTTTCCTATTGCCTCATAGGCGCCTCATTGTTATCAGTAGAAAAATTTGATAGTTTCGCTGTCAGAGAAATACATTTCCGGGTTTATTAAATTAGAAAAAGTGTTCTAATCAGCGATAACGAAAACCGTTTTTTTTCTGTTTGTTTATTGAGGAGCCTTTTATGTACTCTTTGTCCTTTTGAACGGATGATAAATATGGTATTGAATGTATACGATTTTTTGAAACTTGCCTATGATAACTTTTAAATTAAGGGTTAGACAAATAAAGGTGATCACAGAAGTTCTCGACTTTTATTTTTGCTGTTGAGTCGAATTTCGGTGCAAAAATGGGTTGACATTGATTTTGAAAAATCAGTGTACACTTTAATTTTCGTCCTGCAGCGATTTCCCAAAATCTGCACTGGTTATCTCCAAATTTCCGAGCTTTTTTGGCACTGATTTTCCAAAATTAATGTCAACCCATTTGTACCGAAATTCGACGCAACAGAAAAAATAAAAGTCGAGAAGTTCGGTGACCACCTTTATATATGGTAAGGAGTACCTTAAAACTGGAGGAAACCGTATTTTGGGACATGAGTTTGTAAACAGAATTACAGAGGCGCTCTGGTAAGATATTCTTTAGCCTCCAATCAGTGAGCAGCCTCTGTCAAAAATATAATATTTTGGCCAGCGCTATGCACTGAAATAAATGCTATCCACCAATTAAGTTAGGGAAAAAATGAAAAATTGGGAAGGCTTAACAATTGTAAGAAAGCCCCCCATTGTGTTGAGAACTTGAACTAGTGCCTTTATAACTTTGCTCATCTCGTTCTCTTCTGATATGTGCTGTTTGAGAGTACAACTTCTTGTTGACATGGACTCAGTGGAGGCTCAACAACAGTTCCACCCACTCTATAATATAGTCTTGCAGCCTGGCATCAACATTTTCGGAAACAACCGGTAGCTATCTACCTGTAGCGAAGAACGTATCCGGTTTCTCGGAACGACAGTCAATCGTTGTTTTGATTGATAGCCGAAGAACATTACAGTGAGAAAAAGAAACTATTACAACCGTGTGACCGTTGCGAATTGTTTCAGCGAATAACAACACCCATTTTGGGGAAAATACTGTAGACTGAAGTAATAGTTCAATCCAGGTATATATATTTTTTTATCTTTACTACATAAAGGAGTGTATTCCTTTAGTCGAATCAGTTGCTGATTGGGCGCCGCGAAACCTCGTGGTTATTTTTACAAACACGCTCGTAAAATGCTAACAAGGGAATGGTTTGAACTGTCCGTGAGCTTTCGGCATGACACCCCCAAATTCTGAAAGAGCGTACAAAGTTTAGTATGAATCCGTTTTCCATTTTTGCCGAATGGTCTTGAGAGACGAGAAATATCGACAGAAAGATCCGACTAAAAGAACTGAAAAGGAGAAAAGATGAAACGAAAGGCCCGGGAAAGCGTCACCAAATAGTCTAGTGGAAAAAGTTCCACGCACAAATCTTTTGGCAGAGGGGGGTCTTGGAGGTTCGAGTCCAGCCGAAACGGATATCTTCGGCTTGAACTTACATATCCTGTAAGTTCAAGCCGACAAAAGGTACTGTATTCTATGGCTATGTAAAAAAAATTTTTTAATTTACTCAAGTGTTTTACCGATTTTTTGCAAAATTTCAAGAAAAACATGACAATTTGGCAACATTGTTGGGGGTTTGATGATGCCAGATGTCAATCTACTGGTATGTTAAAGACGTTTTTGACCCATTCCAGAAGTTCGTCCTGGATCTTGCAGATTTTTTTCGAGCTTCCAGAAAAGAACGCCGCCAAATTTTCGCCTTTTCTCAAAATTTTGCAAGAAAAGTTGAAAAGATTATTTTTGGATCCCTGCGTCAGCGTATAATGGACCGCGTGAATATTTACAAAAAAGTCGATTTTGAATCTTTTGGTCTAAAATGACTGTAGACATGTGTTTAACAAACGCCCAAAATATTTTTCCCAAATTCTGCCCGGAAGGTATAAATTTGCATAAATTTGTCCTTTTTGGAATTTTATGTCTCGCGGCTTCATAAAAAGAGGTAATGACCTGAAATTCTGGATATATACGTTTTTGTTGATTGAGCATTCAGTTTTTTGAAAACCAAGTTTCTAAGATTACTGTAACATAAAGATATTAAAACCGGTCGATAAAAATCGACCGTCCCGAGACCATTCGGCAAAAACGGAAAACGGATTCCTACTAAATTTTTTACGCTCTTTCAGAATCTGTCGGTCTCATGTTGAAAGCTCACGGACAGTTCAAACCATTCCCTTGTAAGATACGTGACAACTGAGCACTCAGGGCATTCGATTAATTTCCCTTGAAGCGATAGCTTCTTTGCAAATTGGCTTGCAGATGTAGTTTCAATATTTTTTTGGGGAGTACTGATAATCACAACAAAAAACTAAAAACATGGGGTGTTTACCCTTTATAAAATCTCAAACTACAGTGACCTGATCGTGACAAAAAATGTACCATGCTGCATCCGGGAAGTATCAAAAAATATGGCAAAATGTCTCCCTCTCCAAGAAGGGGAAAATGTTTATTTGAAGGGCGTTCTCTTTTCTTCAAAAAAAGAGTGGGCGCGCTTTGGAAACCGGAGTTTTTTTCATTTGCCGCATTTTTCGATACTTCTCGGATGCAAAATAGTACATGTTTTGGCACTGGATCAACTTCGCCCTACTATGGAAGAGTTTTCTAGAAAATGAGGTTACCGCAATTAAAGCAGTGGGTGTCTAATGAGTCCGTAAGCTTAAAAAATACGTGCTTCTTACGTTGGCAGTAAAATAAAATGGATTGTAAGGATGTCTTCGGTAGTGACTAGCTCTTGATAACTTTAAAAATTGTTTTCTTTCAAAACGAAACGACAAAAGAAAAATTGATTTGGGAAATCGACTCGCACTGTATGTTTACCTTCCACAGAAAAGAATCCAGACTGTAGGACAAAAAAATTACAAAGAATGGTAAATATCAGCAATTGAGAGTATGAACACTGACCTTCAAAAGTGGTGAGGTTTGCACTTTAAAAATCACCACCTTCCCATTAATCGGGCAATCAGGCGGGGCCAAGTTGGGAGCTTGTATGGGTTCATTTACCACTGACGGTCAAATCGTGTACTCAGGTTTCTATTAACGGGACCTTGCGCGTAGTTTCATAAGAAATTTATTAGCCTGAAGCGGTACGATTCAGCATGTTTGCTTCTTAAGAAAAAGTACAGTACTCTTTCACGTAATTTTCTAAAAATAAAATAAATAATTTTTCGAGCACCCCAGTTCAAGCAGCTTCATTTCGTTTGAAACTAACCAGGTCAGAAATGGCTTCCTTCAACAAATTCCCTGCATTCATTATGTCTTCATCTTTGATCATTACATTTTTTGTATCAGGCAATCTCTCCATTTTTCATAAGGAATCAAAAGAACGAATCAGGTGTTGTTATCCATTAATTATCATTCCTTTTTTCTGATCAACATTCAAAATTAACTGCGGTCGTTAATCGAAGAAGTGACCTTAGGGCATGATGCTTTAGGACTGTTATCAATTTGACAATGAGCAGAAAACGTTGGAGTCACATGGGATGTTAGCAACAGTAAAATCTTGGACAATCGTTTGTTAGGGAATTGATTTTGCAATAAATATTCGTATCTTCGTAAAAGCATGCCATAAGGCGTTTAAAAAATTTTTTGATGACAATGAAATCACTGAAACAAGTGACTCAAAACTTGATGATTTCCGAAATCCCATTACAATTAGCAATCTATAATACAAACCATAAGACGATGCTGTAAAACCTTCCAACTTCAAGGCAGACTCTTCCAAATAGGCTTACAGACAGTAATTGTAAACAGTAGCTTGTGTGTAAACTCGACTTGTTGCGCAGAATCTTTGAACATAGTTTAGTCTTGATGTTGGAGTAGACAAGATTTTTTTAATTCCCATTAGAGATGCTGCTCGTTACGAAGTGTCCTTTTGAAGATTCTAAGCCGCTTAGATGGCTAGTTGTGCAATCAAAATGTCTCTTGTGACGGCGCAGTAAAAATATATTTTCTGATGGTAAATCAATATTTTTTAGCGTGTTTTGAATCCACAATTTTTATTTAAACCCCTGATGACAAAGGCAAGGATGTTTTTGTTTTCTTATTTCTATTGCAAAAACCCACACCACCTAAATTTTTACATCACGCCCTTTATGATGTAAAAATTTGCTAGAGCCATCGAACGATCGCGGTTAGTATATTTGTTTTGATCCAACAAAAAACCCTTCGGAAAATAGAGACCACACACCGTATTATCACACAAAGTCATTTGCTGATAACTAAGCCCTTGGGAAAGGTGGTTTCCATAGTTTCTTTTTATTGTAAAAATGTTGACTGAAGTCGCATGGTCCTGTAAAAATCCCGCTTCTTTAGAAAAGAGGTAAAATACTGTAACTTTGATTTCGCAAAAGGAAGCTTTAGGGAGATGGTGGAAGTTGTTGCCATTCTTATAGTTTGTTTTAAATTTTAATTAGATTAGTAAATGTTTTATCATAGACTGTGGTAAAAAAGGAAAACACTTTGCGACGAAATCGAGTACTACAGGGTGGTTCAGCCGAGGCTTCCATCCTTATTTCAAGTATTCCTCCGCGAATAATGCGCCAATTTTTATAAAATTTATATCAAATTGAAGCTGAGGTGCCCCATTTAAATATGTCAGGCCCAAGTTGGCGGACGCTCCCGTATTGACCCTTGACATTTTCATTCCAAATTTGGAGTCCACCTCAGCTTCAATTTGATATAAATTTTATAGAAATTGGTGCTTTATTGGCGGAGAAATACTTGAAATAAGGATAAAAGCTTCGGCTGAACCACCCTGTACTTAATTTTTATTCCAGTAAAATGTTCTATATTTTCTAGTTAAAAACGTTTTTAGCAGAGGTAAAAAGTACTACAACCAGTTTTTAAGAGGTAGCAGTTTTGGTTTGTATCTCATAAATGGTCTCACAATTGAATGATTACTCTCTGGGAATCAACAAAGATCAATTGAGTTTAGACTTTTTTACTTACCTAAGGAAGATTTTAACCCCATAAATTACGCCACAGAATCTTGCATCCTTCAAACACCCTGATCAGCCCTGAACCCAACAGACCACCCATAAGAAGTATTGTTTCTTTACTGCATCTTTTGTCCAACCTTGTAATTGATCACTTGGTTTGAGAAGTAAAACGTTGTGATTACAATATGAAACAAATGTGTTTGATGGGCGGGGCTTAAGTTAACGAAAAAACGATCGCCTCGAAACGTTATAACGATAAAACAAATTGCCTAGTATCTACGTATCCTGCCGATGAAAATGACAATCGCTTATCAATTAGATGTGTAAACAACGTGTATAGCGTGCGGTTCTTTGTGGTGTATAAAAGGTCGGTCGAAAGTTGAAGAGCTTCAGCTGGAAATTGGCGTGAGCGTTTATCGTGTGGGCGACATAACCCATTTTCCCCAAATTAAGATCGTTTGTCCTCAACTTTGCATAAGGCGCGGAATACCTCAGATCTTTACTACTGTAAAAATTACAGAAAAATGCTGCTAAGGTTATCAGTGATAGCTTTATCCTGTCTCTACCTCAATGCGAACCCTATTGTGGACACAGATCTCGGGCGAATCGAAGGATTCCACCATAAGCTGCTAAATGGCCATGAAGTGAATCTATTCCTTGGAATCCCATATGCAGAACCTCCGGTTGGCGACCTACGATTTGAGGTAAATAACATCGACCAAGTCTAATGTCAACTCTTATTCCAGCGTCCTAAACCCCATGAGCCTTTCGCTCATACAATCCGCGCGAAGAAATACTCAGCGGCCTGTCCATCTCACGCTGATATGGACGCGGTTGGACCGGAGAACGAAGACTGTCTAACCCTGAATGTGCTGGCTCCGAATCCAAAAGATATCCCGGTCCCAGAAGGAGGGTACCCTGTGCTCTTCTGGGTGCATCCAGGAGGATATTGCATAGGCTCAGCTAGTTGGTTCTCATACGAATCAATCGCTGAGAACTTTCTTTCCAGAGGAATTATTGTGGTCACCATTAATTATCGACTGGGATTCTTGGGTAAGAAGACTTTTGATGAGCAATAATCTCAAACATTAAGCAAAATTCACTCAAATTTATATTGCAGGCTTTGCAACCACTGGCGACTCCGCTCTCCCAGCCAACAACGGTCTTTTTGATCAGACTCTGGCTCTCAAATGGGTCTATGACAACATCAAGTCTTTCAACGGAAACCCCAAAAAGATCACAGTCTGGGGACTGAGTGCAGGAAGTGCCAGTACCGGACAGCTGAGTGTTTCTCCCTACTCTAAGCCCTTCATCTCAAAGTCAATTCAGATGTCTGGAAGTTTCTTCGCTTCATGGACGACTTCGGATCAAGTCTTGAATGTGACCTCAGACTTAGTAAAAGCGGTCGGATGTGAAAGAACGAATTCGCAACAAGTCAAAAAGTGTCTCAAGCGAAAGAGTTTGAAACAATTGGTCGATGCGACACATCACTTAGGAATTAATCGGAAAACGTTGAACTTGGCCTTATACCAACCAAGATTGGATGGAGACTTCTTCCCCAAAGATTACCCTGAATTACTAAAAGAGAGCAATATTCCAACTCTTGTAGGATCGGCTAACGACGAAAGTATTCTGTTCGGTAAGAAACAAGACTATGCTATCGAACGATTGAGTTAAAGCAAATCTAATAAACTAATTGCAGCTGTTTTCAACGTCCTGAACTCGATCAATGGACTTGGCCTGTCTCCTCAAGAGATCCCAACCCTAACACTCGAAGATCTCAAACGCAGAATTCGTGAAAACATCTTCCCCACCCACGAATATGGCAGAAGAGCGCCAGAAATCCAAGACCGAGTCATCGAATACTATTTGAAAGACCTCAAGGACGCCAACAACCCTATTGAACTCGTCGAAATCTATGCCCGAATTCAGACGCACATGCAATTCTTCGTCCCCATGCTGTACGAGCTGAAAGAGCGATCGAAACTGGACACTCCAGTTTATGTCTATCACAACAATTACTACGCCGATCATCACTTCCCCGAGGGAACACCGATCAAAGCTGCTGTCCATGCCGCCGAATTGAAGACCATGTTCGACTTTCCGATTCCTGACAATTATGAGCATACTTTGGAGGACATTGCACACAGAGATCGGCTGTTGGGGGCCATCGAAAACTTTGTTAAAACTGGGTAAGTTGGGCTTCCCAACTGTGACTATGAACTTTACAATGACATTACAGTCTTACCCTTTATACTGAACAAAATGAGACCAATCATTTCAGAAATCCGTCGATTCCTGGCGTCGAATGGCCCAGAATTACCAAAGAGGCTCCTTTCAGACACGTCCATCTGGACGACAAAGCCGAGGTCCGCGACACTTTCGACGAAGAACTTCTCGATTTCTGGCTCAAAATGCGAGAAGACTTTGGAGACATTGTTGTCCGAAACATTCACTTCGGAAATTACGTGGACGAACACGAAAAGACCGAGTTGTAATTAGATGTAAATAGCTATTGGATTGTAAATTTGCTGTCTCAAACGAGCAATAAAAATATTGAAAACAAACAACATCTGATGCTAAATAATTATTGGTGGTCACGGAGCCCTCAAAAGCCAAAAGTTTCTGCAAATGAAACAATTTTGCTGAACAAAAAGGCGGAGTCATAAACATGATTAGAGAGTGTGTAGAAAAGAGTTGTCCACAAAGATTGCAATGATAAACACTATAGGAACAGATCTCTGTACAGTTTGAGATGGTCTTACCGCTCAGGAAGCTTGTAAACAACGTGGAAACCACAAGACCCCATGCGTGGTATCTAAAGGCGGTCGAATTGTAACAGTATATATTATCATGGGTTTGAGAGAGAAAGGCAAAAACAATAGAGTAATCAGTTCTTGTGCGAAAAATTTTGTTGTTGCCCACCATACGATAAATAACAGAAACTTTTAGGAAATGCTTCTTCGGATATCAGCAATAACGTTATTACTACTTTATGTAAACTCCAACCCGATTGTTGAGACAGAACTCGGACGGATAGAAGGATTCTACCATAAACTACTAAATGGACAAGATACCAATGTATTCCTCGGGATTCCGTACGCCAAGCCGCCAGTCGGAGAGTTGAGATTTGAGGTAAACAAGAGTATAAACTTCCCATTAAAACTCGAATTTCAGCGTCCCGAGCCACACGAACCTTTCGCTCACACAATTCGGGCCAAAAAATATTCAGCAGCCTGCCCATCTCACGCTGATATGGATGCGGTTGGGCCCGAAAACGAAGACTGTCTCACGTTGAACGTAATGGCTCCGAAACCAGAGTTCGTCTCAAAACCTGATGAAGGATATCCGTTGCTCTTTTGGCTTCATCCCGGAGGATACTGCATTGGATCGGCGAGTTGGTTCTCTTACGAATCAATCGCAGAAAACTTTGCTTCCAGAGGAATCATTGTCGTCACCATCAATTTCAGGCTGGGATTTTTAGGCAAGCAAGTTTAGCTCGAGTAATAAACCCGCAGTGGTAAACATTAAACCCGTCTTTCAATTCTAGGGTTTGCCGCCACCGGAGATTCGGCACTCCCAGGAAATAATGGTCTCTTTGACCAAACGTTGGCTCTCAAATGGGTTCATGACAATATCAAGAACTTTGATGGAAATCCCAAAGCCATTACCGTCTGGGGATTGAGCGCTGGAGGTGCGAGTGCCGGCCAGCTAAGCGTTTCTCCGTACTCTCGACCCTTCGTCTCCAAATCAATTCAGATGTCCGGAAGTTTCTTCGCTTCATGGACAACGTCAAATCAAGTCATAAATGAAACAAGAAAGTTGATGCAAGCGGTCGGATGCGAACGATCAAATTCCCAACAAGCGAAGAAATGTTTGCGACGGAAGAGTTTGAAACAGTTGGTGGATGCGATACATCACCTTGGCTACAATCGGAAAACACTGAATTTGGCGTTGTATCAACCCAGATTGGATGGAGACTTCTTCCCGAAGGACTACCCGGAATTACTAAAGGAAAGCAAAGTTCCAACTTTTATTGGCTCGGCGAACGACGAAGGCGTTCTTCTTGGTAAGAAACAATGTCATATACCCTTCTAAAACCGTGTTTTCAAATTAAAAACTATCTTTTTAGGAGTCTTCAACGTTCTAAAATCAATAAATGGACTTGGCCTCACTCCGGAAGAAATATCAAGCCTGACAATAAAAGAGGTCAAGAAACGGATTCGAGAAAACATCTTCCCTGTAAACGAATATGGCCGAAGAGCCCCGCAAATTCAAGACAGAGTCATCGATTACTATCTAAAAGACCTAGAAGATCCCATGGATCCAATCAAAGTCACCGAGATCTATGCCAGAATCCAAACTCACTTGCAATTCTTCGTCCCCATGCTATACGAACTAAAAGAGCGATCAATGTTGGACACTCCAGTTTATGTTTATCATAACAGTTACTACGCCGAACATCATTTTCCAGAAGGAACGCCAATCAAAGCAGCTGTTCATGCCGCCGAATTGAAGACCATGTTCGACTTCCCTATTCCGGATGATTATGAGCATACATACTTTGGAGGACATTGCACATAGAGATCGGCTGTTGGGAGCTATCGAAAACTTTGTTAAAACTGGGTAAGCCAAAGGTCGAAGCCATGCAATTTCTATCTATGACTCACAGGATTTTAATTAGCAATCTTCAAAAAAAAAAACAACCAAAATTCTTGGTTGAAACAGATCAATCTCAGCTTCCTTCGCAAAATCGAATAATTCAAACAGATTCTGACCATTTCTGCCTTCCTAATTAAAAATCAAAATAGCCTTCTACTTTCAGAAATCCCTCGCTTCCTGACGTCGACTGGCCGCGGATCACCAAAGACTCTCCATTCCGACATGTCCATCTCGAGAATAAAGCTGTTGTCCGCGAAACGTACGACGAGGATCTCCTCAGATTCTGGCTGAAAATGAGAGAAGACTTCGGAGACATCGTCGTTCGAAACATTCACTTTGGAAATTATGTTGATGAATACGAAAAGTGCGAGCTGTAATTAGAACAGCACCTACTATAACATAATTGCTCTAAAATCCATGTAATTATACAAGAATAATATTATTAAATCAAGTTTAAACGAAATCTCAAGGCTCACTCTGGCAGATCGAACAGATTAAAATCAAAAATAGCGACTTCCTAGCTAACAGCCAACCTAAGCATACCAAATACATAGAATACCGTCAAAGTATGACATAGCCTGAAAGGTACGCAGAAAACATAAAAAATGTAGTTAGGCACATTGCAAATCGACTGAATATTCATTTTATTTTACGACTTCGTGACTTTACTTTCGAGAAAACTATTTATTGGCATTATGTTCAATTTCCAGTTTTCGTCTCGGGACTCAGCAAAGAACTCGACGAAATGACAAAACTCTCAAAATTTGAATAAAATCACATTCTGCAAAAGCGAACCTTACGCAATGGCTTGTTTTGCGACGGCGTCATTCCAATGACGAACGAGTTCTTGATGACGGTCGGTCCCAATCCCAGCAGTGGCTCGAGTAAGTCGGGAGCTTCGGTGGGAATCTCCTGCGTCGCCCGTCCGCATGGCCACTGTTTCTTCTCCAATTGCTCGCACTTCTTCTCCAATCACTTGATTCCGGCGCTGATTTTGGCCGGCGTCGCGGGCGCCACCATTCGTTGCATTCGATTGGCCAGACGGTAAGTTGGGGGTAAAATACGGGGCTGCTTTCTTTGCGATTACTATTAACATATCACGAGTTTGAATTAAGGTTGATACGGGTTTAAAAATTCGAAATTTTAGGTTTTCTTAAAAAAAAATTATTTTATCAAGTTTTTTTCAGAGGCGGTGGTCAAGTGGACAAAAACAACAATGCCGCTTCGTAGATGCCCCAGCCATCAGAAGCCCGCTCAGAAAGTCATGGACCTTTTTCTCTTTATTGTACTTACTGAATAAATTTTTTCTATCCGACCTTTTGTTAGAAGTTTGCCGGTAAAACCCTTATATAATTATTATGTGTAAATTGTAAATTGATGGGCTACTTCATGGATAATTTCTTTTTGGCCAACACCACACTTGGCAATCATCAGCTGAGCTCACGAATTTTCCTTGTCGCTTGCTTCCGTCGCACTCCGTGATGATTCCATTCTAAAATTCATAATTTTTTGTTTGTATTTTCATAAATACTTGAATATTTTGGCCACCTAGGTAAAAAACAAGCCAAAAATTTTGTTTTGATGCTTTATCAGTACGAGCGGTTCGTTCCAAAACATCAATGGCTATCCCTTATGACATTAACTTACATTATAAACGCAATCTTTGTACTTCAAGACTCTTCCGGCAACTGTCATCTGTTGCCTCGCCGAACCCACTCTACATGGGACTGGAAAACACACAACGACGCACAGTAGCGTAACCAATATCCAGGTTGACAAGCTCCGCATTATATTTTATTATCTAGAGGCACCAAATAATATAATGATCAACTCAAAAGTCTTCGTATTCCTTTTTGCCTTTTCTTAATGTATTCATCATCGGCGATCGTCGTAAACAAACGTTTGATCAAGATAAATGGGTTTTGAGAGCAGGTCAATCAGTTTCCATGGATAATATTCAAATTTTTTCCCAAATAAAGTATAATGAATATGGTCTCTCAAGATTCCCTTTCTCAATATCAACCGAAGCCACGATCAACCTTTTCCCAAATTCTCCGGTTTGCATTTACATTTGCTCCCAATTACAACACAATTCTGTCATCATTTCCCCCAAAACTGCCCTGCAGATTAAAATTGGCCTTAAAAGAGGGACTTGCGCTTGCAAAACATCTATTTTGGGCCTATCAAGTACAACAAAGGGGACCGAAAATAGTACGAGTGATGCAGCCATGACGTTGAACTATTTATCCATCTGCCCTTGATGTTCTCCGTATCCTCTTTCTTTTTGTAAAAAATGCCGTTCATTTAGAAGTGGGCTTGTGTCAAAAGCAAATAACAGACACTACTATTTATTTTTGTCCATAAATAGTAGTAGTAGCGCAGTGTTGGAATTTTGGGTACGTTGTTTGGCTACTTAGACTTAATTAAAGATTGCGCAGCTGTAAATATCGAATACTTTGCTGAAAAATCATCAAAAATTCGTTCCTAGAATTAGATTTATTTTTCAGTTTTTTCTGTCTTTTTAAATTTTTTGATTTTCCATGTCTTGGCCACATGGGAAACTTGCTTCGTAAATCGTGTATTTAAGCATCTAGTTAAAAAAAAATACAATAGCCATAGTATAATCGACAGTTCGATTCATAATCTTTCATAAACTACCAGTTGATGACTAAATGTCTATCAGACTTATTTTTGGGTTACGGTAAACTTATTAGAACCATCGTTAGCATGATTAACGTATTGTGTGTGGCCTGACACTTGTAGTTTGGTGCATCTCAAGATTCCCACACATTCACACCAAAGAAAAAGCAAAAAAATGTTCAAAATCTTGGAGAGGTGCTCTTATCTCCAAGCCTTTTAACCTCATGCGTGCTGAGAAATATTATTTCAGACATCGCTTTGGATTGTTCAACCCCTTTTTCTTTATTTTTGTAAAACAATTTCCCTTTTCGATTACTTTACAATTCCAATAACCGACATTTGCCCAGTCAGGTGTAAAATGACCCATGAATAATTTTATATACAAACTATCCCATTTACCCTAATATTTACTTTTTCCCTAGGCCAAAAAGCCCCATGTTTTCGCGGATATTGCCCATAAAATCTTTGTTTTCGCTTTTCAAAGTGCAGATCTTGGCGTTATTTACTACTTTATGTGTAGTATATATACTGACCTTTTATATTGGGCTCTTCAGGAAATTTTGATTTGCAATTTACACCTTTCCCTAAATTTTATGGGTTATTTGCGTTGATGGTTTGAATGGCATCCAAATCAATGTAATTTTTCCCATTTTCCTTTAAAATTTGTCGATTTTTTGTCATTACTTTTTTTTGATGACAAATTACATGTTTGTTGAACAAACAGTCCGGATGAGATCCCATTGAAACCGAGAAATGTGAGTAGAACAAAACATGGTTATGTGAGGGTCCAACATGGTCATTTTCTGGGTTTGCTCTTTTATCTCTCCCATTGGCAAGGGCGGTTCAACATTTCGGTGGGCTCTGCGAAGCGCAAGTGATTTCGTGATTGAGTTTTTGCTCAATTTCTCAATCAAAAGAATATCTCTTCGTCGCTGTTCGAAAATCCTCATCTTTTGCCGGTTTATAATTCGTCTGGGATTCTTCCTTTTTATTCAAATTATAGTAATGTCTCTGTCTTTTATTTATACATACAGACAAAAAAATAAAATTTGATTCCCCTTTTTTCATATCAATATTGCCTAGTTATTTTCGCTCTGTTTTTTCTCGCCCTATGGCACTTTATATGGCTTTGTTTGCTCTTTGAATAATGCATTTCCCGATGGAACACCGGGTTCAGAATATCAGCAAAATTGAGGGCGGAAGTAAAAGACAAAAACAGTGGCCAAACGATATTTTGATTGTATGTACAGCTTTGACGTGGGGCAAAGCAAAGGTCATACATAGAAATACCGGCTATTTTCAGGTTCTCAGGTGAAAAAAGCTGTCTAATTGGGGTATGATTTCGTCAGTAAGATTACTCTTTTAGATGGACCAAGTGTAAAAGTTGAGACTTGGTGGGAAAAAGGCTCAGAGATAAATGATATCCCTTGCTTTCGGGCCTTTTTTGGATTAGAGGGGTGAGCTATCAGTTGGCTCAGCAGGGATTTACATATCTACTTTGGGAGGAAAGTAACGATTTTGAGGGACTTTTGTTTCGGTTTTTAAAAACCTCAGATAGGAATTGGTATTGCTGAGACTTACCAAAAAAAGTTGCGGAATTTTTTCATTTATTCACCGCAGCAAAACTCTCCGCCAAAAACGTTTTTTTTTCGGCGGTCAGTACAGAAGATAATTGCCTTATTTCTAAATGAAAAACGATGTAGAATTTTTCGAATATTGGAAGAAATTTTTTGCATGTACTCTAAAGAGCAAGTAATCAGTTTTTGAAGATATTTTGGCACACGCTTTATACAGTCTCGGACAGGATCATGCGGCAAACAGTTCATCGAAATACACGGTGGATGCGATAAATTCCAACACTTTTCATTTACACAAAGAAACAGCTGTTTTTGGTCAAAAAAGGATAAAAATGGATGCCGGACTATATGTACAAGCAATATTTTCAGAAACTGATTATTTGCTTTTGTGTATACATTTTCTACGTGCTAAAAATTTCTCCCACTCCTCAAACAATTCTACAGTATGTACTTCTCATTTCCAGATGAGGTCATGTAGATGACAGTCCTAAATTTCAGCGGCATAAAGTTCAGCTGGAACAAATTTCCTTCAAATCCACACGCTACCGTCAGATGTCCTCATTCCTTCATCTATCTCCCCGACAAATTTATTTAAATTTTGTCTGCGAAATCTGCTCACTTTCAAGTACTCGCTTTATCCGTAAACAAGCCCAAAAGAAGTTGGGCTAAATTTATTTGAGAGGGTACAAAAACAAGATCGCCTCTGTATGGGTTCGCGGAAAAGCGGCCCCAAAACAGACGGGTAATACGGGCTGATAGACGCATCTAATGGCCTCAAAAATGGCCAGAAAGACGGCTTTTCGGCCAGGGATTTGGATGTGTGTCAAACGGGGATTTCGTTTCGCGGAATTTGCATTTTATGGGGGTATTCGATTCCGCGAAAATTGGCTTATTTTTGGGATTTTTTTAGAGGTTCCAAACATCAAAAACTAAAAAAAGATTACTATAAAAGCCATAAGTGAAGTTTTTTTATTGCTTTGAAGACCGTATTTCAAATTGTAGATGCTCATAAAACTTCTAAATTACCATAACTTGACCGACTACTGACGTAAATGAACTTCACGCCTCTACTTTAACAAGAACTTTCAATTGTAGTAACTTTTTTTGTTATTTAAAATTCGTGTAATCCCCATTATGTAGAGCGGGATTAATCGAACACTTTCAAAAGGCTTCATGTCGTTGTTAACGTGTAATTTTGGGCTCTGAATTTGACCGGTGTTTCTAGTGTTCCCTTAGGCTCTAATTTTCCCACGTTTCTAGAGCGTGGCGTTGGAGGAATTTTGGATATAAAGTTAGTGAATTTCTCCCTGCTTACTGTTTGGATTTAGATAAAACTTGGCTTAAATTTTTTTCTGAACTTTAGAACTTTGAGATTTTTGACTCATTTTTGTTTCCTTTCCCGTGTCTTTTTGCTGAACCCAACACTTTCCCGCTCACCTTATCTCACTCAAATTTGTAGTCTTTTCAGAAATACGCAAAAACTTTACACTTGGTCACCCGTTTCCTCCCCTTCCAAATACTTTCATATTCAAATTCCCATGGCCAAATGTCCACGATTTATTTTTGGCCCATTTTAATCGGCTTTTTTTACAATACGTACAGTTTTATTGATGGGCTTATCTGGGTAAACAATTCACAGTAATGGAGTAATGGGGAGTCCAAGAATGGTTCTGAACTTGTCCGATAGCCAATATTTATTTGGTTTTTGGCAGCGGATTCAATTAATATAGACTATCGATGGGGAAACAAGCGTGCCATTTGCGAAATGTGGAAGTTAGAGGGTGGTTGGATTGGGGTGATTTTGTTGAAATAAGCTTTTTAAATAAGTGCGGGCAATCTGTATAAGAGCTTTTATGGGGATGAATCAGGGCTTAGAGTTGAACTGAAGCGGTTTTTATTCCTCTCATCATTGCACTTGCCCTCTTATTTTAATAAATGGCGTTTTCAGAGATTTAAGCACCAATTCTCTCGCCGTTTGTCTTCCTAAATTTGAAGTTTGCCCCTTCAAATTTAGGCTCTCAAAACATTGTAACTTTAAATATTGTTTCTCAGTAGTAATAGTACTTTATCCCATCTTCAAGTCGCCGTTTCCCCCCAACTTGAAGCCCCCATTGTCTTGGCCACATCTTTGGTCATGTACGTTCAATTCCGTTCGCCGGACTTGCTGCATAATTGAGCGTTTGCCGTCGCGTTTATTTTTATTTTTTTGCGCAAGAAGGCAACTCATATTGCGCGCAAAGTTTGTGGGATTACATTGTTACATAAATTGCGCCGTTCCGAATGCCGTCAGGGCGGATGTTTTGGACATCTTTTGGAGGTCGATGTTCTGTTTTCGGTCACTTTTATTCGATTTGAATGGGGAATTTGGGGGAAAAAGGAAATTACATTTGGACCAATAATTTTGGTGGACTGGGTAATGTAAACGTATTTCCTAAAGTTCATCGGTATCTTGCGGTCAAAAGCTGGTCAAGGGAATGGTGTCTCTGAGGCCCAAATTTTTTCGGTTGGGCATTACACAAGCAATGTGATTTTGCGCAACAAAAAAGCTATATATTATCTAAATTTAAGTGTGACTGCGCAGGTGTTAGATTAATTTTGTTTCATTTGAACAGACTGGTCATTAATCTTTTTCCCCGGCCTTTTAAAACTCCAAATTGTCGACTTTAACATTCCTCAAACGCAAACTCGTCAGCAGACAAAAGACATTCTGCAGACTTGTTGAACTTTTTCGATGGTATTCTCTTGACTTTTTCTATGATATTTACCCTTGGAGGAGGCGTACATACATATATTATATATTGCTCTCTTTTAACCGGATTAAGATTTAAAAATGCAAAGCTTGAAGTATCAATGAGCAGAATGCGTGAAGATCCTCATCTAATTAATATTTCGTGTGATACTTTGTACTCTTCAGGAACGTGAAAATAAATATATGAAATCGCTTGCTATAAATAGGAGACCGGACGATAAACTGACACATTCTTTCAGATGGGTAACGATCATTCAATTTCGGAGACGTCGATCGCTCACAGAACTCACCATCATCACGTTCGACCCAAACTCTCCGACGCCACTCCGCAACGGCCGCTTTCGGCCGCTGACTTTGCCGAAGAATGGGGAATTGAGAGGTTGGCCAAAGGTCGACGCTCGCTCGATGTGAGAGGAGTAAGTCGATTTTTCGATTGTTTCTTTAGATATCGATGCCAAAAAACTTTGATTTTGGAGGGGGATCAGAGCGTTTTTTATTTTAAAATTTCAGTATTATCTCTTGATATCAATGCGAAGGTCTTGTTATGAAGTTTAGAACTTTTCCTTGACTGTTGCTGTACATCTTGCAGCCTGAGAATTTCAAAAATACGTTGAATTTCTGTTTTTAGTCCAAAAAATTTTTTAGGTCATCACACCGCGTGAGCTCGAACCTTGATGAAAATTTTTTATTCTTACAGGGGAAGTACCCCAAGTGCGATGCTCAGATTTCGATGAAACTTGGCACAAATTTAGAATAATTTTTTCTAAGATATATGCGAGAATCCCAGCTCGCGCTTTGCAGAAACAACCGAGATTTTTAGATCCAAAGTTGGCGAAAATTTGAGACTTTTTACCGAATTTCGACACGAAAAGTTTCATGCCTATTTCAACCGTAAAGGATGATGTTTCTATAAAAAATCAAAATTTTCCGTACGAAACTGTCAAAGTTATGGCCAAAAATGTGTTTTCTCTCTAATCGCTCTCCACGTTTAGCGAGCTCTCTCGGCGGCAAAGATCGTTCAATATCTCGGTGGCGCTTGCAAAGCGCGAGCTAAAACTTTCAGGAATTGATACTTAGGCCATGCCCGACGTGTGTGCAAATTTTAAAGAAATTCAGAGCGTCGCACTTGGAGTACTTCCCTTGTTAATTCGAACCATGTTTAATCATCACTTTCTGATTATTATTTCTCCTACCAAATGCCGCAAAAATCACCAGTAACCTCGTAATTTCTCTCATAACCAAATTTAATGTTCGTAACCCTCAATAGACGATAAATTCCCCTCATTTCTTTCGATATATTATTACCCCGAACATTCCATAAATCAGGTTGTAGTGGGTAATCTCCTGCCCTTTATTTTGTATTCTTTGTGTGGGTTTGGATGACGAGAGAAAATGTGTTCAACCTTTAGTCCAACGTCTTGTCTATGTCCAGCACAGCGAATGCTAAGACAATGGGAACGGGGTGACGAGAAGGTAAACTTGGAAGTTTTTTGGAAGGGAGTATATTTATGTGGAAGGAGATGGTTGTGGTTACAGTTTTTTTGGAGATGTGCCAGCCGATTTGAGGTTCAATTTTAGTCTCGGTATGCTAGCTAGTGTCACAAAAAAGCGTTAAAAAATCGTGTGATGACCAAAAAAGTGCCCTAAAGTGTCCGCCGAATACACTGCTTTCCGCGTTGGCGGAGAAAATGATTTTCATAGGCAAAAAACAACCCATACTCTTCTTTCTCATGCAAAAATTTTTTTTGGATATCTTGACTGAGCGCTAAGAAATCGACAAAAACTTTCCGCGCAATTTCTTGAAACACCCTGTATAATACGAGAGTAAAAACTTATGTGTGTTGCAAATTTTTGATACAGAGTTTGGTAATATTTCCTCACGCTCTGCCCAGCGGCAACAAAACAATCCTTGGTTGATATAAAATTCGTCTACTTGGTATCATTTTGACCCATCTTCCGCACGTTCCAAGTCACGATTTCCCCCATCCTCGTCCTCATTTATTATTCTTTGCATCCACTTGTCATTCCATCATCCAACTTTTCATCTTGCCTACCCGTTTTGACGAAAGTGCAAGTCGAAACCATCTCTCCAAACTTTGCGTGTCTTTATGAAATATTCAGCGCCGCAGGGCATTGTTGGGGAGATAAAAGAGGCGCTGATTGTTTTCTCGGGAGTCACCAGATTCCGGCCCGCTTTAAACCGTATTGTGGGGCCACGCGGGGAAGAGGAAAACTTGGCCGCAAACGGATAATATCGCTTCCTTCTAGCCATGTCCAAATGGTTGATAAAGCACAAACTCGGCGTAAGTTGCAACTTAAACTTTGTTTTTCACTTTTTTCCCGATCATGGAGTTGCTCGAGGGCCAAAGGCTCATTTCCAGAAATTTTGGCTTGCGCTTTGCATTGCAGGGCATTCTTGTTGATCTTTGGACACTAGAGACTGTAGAACTAGAGGATAGTTTATTAGGCTACCAGAGGAAAAATTTTTTTGGCCATTTTTATTTTTCAGATGGGAAGAAATTGATATTTTTTAGAGTAATTTTACTTCCTTTTTATTCAAAATCATGCTTTCCCACTATGAAAACCTCAAAAGATCTTTGATTTTTGTCATTTTTGGATTTTTATCATCCTCTAAATTTTTGGAGAGTAACGTAAAAATCATTCTGAAAATCCTGTGGATGCTTGAAAAAAATTTTATTACAGTGATGGTTTTCCTGTTTATACATTACCGAAAACATGAAGCTTTCCTTTGTTTTATCAAAATGGGCCCCGCTCTATTTTTAGGCCTCATAAATCTGTAGCGAGTTAATTCCAATTTCCGGAATAAAAGGCGCAAAGCTTAAGGGCGGATGGTATAAATAGGGATATTTACTAAACCAGGCTTCGTCCATAAGTTCTAAAGTCTTGTACGTCTAGATTAAGTCGTCTTTATAATTTATGGTAATGTTGTGACTTACACCTTTATTTTTATTGTAGAACCTTTATTTTTCAACAAAATTTTTAGCAAGAAAGTAATTTGGTTTCTGGAATATTTATTTTTTATTTTTGGACACTGAAACCCAAAAAATGCTGCTTTTAGCCTCCGAAAAAGTTTCGTTTCTTTCTTATCAAGATCAAAATTGTTTTTTTACTCTCGCCCTTTCATCTCGTTGCAATTTGCTGCACATTTTAATGGAATTTGCATAACGAACTTTCTCTGATTCCTTTAGGTCCTCGTCACTTTTAAGTTGACTCAATTTCCGCTTGCAAACCAAGTCCAAACTTAATTTCGAAGGCCGCTTTAATTGGGATCTAGGTTTCAATGGGGCCCAAATGGGATTTAGAGATTTTAAAAATAGGATTTATTACTGCAACAACTTTGTTTAAAATTGATTGTACAATATAAAAAAAAGAAGGTATTTGGGAATTTTTCGTAGTTGTTGGTATCTCGCGACATTTTGGAGCTGTACCCGTGGGAAGGGCGGATTCGGGAGGTCTTTAAATTAATTCTGAAGCCACAGGAAAATAAATATTATCCGTTTTGGCACGCAGTGCCTTTAAGCTTTGGATCGGCAATTTTCTCATCATTTTACGTAGTCTATCTAATCCACAACAATGGTTGAATTGATGGCTATTCCTTGAAAAATACGAGCTAAAATTTTCATGGATTAATACGAGGTTCAGGTGCAGCCTCTCTGCAAAATCTAAGGGCTGTAGAAGCTGCTGACATTTCCAAAAATAACTTTTTTACAAAAATGTTAGCCTACAGATTTATACTCTAAGATTTGTACGCCCCCGAAACAATTTTCTTATTTTTGAACTTAATCTTCTCTATTATCCTCCCCAAATCTCCGCGGATTAGAGTTAACGAGCCTTGTTTCCAAACGGTTTCAAGCACAACGTGCCCTAACTGTTTCCTGAGGGGATTGCATCCGTTTCTGATGTCATTCTCTGCAAGTTCTCTCCGCTTTTTTTTGGAAAACATCTCCAGACGGCCCGCATTCTATGTGAACTCTTCAATTTTTGGCGAAAGCAAATTTGATATTAACGGTAAATAGCGGGCCCGAAAAATACGGGTGTGGTGACCGTCCTTTGCTCCCCAATTCTCCATGGGATTTGTATTTTATTGTCCGAAGGGTACTGTAGAGGGATTATGGCTGGGATCATTATTATGATGAGAGTTTACAATTTAATCCGACGCTAAAAATGGGTGGATATTTTTGGGAGTTTGTTCAATTTATGAATTCTAGAATTACAGGGGAGTTTGTCGTAGCTTTACCCCGATAGAGATGATTTAAAATTTACGCAGCGTTGACAAATAGTAAGCAAACATTTCAGCAATTAAGATACAGTGGGGGACCTGATCCAGCGGCAAAAAAAGTACCATTTTGCAGTTGGGAAGTATCAAAAATGTGGCAAAATGCTTCCTTGAAAAGACTCCGATTTAAAAAGCGGGCCCGCTCTTTTTGTGAGGCAAAACGCGCGCCCTTCAAGACGAATTTTTTTTACTTATAGAGGGAAGCATTTTGCCACATTTTTGATGCTTCCCGAATGAAGAATGATACGTTTTTTTTCCACTGGATCAGGTCCGTCACTGTAGTACAAAACCCATGGAATATTCTGACAAACGTATATGCAAAATTTTGAAATATTTTATCGATGACTTTCCTTACAGAGTTTTCCTACTGCGATAGAAAGCAGGCCCCATTTTTCCCTAAAATTAAATTTTTGTCTCCTTGAACTTCCACGGTTTTCCCCCACTCCTAAAGTCCAAAAAAATCCGCACATTTTTCGTGTTGTTTATGCAAAATCTTCCGTTCTTTGCGGCCTACCGTAAATCCGGCATTCAAGACTGGACCCGCGTACGGCCCCGCGGCATTGTTTTGAAATTTCATCCAAAAACAACATTCGTCTTCTTTTTCCTCTGTTCTTTTTGAACCCACAAACCCGCTTATGGAAGATGAGATTGTGGATGGGCGAAAATGATGATGATCCACATCACGTAAGGCTACTTTTGAACGAGATGGTGCGGATTATTCGCAGAAAAGATGATTTAGAGAGGTGTTGAAATTGTATTTTGTATGATGCGGAGCGACGTAGATGATTTGAAAAGTTGACTTTAAGAGGATCAGGGGGATTCTAGAGTTTAATTTTTATTAATGGGGTCTTGTAAGGAAAACGTAAAGGATGGCCTCTATGAAGTCACGGAAAGAAAAATTGGCTTGTTTCCAAAGCTGCAGGAAATACTGCGTCTTGTTTTCTTTATTTTTATCTAGGGCTATTAACTTTTAATCCAGCCAAATTTACCATCTTGTATAATAGATAGTAAAAAAGCCTCAAATTCCTACAAACTTGAATTTCAATTAGCATAAAAATCTCAATCATCCTCAAATCAAGTCATCAAAATTCACCTTCAAGTTACTGTAGACCAACATTCCGATCTCCCCCAACATTCTTGTTTTCCATTACTCGTCATTTTGTTCGCCCTGAAACGTATTTTCGTGATCATCAAGTTGTATTGAATGCCTTTTGAAGGCTCTTCTCCTACAGTATTTATCCACGAAAGCACTTGACGTGGCTGCACTTTCTCTCATAACAACCCAGGTTTTTGAATGCGGAATTGCCCGGCGAGGGTTTAACCCCAAACTATGAGCAAATTGAATCAAAAAAAATTTTTTTTATTCGTCGGCGGTTCTTTTATGACAAAATATGGCGAGTTCTTGAGGTTTCCCCGAAAAAGGAAGTGTTTTCGCCGGGATTTCATACGTTTTCATGGTGGTATGTTCCAAAAGAGGATATGGAAAAGACCCTGGGGGCTCACGGAAGGTTGTTTTAGGGACGAGAGTTGCTGGTCTAAGTTGGGATGGAAAGAGTTTTGTTATCGCTTTCTAACATGTCTCCAAAATTTTTTTCCGCCATTTTTACTGACGTACCTACCACCTATACGCATATATCTCTTCTGTTCGCTTGGCCAGCCAACTTTTCTTGCCCATTCTCCCTTTCAAGTCGGTTATTTCACCTGAGTTTCCAAACGTTTCCAAGTCTTCTTTGAATGGGTTTCGAATGTCCGAGAGGGTGGCTTCTGCACAAACAATGGAAATTGTGAAACCGGAGAGCATTTCAAAAAACTTAATACAGTGATATTGGTTTACCCGACGGTCCTCTCAACATTTGAGGCCACATTTGTGGCCATAAAAGGATGAATTTCGCAAAAATTCTTTGGGTCAAATTTTTGAAAAATCGTTAAAGCAAATTTTGTGTATTTTTGGCCATAAAGGGTCATTTTTGATTATATTTTTTAAGCAGAAATTTAAATTTTTTGATTAAGATTTAATTTTTTCCGCCAAAAATCTAAAAAAAAAATAAAAATCTTTTTTTTTTATTTTTTCTCTGCAAAAATTGAAAAATTCGTCGGGCCAATTTTCCCATCCAAACACGCCCTAACCTTTGTTAAATTGCCCAAAAATATGGCCACCTTCGAAGGGTAAACCGGTTTTTGATTTTTTATTTTTACGGGTTTCCGGCATAACTTTTTCTTTCAAATCCCGTCATTTTTTGAGGCAAAAACAAGGTTTAATTGTAAGAGGGCCATAAATAACTTGTCTTGGAGATATAAAAGGGACATCTGAAGTTATCTGAGCATTAAAAACGAGAGAAATATTTGTCGGGACCATGCGGAGGGTAAGTTTTGGGTGTGGAGAAGGGAAATTTAGAGGATTTGGTAGTAAAAAATAGGGAAATCAATTTTTTTACTATATTGGGGCACATAGGATAATGTGCCCCAATATTCTTCAAATTATTTTATGGTATTTGGGATAGGTTCAGGTTACAATTTTCTATAGCGTTTTTGAGATTTTTTGCTTACCGTTTCCAAAAATCATCGTTGGTTGTTTTTTTGGCCCAAAATTCTGGCCTGTTATCGTTGATCTACGGCTCAAACGAATACTGTAACTAAAATTTTATGAAAAATTTCTCTGGCTTTAGATATTACAGTTTTTGCTGACCATGTCCACCTAAACCCGGAACGACTTTCCATTCAAAAGTGCCTCAAAATTCGAAAACACGTCCTGTTTTCGGCACCAAAAGAATAAGCAAAAAACTTCTTGCCAAGCCAAATCACACGTCAAGTGCGGGCGAGCAGACTAAAAACAGATTATTCGGAAGGCGTCTGCCCCGCATACCTTGATGTCCGTCCCACGACTCCATTTATGATATCACGGCTAATTTGTAACGATGACATGAATGAGGGTCCCAGAACCGGGGAGACTAAGTGAGCTCGTCGGGAGGTCTTTGATTTATTTGGACCTATGAAAAGGGCAGGGGAGGTGGGTTGGGGAGAGAGAGATTGGCTAATTTGGAAACTGTTTGGGATGGGAATCGTGACGGAGAGATATGTGAGGCTATTTTAAAAACACTTTGACTCCTGTTTTGCGGTCAAAGTAATGGTATGTTCATTAATTGATATACCACAAATGTCCCACAAGATTTCTGCTTTCCAATCTCCCTAGATGACTTTTCAATATTTGAAAATGTCGGCCTCGTTTTTGTCGTGCCGCCTGAGATATTTACAAAACATTTTAGACCAAAAATTATGGAAACTGAGCCGTGAAAAACCGGGGTTCAGCTTTACATATGCGAACTTTGAGATATTTGAATAAAGCAAAATTTTGTAGGCACTATTTGGACTCATTTTTAGTAATCGGTGTCCTATTGTCATCTGAAAAAATCGAAAACTTTATAAATCCCGTTTTTCGAACATACTGTAAGCCTAGATTGCAAATAATATTTTACCAAGATATTCTCAGAACCTATGCGTTTAATCATCATATTCCTGCTACATTGACCCTTCAATTACCCAGTTCTGCAGTCGCTAAATATTATTTACATTTAGCCCACCGGCAATTTACTATTCCCATCCTCCGCCAATTATGAGCCCCTTTCCGGGCACGTCATTTTCTATTGTAATTACAGGTGTAAAACGACAGGGTCTCGGGGTGTTTAACGGCGCTGACAACACAAAACTTGCACTTTGTTATATAACAATTAATGTCAAAATAATGTCATTCAAACAATTTGTAAAAGAGAAATTGTAAAAGTAGTGTTTACAAGAGGGCTCTTCAAGTTTTTCATCGACAAATCAAATTTCCGCCTTGAGGGCATCTGCACGTCACTTCGGAACTGGTCGGCCTCAGGCATTCTTGGAGTTCTTGCAAATACTTTGGTTTAAAATTTCGTATTTTCGCGTTTCAAAACACTCTCTGCAAGTCTCTTTATTTTTCACTCACTTTATTTTTTTTCTTCCGATATCTTGTTACTTTTCAGCTATTTTATTTACAATTTCTCATCTTCCTTTTTTTCTCTGCTCCCTCTCAAAATTTCGCCGTCTTGTTGGTCCTGTTCAAACAGTTTTTTGTCCGAAACCTTGTAAATGTGAGATAGCAACGGGTTAAAGTGCCTTTCCCTTCCTTTTTCGTCGCTCCTCCCCTCCGGCAAACGGTAATTGAGAAGAAACCGAAAAGCGATACTCTTAAAGTCACATCTGTCCTGTATTCTGAAGACATCTTCCTCGGCCCAGATATGAATGACTTCCGATATCAACCGGGATACGGTTATTATGACTATCGACATGTGGTAGGTGATGGGGGTGGGGAATAGAGAATGGAATTGGGTATCGGATATTCAAGGAGGGCGCCTCAAGGAAACGTTTGGGATAGAGATCTCGAGGGCAAAAGAACAGTCGAATAAGACGGGTAAAAAAGTGAAGCTAATTCTGTAAAGGCATAGAATGATTTACATGTTTAAACATCATGCTAAACGTATAGCCACGGCAGTTTTATATCAAAAGTTCAGCAGCTATTATTAATATTTTTTGTGTACGATCCGAAATTAATTTCTCAACAGACGTCGCAGTGTAATATGTAATATCTATCCATTTGTTTTAAAATTAACCTGCTTGCCATGGAGCTCGTTTTGCAAAATTAGTGTAAAGCCTGTAGGTATTTACTATTGTCACGACACAGTTAATTTTCTCGACTTTCTGCGATTTTCAATACGACAGAGCGCTCTCTATTTTTCCAGACTGGTAATAGATGATAATAGTCAAAATCCTCACGGGTGCTTTTCAAATTGCTCTCGTATGAATAAATAGCAGGTTACGGGTTGTCGTTGCGGGACCAATTTTGGGTCCAGGTGCGGCTGGCTTCATTTTTTTTGCATATGCGATCCTTCTAACTTTTTAAAACATTTATATCTGAAGTTTTTGCTATAACCTCGCATAATTTTGAAAAAATGTACTTGAAAACCATGTTTCCTTACAAAGGCTGCAATAGCAACTCCGGCATGACCTTTTAAAAACTCAACCTTTTCCACTTCCTGTCACTACATCAGACAGATCTTCCCTTTTTTGTAATCCAATATTTGATATCAAACTTTACTTCTTCGAAATCTTAAATGAGATTTTTTGGATTAAAATTTGGTTTTGTCGCGAAGTTCTGCCCCTAAATTCTAAACCGGATATCTCGGATAAAGCCTTATTTCGCTCTAAGAACGATCCGTATTGATGTCATTCCACTAACTTTGGTAACTAACTATCAGTCGGGTCTATTTGAATATTAATCTTTTCATATTGTAGAAGATTGTAGCTATGGCTCATTTGAGAATTCGACGGCGAGTTACGGTAATTTTGAATGTTAAAAGTGCAGTAATCGAAAAAATAATTAAAAGTAATCATTATGTCCTATGGTAAACTACATTTCTCCCTTCCTAGGAGCCAATTTACACCCAGACTTTTCCGATTATTGCCATTTTTTGTTCTGTTTGTTGAGTAACTTTATATAAATGCAAAAAATCTATAAATAACCCTAGGAGATCTCCGATTAAATGACCTTGCGGTGTTTTGACTGGCTTTTGTAGTTGACGAAAGGGTGGGGGTACGTTCCTTTGTTGTTCCCGTATTCCCAAAACATTGTAATCATCTCTAAATCAGGTAGCGATGCTTTGTATTTTCTCTTTTCAGGCTCTAATTAGCGGGCAGTCTGCTAACTTCCGAGACCTCTATAATCTTCCTGTGTGAAGGTTGGTTAAGCTTTCTTTGGCCGTAACGTAGACAGAGTGGAAGAGAACGGAATGATGCCGGGTTTGTTGTCTGAGAGTCAACAGCTTAATTAATGCCGAATAATGTTTAGTAGCAGGTCTCGGTATGATTTTATGTAGGCCTTGTAGAGCATATATCTTGTCAAGTTTATGACACACTTTGACTTCCAGACTTTGATGGCTTATTTTTTGATCTTGGTTCGTCATCTAAAACACGTTTTTGAACCTTTTACCGAAATTTGATGCACCTCTATGCTAACCGAAGGCGCCAAAATTTCCGAATTTCTCCTGGTTTTTAGCTCCTCCGCTCTCTGAAGGGACCATGTTTATTTAACCTTTTTTATCACCCATTTCTGACGTTTATCTTCAATTTTTCGTCTCTAGGTTCTGCTGTTTGTAACTGCTTACCAACAGGTCATTGTTCATGATATCATCCCCATTTCTTGCAGCCTTTCCTTCGTTTCGGTTGCTTGGATATTCGTAACCGCACTTGAGGGTGTGTTTACAAACACAGCTCAAACGTGGTGTAACCTGAGGCTGGGAAAGTACTGTAGGGAAATACTCGGTGATTTGGCGTGGGGCTAGCTTGCATAGTTTACTTTAAGCAACGGAATTGCTCTTGGTACGGCGCTTTGATTTTCTTGAAATTTATGATTTTTGATACTTGTAGGTTTCAATTGCTGAAAATCTTAGCTTGAGCATTGCAGAAACTGCATAAGTCTCAACTTTCTGTAAAGAGAAGAGACTAAGGAAAATGGGGAGAGATGGTCAGAGAAAAAACCTTTTTTTCTATGTGTTTGTAAACTCTTTATGCAACGTCAAAGTTTCAGAATTTTGCAGGCTCTTGATCTGCATAGCATGAGCTAAAAATAGCTTTGAAAATGTTTCCTCAGTGCTTTCCAAGTTTTGTCAACATATCCTTCTTTCTTTGTCATCATTTTTCCATTCTTGCTCACACTCTTCCAACTTTACTTCCCTTTGCTCCAACGCAGCATTTTAAGTGCCCTACCCAAAGTACTTGAGTGATTATTCGCCTTTTTGGAGGGACTTTTGGCAAACTCCAAAGAATTTATCCGACTGACTCAAGATACGAACCACACCTTGAAAACGGCCCACTTTCCCCATTGTTTCTGCGCCGCATTTTGCGAATTCTTCAGAAGAAGAAGTAAACCGAGTAGCTGTCAGAAAAAGGTGGGCTGTTTTGGCGGCTTGCATTCCCCTACAGACGTTTCAAATTTTTCGTTGAATTCGTAAGAATTTTGATGTTTAGTGTTGGCTGACCACACGGTTGTAAGGGTGTTGGGGCTTCCTGGAGTGATGGTTTTTGAAAGTATGGAATATGTTGGAAGCAGTTTTTTTGATCGGCTGTTGCAATTGCCGTTGACTTGTAAAGTGGCTGTCGTTTTTTGAGATTATTTTCATCTCTACCGACATTCCTTAGCAGATATTACTAGTTTGTCAGGGACATATAGTGAGCTCAATGTCGCTGTACCAATTGCGTCGCTGAAATAAAGGAAAATTTGATTTTGCCGCTGCATTATTTATTCACTATTTTCCCGACAGACCGATAGCATTTTTAAAGTAATTGAGAGACTCCTTGCTCTTGCTTTGAAGGCACAATAAATTGTTAAAAGTCATCACCAAAATTTTTCACCTGGCCGTCTCTCCTAATTCCCCACAATCTCTCGTCTTTCACGGCACTTGAAAACCAGAGAACAAGCTATTTGTAGATGCGTATTTATGGCCTTGAACGGCAAGATGTCTGGAAAACAAACACATTTTGTATGAAGGCGCTGGCGTGTCTTTTCCAAACTTTCACATTTTCGCCTACCGTATTTCGCTACAATTCCGTTTGCAGCCTTTGTACCTGATATTGTGAATAATTCATTGCTTCACACGAAACAATGTCACGCAGAGATAAAACAAACGTTCCGAATTTCCAAATTATTTACATAAACGTGATGTGAATGTAAAGTAAGATAAATACTGCCGTTTTTGAAGGTATATAGTACTAATGTCGTCTTGCAAAAACGAAGCCGCAGAGTTGTTATTTTGCAAATGGGAACTCGATTAAATTCAAAAGAACAAAACATTTTTTTTGGAAAAAATTTAAATATTTGAATTTTATACAAAGTTATGCATAATAAAGCTGATTCTACAGCCTTCCCTCAGGCTATGTATACCCTTTTTTTGGCCTCCAAACCGCAGCCTCATCCATCTTCTCTTACAACTTACATTTTGACGACCCTTTCCCTCTGTTTTTCCGGCCGCCTTATGTGCTTTCATTAATGCGGAATGAGAGACTTTCCCTCTCCCCAAAAAAAAAACAAAAGTTAATTCAGTCGATTAATATGTTATATGTACATGTCTTCCATTTCAGTCCTACTCATCCGAACCGCGACGAAAACCCTCCCAATGCACGTTGTCGCCGTCGCTGTTTGAGTCGGAGAACGAGGATTCGGAAGGCGCGAGTGGACTCGGCGCCCGCTCCAAGAGCACCACAGACGCGAACCGACGGGTGAGTGGGAATTTTGGTAATCTTTTAGTGGGATTGTTTATGGTAGAATGTGATCTCGAGCATTTTTATTTTATTTAGGGTCCATTTTTGGAATTAAAAATCCTTTTCATTATTTCGGATGACATTCCGAGTGAAATTCAAAGGCCAATCAGTCTAAAAAATGGTCCAAGTACAACCCGCAGGCTTGAAATTTGGGCTGCAATTTGTTGACGCATACTCGACATTTTAGCTTAATTTTTGCCGAGATTCTATCGAAGTTTTAAAGTTAAAAATCAATATTTTGAGGAATTAAAAACTTGCCCCAAAAGACGGCCTTAACTTTCAATTGTAATCACACTTTTCACAATCCCTCCGGACTCCTCCAATTTTGATCTTCAACCTCAAATTAGGCCTCATCATCCTCCAAACTGTTGTTTACAATTCAATTTTCTAAACATGTCACTTACACTCCCACATGTGCTCACTTTTCCAAACTCTTCCGAAACCACAGTTTAGCGCTCTGTGAGGTCGTTGTGTGGCCTGTTCGTGTGATATTTGTATTCGTTTTTTGTTTGCCATTTGAATATTGGATAGAAAGAGAAGCCACAAGTTGTCAAGTATTACTTTCCCGGCTAATCTGGTTGTTTTCTTCTTTCTTAGGGCTGAAAGATAATGGCTGAAACCCCTGAGGGCTTTATCTTTTTGAAGGTTAATCTTGCCTTTGAAAAGTCCATTTTGAAGTCTTTTCCTGTTTTGTTCAAATCTTTTCAAGTCGGAGAATGCTCGCAAATTGATTGAAAAGTGTTTTCCGAGTCTCTGACTACCGTGTTTTAGCCGAGCCGTAATTCCTTGGGAGTCCAGAGCCCGCCATCCCCACAGATCTCCCCCGCCCGATCGCCCACCAACCTCTCCGTGCCTCGCCGTCAACAGCGGCGCATGAGTGTGGACGAGAGTCAGCAGCGCCGACTTCAGCATCTGGCTGCAAGGACCGGAGTTCTCAACGCACCCAACGGCCACAAACTCTCGCTGTCCGGCTTCGCTATGATGAACGGCGCCACTGGAGATGAGGTAGGGCTTCCGGATCCGGAAAAATAAGATTTTTAAATAAAAAGTTATTTTTTTCTTCCGAAAAATTACGATCTTGCAATTTCAGCGACAAGACGCGCGAACACGGATAAGCAGGGCAACTCGAGACTTCGCAGAGACCGGTGATTTCGGACTCACTCTACAGGAACATCTCAAATTGACCAGTTATCAGACTCTAATGCTCACACAAACATGGCCCAAAATGAAGTCCAGCGTTTTTACGGCTGTTTTTAGGTGGGTTACTGTAAGACTTATTATTGAAAACCGTTGACAGCACTCTCAAAGTAGATTTTTCAATATATATTAATGTGTTCATGAACATCGCCTCACGTGTTTTTACAATTTCAGAGAGCTTTCGCAGAGGTGTCCGAAAGTCAAAGAGCTCTTCCAAAAAACAAGTATAGTCGGTGGGTTCTCGGCGAATAAGTGCTACGACATCAAGGAACATGTAAAGCAGCTCATTGAGCTCTATGACCTCAGCATCCAAGACTTGAATGCACCGTGTAAGATTTCGCAGGTAAGAAAATTAAAATCTTGGTTTGACGTGTAGTATAATTCAAATTTTGTGTTGTAATTTAGAAATAGACAATCTTTTTGAGTTAAAACACAATACAAAACCATTTTCGGAGTGTAAACTATAAATTATATTGCTTTAGGAACGGCTAGTAAACATTGGGGAGCAGCATTTTTCGATTTGCGGTCCCGGCGCCAGCAGTATTTGGGACGATTTGGGCGTGGCGCTAACCGAAGCCATTTCCAAGGCCGACGCGACGCGAGGAAAACGTGAAGCCTTCAAAGCCTACATAGCGCTGACCTCGTTTTTGGTGGACTCGATGAAAGCCGGCTACAGTCAGCAGGCCAAAAGGAAGAGTCTAACTCGAGCTTCGAACGGACATCTCAATAAAAATATGTGAACTTTATCAACGTATGTACACTTCTGACATCACTGGACTAATTCTTGTCCATGTTATGCCAAAATTAGAACTCGTTTCTAGTCAAATCCAAAAAATTTTCCGAAAAATTGGGTCTCACCACGAAAACCAGATCTCACCATTTTCTCCGTTGTGACATAATCTTTGGCTTTGGAATGTAACAAATATTGTCTTGCAATCTCAAATATCGATTTTTAAATCGAATTCGTCCGGTTTTTTCTTTTTTTATATTACACTTTACCATCCATATATATTTGTCCAAAAACGCTATGTAAAATACATGTTTCGAATACCTGTTGACAGTTTTCAATGTAATAAAGAACAAATGGTTTTAAAATACGTCCAAAAATTGCTCTGCCTTTTTCCAGGCACAAAAAGTTAAAAATTTCAAAAATCCAACAAAGATAAGGGAAGTTACAGTATGTACAGTTAGATTCTGATGACAAAACCAACAATTAGCTGGTCCTGGAGAGCTGCCGTTTGAAGAAACGCCTTCTGAAGTCATCAATTCCATTCCCAGAGCATTGCATTCGACAGAAATTGGGGAAAGCCGGCCGAATCGCGGGTATCCCTCTGGCAATGGCCAAATAAAACAGCCTCATATCATTCTCAAACTGCTGATTCAACTGCAAATCGTACTCATCCACCTTCCTGTAGATCCCATTGCATTCCTTGATCGTGTCCAGGAACTGTAAAAGATCTTTTGTAATGGTTATTTTGAGCATGGGAGAAAAGGTCCGTAAACATAACACAAATTATTTGTGTGATAAGAAAGAAGGGCTATGATGGGTGGAGGAGTGTAACAAAAGCACTCAATCTGCTGTTTTGATATGGACCCCAAAAGATTCTGGATCATATGAAAGGCATAGTAAACAGAGGGGTTTAATAAGGAAATATGAGTGTTCCAAGAGTTTGGTTGGGTGTTTATGCAACTTGGAAGGGATGAAAGTGTTGAAACTTATAAACAAGGCACCTATAGGGAGAGAAAATTGCGCAGGATCGAAGATCTGATTGGCAAACGCCGTTATAATTCTATTGTGTCGACATAAGCCAAGCTGCCTCGCAAAAAGCTCGGAATAAAATATCGTACTCAACCTAGCAATCATATACTAAAAAAATAAAAACAAAATTTGAGCGGAACCTTGGGACCTTTATAACCCTGAAGCCTTGAACTCGTAACACTTTTAATTTTCGGCAATAACCAGCTAATGTCATCATTATCTTATAGATTACATATCATCCGTTAGCTTTCCAAAATACTTACAAAATCACATCCTTCCTCTCCCATTACCATAACCAGTATCGCCACAAATACTATCACCATAGGCTTAACCATATTTCCAGGAGAAAATAAATTAAATTACAATCAGCAACGTTCCAGTCCGGGAAACCGTAAACTGGAAGAATTAATTCCTTGGATGCCAATTTATTGACTGTCAAAGTTTTTATAGTAAACAGGTCAAATGCCGATAAATCATGTGATTTTATAGAGCGGTTCGCACTTGAACTCTTGACTTGAAAAGAAGAAGGTGACGCCCATAAAAAGGAAGAGCCGAAATACTGTAAGAGAATGACGAAAGGACGGGTGATTAATCACGTACAACAGAGAAATGGAAGTAGGGGTGTAATGGTTACACTTACGGGGAAATGAAACTTTTTTGTTTTTAGGAAAATCGGTTGGATGCGTGCGGGGGATGACAAAGACTTGAAAGAGAGAAGATTCCATTGGCAATCCATAATAATCATAAATGTGATATCCATGATTCGGTTCTGTTGAGATCAGCTTACTGGTCTACAGGCAGTTAAAAAAGCCCAACAATGATCAGCGAAAAACTGTATTCGTTATCACAAGGTGCCATGAGACATAATGCTGACTACTGGGGGAGAGAGGCCTGGTGAATTGGGAACCCAGAAAAGTCTTTTTGGTTCCATATTTGTCGTCAGAGCTTCAACAAAAATAGCAATTATGTATGACTGCATTTTCATTCTCTCTGAAAGGCGTACCATCTTTATTTATATTGATGACTATTCGGCATTATTTCAAGACCTTTCCCAATACCAATACCCACGTAAAAAATTTCAGAGAAAATTTCGAAGACATGTTTTCTATAGAAAACATATATGTTATTATTAAGCTCACTGTGTTTTTCACCTTAATACGTCGTTGTAAAGTATATCAGGTTTAGGTGTAACCGCGTGCATTTTATTGTTTATTTATGCTTCAAACGCTTGACCTTGGCTTCTCGTTGCCCTTGTTGAAGAGCATAGTATCTTCCCATACTTTCAACTTCTTGAACCGTGTACTTTCAAAAGACTGCCAACTTTTACGGATCACCTCTTTTCCCACCTACAATTAAAATAATCACAATCGGCGACGTTAACAACTTAATGAAGCGAGAAACGTGGCGCCAAACAGTTTATTTACAATCCATCAACACTGTTTGATGGCTGAAGAGAGAGAGAGTGTTTTTAATGCCACCCATAACTGCACTCAGAGTTTACACTTTAAAATGCACTTTTCCGCAAATTGATTACATGTGTTATCGTGGAAATCTCAGTGAATTTAAAAGAGTTTAGGTCAAGTGGAATGGGAGGAAATTACAATATTATAAACTTCAAAGGTTTTACAAAGTGAAGTTCAGATATTTCGTTGTTTGATAAGACAAAAATGTAAAAAAAAAGACTTTAGGTTGCCCAAAAAAATATCTAAGTTGCTTGAGTTTCAAGGCTCCTTATCCTGAAATTTTGTATATGCCACCTGCAAGGCAAGCTAATAATAAGAATCGAAACAATTTTAATCTTAAGCATACGTATTTCCAATCAAAATATTTTCAAATCCATCTTAACGAAGTCGTGAACTTTCTGCTTTCATACTTCTATGACTGTAAAAACAAGGTCAACTTATTGTTAGTTGTGAAATCCTCCGTAAATCATTCGATTATTAATGGCGATCTCACTGAAACCCGTCACATTTTTCTAATTTTATCACTCGACCAGATTCCATCGTGATTTTAATGAATTCTTCAAATTACTTTTTGTCGGAGAAATTCGAAAAATATGGGTCAAAAAACACATAAAATATGGTACTGTATTTATTATCTAATTCCGAAAAAAAAATATTTTTTTGCTTATTAATTGTATGGGCGTCTTCCTTGGAGCTAAAAATTTAAAAATATAAAGTCAATTTTCAAGTGCAATTTGAAAGTTTACCTCATTTTGGCAGAGATCTCCAAGGGCATTGACGTGATTTCTCTCCAGACCTCCTCTAATTCCCCGCAAATAATTCAGAGTCGACACAAAACACCCAAAACGGTACTGGAATTGCGACATGTCGCGGTATTGTCGCCGGAATCTAAAATAAAATGAACCCATAAAAGAAAATCCTTAAAGGTATATGCTTATAATCTTGCAAGATGTATAAAAAAGATTTTTGGCGCAGTACTGTCCTTCAAAGGTCCTAGGTAGACCAGGAATGCCCCACTCGATCTCGAATATCATTTGAGATATTTTTTCCATCGCTTGTTTAGTCGATTCTCCATTCCTCAACACACTTACTTCTCCATCCATCTTCTGAACATCAACAAGTTTTGCTGTTCCTCTCCGGTTCTCAACGTGCCCATAAGTTGATCAAGTTCTCGGCTATAGGAGTTGATGTTACAGAGCACAACTCCAACCAAACAGAGGAGGATTATCAATTTCATAGTGGAACTAACGGCCAGTTAAATCGCTGGTCCATTTTATACGGCCAAGTTTAATTTAAGTTTGTTATCAAAAGAAGAATTTAACGACGCTGTGAAAATTTGAAATAAATTAAAATTTTAAATGAAAAATAGTATGTAATTTTGGCGTTTTATTGAGGACCGCAACATTCATAATCTTTTACATAGAAATTAAAAAATTAATTTTTCCATCACGAGAGCATGATGTTGGACGAAAAAATAGATTTTTTATAGACCGTCATCGATAACAGTAATTGAAAAATAGCAAAAAATGTTCAGTTTGTATGCTGTCAATCTTGTTTTTGTACAAACAAAATATTGCTTCGAGAGCTTGCCTTCTCAGTCTGCAAATTCCATCGTAAAAGCTGATCTTTCCCCAAAATGTCACCCAACTGGCAACATCGTATTGACTGTACAGAATTCTCACTATTATATAAACCTGAGAAAACATGACACCCCTTACTGTTCAATTATGAAACTGTTTGTTGCTGTACATTTGAGTGTGTCTTTCCTTTGCCTATGGAACGTGGAGTCTAAAGAAGTTTCCAACAAGAAATTATTGCTAAAAGAATCTCTTAAAGAACTACTAAATGCTGACAATGTCTCCACAGATGCTAGATCAACATTGAAATTAGCTGAGGGGTTAATCCATCAAGTAGAAGATCATGAACATGATGATTTGCTTGAATTCTTTGGTTTTATTTCCAAGTAAGTCCTGATCAATCGCAGCAAAGGGTGATTTAGATTCAATCGGCGTTATGCGGATTCTAAGGAGGTGGAATCAAGATTCAGAATCATCCAGGAGAGTCTGAGGACCATTTCGAAACTTCGTAAAGCAAGTCCAAGCGCTGAATTCGGCCTAACGGCGAGGAGTGATCTCTCCAAAGCAGAACATTCAACATGTGCGAGGTTCAGCAAGATGAATAGCAAGGAGTTCAGCCGTAAGTAATCAAAACTTTTTTATGTTGACTTTTTCAGACGCCCTTCCAAACTTCGCTGTTGGTGAAGCTCCGAGCACATTCGACTGGCGAGATCATAACGGTGTTACCAGCGTCAAAGACCAAGACCAGTGTGGAAGTTGCTTTGCTTTCGCCGCAACAGCCGCAATTGAGAGTCAGTGGTTGGTGCACCGAAACAAAAGCCTAGATCTGAGCGAGGAGCAAATTCTTCAATGCACTTACAACGTTTCGGGGTACGATGCCATGGGTTGTGACGGAGGAGATCCCGCTGGTGTACTGAGATATGTTCGAGATCACGGAGTGACCGACGAGGCCCACTCTCCATACAACATATCCGCAGAGATGGGGCATTGCAATAGAAAGGTACCAATTGTTGCCAACATTAGCCACATTGTTACTCTTTCAAATTACGACGAAGATCAATTGCGCGACATTATCTACAATGTGGGGCCGGTTGTTGTTGGTAAGAGAGTTGTTTTGAATGACGATGTCATATATAGTATACATCTTTGCCACTCAAGACACTCATTTCAGGGGCTGACGCAACCTTTTTAATAAACTATCATAGAGGAGTTATTAGCTTGCAATCCGACGAGTGGAATGTAGATCATGCAGTGGTCATCGTGGGTTATGGAGAAGAGGGCAGCTTCAAATATTGGGTCCTCAAGAACTCCTGGGCCGAAACATGGGGCGAGAAAGGATACTTCCGCGTCGAAAGAGGCCTCAATGTACTCGGTGTAGCCAAAACGCTTATGATTGCATTTATCTGATTTGTTGAAAAAATAAAGACGCTTTATTAGACATTTACACCTTTTTGTATCTATTTTTGTAAATAGATATCAGAAAAAAAGAATCTCATAGAAGTTCTTATAACTACTGCACACCAAGTTGCTTTTGTCATTAGCGCCAGCGTTTTTTCGGAGGCTTAGATACATCCACTACAATGTCAGAGACATTAGATTTTCCTTCAAAAAAGACGACTTTTTTGAAGGTAAAATATAGTTATAATGTTATACAAAGCCTATATTTTCTACAGACGAAATTAGGTGTGTCGCATCTGATAAGTCGTCTTTTGGCCTATTAGCGAAGGCTCGTAGACTGTTTTACCGTCGCAGGCCATTTTGGAGTCTTGTTTTGCATACGCTATTAACACACGGCTTCACATCAATTTGAACTTCTTGACTAACTGCAAAGAGAACAAAGGTATTTACAAATAACTTTCGATATGCATTGTGAACAATCCTGTACAGTTATTTGACGGTATATGCATTGACATTCAGATATATAATAATGCGGCATTAAGAGAGTGTACAGCCGACAAAATACGGCGTTTTATACATAAATACCAGTTTATACAAAATGAAATTTTGCTCAATTTTTGTTTGTTACAGTTCATAAAGGGCAAGCCATAAAGGTTCTTCTCACATACATATAAAAACAACGGAAATATGAACGTCACATCTTGCTAGTGACAGAAATGCAACTTGTTGCGGTTCTGGCGCTCGCCTTTCTTCTGTTATCTGGAGCAGCTGATAAAACCTCAATAAATGATACTGTCAGCAACTTGCTCAAGAAGAGGCCAAGTACTAAAGTCGTCAAGGCCTTACTTTTGGCGTCAAATTTGAGTGATTATGTTGATGAGAGCGAATTCGATGATTTACACGAGTTTTTGCACTACATTGCCACGTAAGACACGCTGTAAAAGATGTTATAGTTTCCTGTTGCTTTCAGATACAACCGTCAATACAGAAATCTAGCGGAGGTTCGACAAAAATTTAAAGCTGTCCAAAGAGCTTTGAAATTTATCAAAATGCTAAACGAAAAGAATCCGTTGGCCAAATTTGGGTTGACTGAAAGAAGCGACCGTCCAAGAACACATCGACAAAGGCATCATGATATGAATCTAACTGCCAGAACCAGGAGTAAGGGCTTTTTCTTGGACTTGTAGGACTGCTCTAGTAGATATACAGAGCTTTTAGGAATTTCTGAATATAGAAAACGCATGGTGAAGAATATCTCAAAGACTTTTTTGACCATTTCAACATTACGACTTGCATAATGACCCATTTTCAGGCCCCCTTCCAGAATTCCCAAACAATTCAACACCAGAAACGTATAACTGGCGCGACCACGAAGGGGTTACCTCAGTAAAAAAGCAAGGCGACTGCGAAAGCTCTTACGTCTTCGCCGCCGTTGCAGCCGTCGAAAGTCAATGGTTAATCTATAAAAAAGACTACTGGGATCTGAGCGAGAACCAAGTGCTCAGCTGCACCTACAACAACCCTGAATACAAGAGTTGTAAAGGATGCCTGGGAGGACTTGCAAGTGACGCTTTGAGCTACATCAAGGCCAGAGGAATTACCGAGGAATCGGAATCAGGGTACAACGATCATTTTCTTCCTCCGGTTTGCTCGAAAGGTCCCGTTGTTGCAACAATCAATGCGACGAAGTCCTGGCAGAATGTGGACGAGGAAAAACTGCGGAGCGTTGTGTATAACATTGGTCCGGTTGTTGTTAGTAAGTACATAGTGTTATATAATCAGGATAATCTATATTTCCTGTATATCCGATCCTATAAAAGTGGATTTCTTTACAAGCTTGACGACCTTGCCTTTTCACGCTCTGATCGTTGTCAATATTACACTTTTAGCTGTCCAAGCCGACGTCCTTGAGTTTTACAAGCAAGGGATTATCAGCATTCAACTAACAGATTTGGTGCCCAACCACTCCTTATTACTCGTCGGATACGGAGAGGAGAACGGCAGAAAATACTGGATCCTGAAAACCTCGTGGGGAGCACATTACGGAGAAGATGGATACGTCCGAATCGAAAGAGGATTCAATGTCCTGGGGCTTGCAAGACAGGTCGATGCCGCAATAGTGTAAGAACTCGTTCTTCGCGACATTCGTTTTTACAAGGAAAGTACTTCTATGGGGTGTGGAATTACCGGTCGAGATATATATCAAAAAATTCGCAAAAATTTTCTGATTCAGAATATATATAAATTAGCTGCCTAATTTTGGTCTGATGACATGTTTTTGTCCTCAGAAGTTTTCTCGCGACACAATGCAAGTGTCTTTTTGACCGTGTTTTTACCAATAAAAAAATTTTGTTTTGTGCTAAAATAAATTTTGAGGCCTTGACAAGCCTTAAAATATCAAATTGGATTACAACTACACCTTAAAAGTAGTTCTAATGTAAAAAATGGGTTCTAGTGTGGCAAAAGGAATCGAACCCGTCCCCTTCGGATTCCCAATCTAGCGCTCTAACCACTCGGCCACACCGCTCTCTTCCGAAGGAACAGACCGAGCGCGCTTTTGTTGCCGCAGATTTTTTTCCTCGAGAAATACATTCATCGATAAAACTCGTTGATAGACCAAAATTAGGCAGCTAATTTTTATATATTCTGAATCAGAAAATTTTTGCGAATTTTTTGATATATATCTTGACCGGTAATTCCACACCCCATAGAAGTACTTTCCTTGTTAGTAAACTTAATAATCATTAAAAATTGCGTACCGGAGTTTGGGTTTTACACGTAAAACCGTCATTTAACAGTACCAACGGCACAAAAAAATCAACAAAAATATTTACAAGCATGGGAATACCATTATTGAATCTCAAGAATGCCTTCGCACTTTTTCTCCTTGGAAAGCGGTCGGTTTTTCATGTCCACCCATGCCATCGCGGGCACAAAGGGCTTTGCCTGGGACAGTAGCTATCAATCGTATTGGGATTCGAGTTCGTAAAGTCAAGGTTGATCAATTCGAAGTGAGGGGAAACTGGAGCAGTTCGAGAAATCGTTGGAAAAGGGAAACGGTGGAGCTAATCTCGGGATATGTACTGTTCAGTTCTGGTAGTGGCGCCATTGAAAGGGAAACTTCCTACACACACCCGCTTGGACGCCCCAGTATAAGAAGGACCCTATAGCCAGCGATGAAAGGATGTTTCATTGACTGGACAATAGAAACCATAATGATTCATTCTATGATCTTTACTTGTGATTTGTGAAATAAATTGAAATTGTATCCCTTCAAAGGATGGCGATGTCGATCTCTTCGGTGATGCCCATGACATTGCTCCCTCTCTCAATACGGAAGAATCCGTCTTCCCCCCAGGTCTCGCCCCAAGAGTTCTTCAATGCCCAGTATTTCACACCATTCTCCTCACCGTATCCAACCAGAAGGGCAGCACGATTAACTCTCCATTGCCCTTGTGTACCTGATATGATTCCACTCTCATAGCCGACCAGTTTGGAAGCGTCAATGACTAAAAAGATCATTAATTTGGATAGCCAAAACAAAAAATGCCAAGACAAAAAAGAACATACCAACAGCAACGGGGCCGACGTGGTAGACAATGTCTCTCAACAGGACTGCTTCGTCCACATTGTTGGCTTGAATGGCCTGGCTAAGATTGGCCACGACAGGCTCATCCTTTTTGCAGTTGGGGAAGTCGGCGTCGGGGTTGTAGGGATCAGTCCTTTCGGAAGCGATTCCATGGTCGCGGACATATCGCAGGATTGCCTCGGTTTCTCCATCAACACAGCCTTGATTGTTGCCGTACTCAGGGGCATGATAAGTGCATTGAAGAACGTCTTCTTCGCTCAGGTCGAGCTCCTGGCCTTTCTTGACGAGGTATTGACTTTCAATGGCGGCGACCGCTCCAAAAGCATAGGAACTTCCACACAAAGCTTGATTTTTAACGGGGCTGACACCTTTATTCTCGCGCCAATCAAAAGCGTCGGGAGTGATGCCGGATTGGAAGCTTGGGAGGGGATCTAAAATTAGATTGTGATTAAGTAATGTGTCTGATCATCCTAGGGAAAAAGCATAAATTGCCAGAAAACAGACCGTTTCTGCGAGCACTTGTGCGCTTGTATCCATTGTATCTCTTGAATTCTTCAATGGACAAGTCGCTGAACTGGGTCAATCCGAATTTAGCATGCGGATTTTTAGCTTGTTGCTGAGCGGCTCTCTTCAGACTGGCTTGAACATTTCGGAATCTCGCGGTAACCTCAGCCAAGTCTTGGTATTTGCGCTCGTATATATAAGATTGCCCTCTTGAAGTACGAACCCTTAACTTACCTTGGAATGAATTATAAGAAGGCATCAAGATCAGCACGTTCGTGATCCTTGATTTGATTGGCTAAGGTCTTGGCCAACGCCAGAGTTGTGGTGGTGTCAAGGACACGGGCCTGGCCGTAGGCCAATAAAAGGCAGAATACAACAAGGAACTTCATGGATCCCATTCAATTATATTTCTTCTCTACCGGCCCAAGCATGTATACAAAATTGAGATTGGTGCTTTGCAACTCACTTTAGATGATAAAAAAATTGGATTTAGACATTTGAGTTTCCGGAAATGTCGGTGCATTCTTTTGTGGATAAGTGGAAATTGCATCAGATTAAAGCCCAAGAATGTGTAGTGTAGTGGCTTGGTTTTATTAACCTTGATACGTTTACTATTATAATTGGGCTCTCAATTGATCTTCGGAAATAACAAAATCCAATTAATCAGCAAACCCTTGTGATTATATTTGCAAAAAAACTAATTTCGGGGAGTATAAAAAGAAAATGCAGCACAACAGAGACATCATTGGGATCCATGAAGTTCCTTGTTGTATTCTGCCTTCTCTTGGCCTACGGCCAGGCCCGTGTCCTTGACTCCACCTCAACTCTGGCTTTGGCCAAGACCTTGGCCAATCAAATCGAGGATCACGAACGTGCTGATCTTGATGCCTTCTTGGAATTCATTACAAAGTAAGTCAAAAGTTCGTATTTCAAGAGCACAATCTTGTAGATACGAGCGCAAATACCAAGACTTGGCTGAGGTTACCGCGAGATTCCGAAATGTTCAAGCCAGTCTGAAGAGAGCCGCTCAGCAACAAGCTGAAAATCCGCATGCTAAATTCGGATTGACCCAGTTCAGCGACTTGTCCATTGAAGAATTCAAGAGATACAATGGATACAAGCGCACAAGTGCCCGCAGGAACGGTCTGTTTTCTGGCAATTTATGCTTTTTCCCTAGGATGATCAGACACATTACTTAATCACAATCTAATTTTAGATCCCCTCCCAAGCTTCCAATCCGGCAGCACTCCCGACGCTTTTGATTGGCGCGAGAATAAAGGTGTCAGCCCCGTTAAAAATCAAGATTTCTGTGGCAGTTGCTACGCCTTTGGTGCCGTCGCCGCCATTGAAAGTCAATACCTTGTAAAGAAGGGCCAGGAGCTTGACCTGAGCGAAGAAGACGTTCTCCAATGCACTTATAATGTCCCTGAATACGACAACAATAACGGCTGTGAGGGTGGAGAGCCGGAGGCAGTCCTGCGGTATGTCCGCGACCATGGAGTCGCTGCCGAAAAGACTGACCCCTACAACCCCGACGCCGACTTCCCCAACTGCAAGAAGGATGAGCCTGTCGTGGCCAATCTTAGCCAGGCCATTCAGGCCAACAATGTGGACGAAGCAGTCCTGTTGAGAGACATTGTCTACCACGTTGGCCCCGTTGCTGTTGGTATGTTCTTTTTTGTCTTGGCTATCCAAATTAATGATCTTTTAAGCCGTTGACGCTACCACCATACAGGAATACAACGGTGGAATCGTATCAACTACACAAGACGAATGGAAGCTTAATCACGCTGTCCTTCTGGTTGGATACGGCGAGGAGGATGGTACCAAGTACTGGGTCCTCAAGAACTCTTGGGACACGACCTGGGGAGAAAACGGATTCTTCCGCATTGAGAGAGAGAAGAATGTCTTGGGTATCGGCGAGGAGATCGACATCGCCATCCTTTGAAGGGATCCCTGGGATTCAATAATGGTGTTCGCTTGTAAAGCATTTTGATTTAACTAAATAAACGTATCCGCAGCATCTCAAGGGAGTTTTAATTCAACACTTAAGGCGTTCTGATACAGATGTAAACGTTAGATAAACAGCTGTAATCATTTCGGCTCTCTACCTTGCGATGACCACAATTTACCGATTACGAAATTCTCGTCTCGAAGTATTGCCCATTTATGTGCGCCGCGGAGGGGGCAGCCTAAATAAAAAGACTATCTGCAATCAACTGTTACAGATACATTGCCCTTTGTGTACAAAATTTAAAGAAAACCTGACAATGAGTGTCAATTGGGACGCTCCCCTCGTTAGAGACAAAAAAAGATACGGGAAATCCCGCCCTTGCCAAACTGTATGACCTATGTACAGTAGCTGAACCAAGCGTCTCTACAACAACTTGCAGAGGCTCTGAATTTCCTTGAATTTTTTGTTTTGAATGCTTTTCTATCTCTTGAATATATCGCCTGCATTATTTATAAAGTTTTTGCGTAAAAACAAGACTCTGTAGTTTAGTCCCTATAAATAACAGAGAGATCGTGGAACATGGCCAGCGGTTTCTAGGCATTTAAAATGAGATGCTACAAAAATTCTAACCAATAAAATATTGCTTCCGTGCCTTTGGCGATACTGGCTCATCTCGTATGTCCTCGCTTGTCGTTTTATCGTCTTTTCTTTACCTTGTTGTTGAGGTAAGGCCAAGTTAAGTTAGTATGCCTTACTTTAGTTTGTAACAGATGCCAAAGTGTACTATCGAAAGCTTCCTCTTCGCTTTAAGCCCATCAGTTATTCAGCCATGGTCACATATAACAATGTGGCCGACATAAATGATTGTGTTGATCTACTAGCACCTCAAAATGTCGCGTTCATTTACTTTTCTTTAAGCCAGCTGGTGTGCGAAGGACATATGTATACGGTAGCGTACGGTTTTTACACGGAGGGCGAGCAAAATGGTGAGAGATTTGACGAGTGAAGAAAATAAAAATTTTTTACTGTTTCCTTTTAAGGTACTAGCCCCGTTGACTATGTTTATTACGTCAGAGATATCGTTAGTTGTGGATGTGCCAGTGGGAAGAGGACGGAACAGTTGCTGGCTCAATACAGTGAGATTTGAACCATTTTTGGCTGAAGCATAATTTCAGCATTCTTTGAAAACATTTGCCCACCGTTTTACAACATGCAATATGATCCGGCGACCAGGTATTGCTTTGATCAGGTGAGATAAGGGCCTAGCTTCTGTCACCGTTAAAGGCTTTGGTAGCAGGCGTTGCGTTTTCCGTTGTTCAAAATTGCAAAAAGCAAGATTAGCTTTCAAGTAAATGATGCGGTACCTATACATAGCTTCCGGTCAGCCCAAAGTCTATTTGCGGTCCATTTTCGACCTGCGGGCCGGCTCTGCATGTCGAACTACCTGTTAAAAAAGTTGTTTAAAATTGAAAAAAATGACAAAAAAAATTGAAATTGTAAAAAATGATTGTCAATACAACGGTGGCTCAGATCAGAAGCAGTTTTGGTTTTAATTTTTTGTAGCATGTAATTAGCTAACTACATATTTGCTATAGCATTCTGGACCGAGGAAATGATGAAGCAGGTAAGGGCCGGGCCGACTAGGTCGTAGAGCCAGCCATATGTATATAGCACTGTCCCAACGGAAACAGTTTCGTGCAACACATACATAATAATAAGCCCTCTTCCAGGCCTCCGAGCAAAATAGCAGCAGCCTATATGGGAACAAATTCTCCTTCTACCGAGTTGGTGTGGACTTCAGTAACAATGTGTTCATGTTGAATAGGGCACGTAAGTGACGGCATTTCCAACAACACACATCGTTATAAGAGGCGATGCAAACAGTAAAGTACGACTGTGACGGCTATCTTGCGTTCGCCACCGTATACAACAACCAGTGGTACTGTTATATGGTGGTGACCACGGGAGTTATAGATGTCACCGCGGTTACAAGGAATCTATGCCCAGAGGGGCTGAAAGATGGGTATCCGATTAAAATCATTCATCCGCTGATTTACGGGCAAATTCACTGTAAGAAATATGTTATATTTTAATAACATATTTGCAGTACAAAGCTACGACGAGTTCATAACGGGTATTGTAACTTACAATGGATTGAATTACACGTACTTTGACAACACAACGTTACCGAGCGGTTTACGTTGGGCGACAGGAGAGCCGGCGGGAAAGCCAATGGTCATTGTCAGCGATCAGTTAGGTAAGTTGCAACGGTTAGAGAAGCAATGCTATCGAAAAAGTGACTTTTGAATTTCAGAGCTTGTAACGGTGACAAACAGCACCTCTGGGACATTGACTTGTTTAGGACCGGTCACTGCTTCTAAAAAAACTGGTTTAACTTAATGCCACCGATTTGTACGGTTTAATAAAACAATTTTTATTCAGCGACAGTCCCAACGACAGAAACTGACAGCCAAATTTGGGCTGACCAAGTTGTGGATGTAAAGTTATTAGGTAAAAAGTAATGACAAGCCTTGTTACATATATGATCTCTTTAATGAAAACTTTAAAGTCAAATATGTCTTTTAGCTTGATAATTGTAAATATAATATTTCAATGTGAAATGTCTCCTTTGTACCACGGAATTCTACAACGGATCGGGTTCGAATAAGGGACTTTGTTGCAACGAAAAGTTCCGTTGAATAACTCGTAGAAGTAGATATCGGTGTCTTTGTTCTTGTGGATCACGGCGAATGTGTTGTTGCTGAGTCTGGCCAGAAGCCCGTCTCCTACGAAGATTCCCGTGTCTATAAATCGAAAGCTTTTCACATCCAGTCGAACAACCTAAAAATAAATTGTTAAAACTTCATTTCTCTGCAAATAGCGAGCTAATACTTTTAAAAAGCGACTAAAAATCTGATCGTGAGACGCACTTGGAACCTTCCGTTTTTATGTGATTTTCTTTAATATTCAACTTGCCTTCAATTTATTGTCCTCCACATAGACACATGTATGGTCGTTGAGTTTTTGGCTTCTCTCAAAATATGTGGACGCCCGTTTGTCGGGGTTCGTGTCGACATGCCGCAGAACCTTGAACCGGCAACTGTTCAGCTCGATGGAGTCAGAGAAGCAGCATAGAACCTGGTCACGGTGCTGGATAACATCGAAACCCCTATTTCCGACCGTCTTCGAGTGATATTTCCCCGTTTGTAGATTATAATATCCCATAAAATGCCAGAAATAATTGTCTGGCGTAAAGAAGAATAAATGGTCGCCTTGTACTGAGAGTCGTACAGGCTTCACAGGGTTGCATGGAATCGGCGCCGTAAAGAGAAATGTGGGCTCTTCAGTGCCGGGTATTACATAGCTGAAGCGGACTCTCCTCTGTTTAGGGGTGAGGTCTTCGTCGTGTGTCACGTAGTACAGCTTGTTCGATTCTTTCTCGTAGAACGCGCCAAGCCAGCGGCCCTGAAACGACATAAGCTGTGATTGGATTCTGATAAAATCTGAGGTGCTAAATTCTTTAAAAATCTACTTTTAAACCTACTATGTCTCTAGTTTCATACTCCATTACAACTGTACAAGGTGTGCAACCAATCCATGCTTTGTCATTGTTCACGAATTGTGCCCGAACCGTGATGGCCCCCCAGCTTATATAAGATGAGTGGCTTGCGCATATGATTTCCTCATCAAAATCGGCGTAATGGAAAGTGAAAAAGAGGCGGACTACTGATCTCATCGCCATTGTTGCATGCAGTGTCTCGTAGAGGAATGTATTGATAGTTTCAGGCGGATGGGGAGCAAATGCTGCCGCGTCCCCAGAGTTTGCTAGCAGACTGAAACAAGTTTGTTACAAGGTGGTTATCTTTGACTACTTTCAGGCCGAGAGAGTACGCGAAATGCGGAGAGCGGTCACAGATAAAACGCCTTTTTTGGCCATAAATCTGTCAGTTCCGTGTAAAAAATGGATTATTTTTTGTAAAAACTTTTCTGCATTCTGGAGTCATAACTCAATCAATTTTGCACTAAAAATTAATCTAAAAGACTGCCCAGATTACACAATTGAATGTTCCGCTTCGAGTACTTCCCCTGTAAGATTTTTAGTGAATTAAAAACGGCTCCACTTACGAATACAACCCTTCAATACCCAGACTTCTGCTTTGTACGTCGCGGTTCAAGCGCCACATCTCTTCAAGTCTTTTGTTTTTAACAGCAAAGTTGTTGCCCAAGTAATGGTAAGCTGTAATCTGTTCGAAGACAGGCAAACGGTCGGCAATACAACAAAGTATCTAAAGAAATATCGTTGTTCATGTATAATAGATGTCTTTGGTGAGAGAATCGGATAACTTACCTCCAACGGCAAACGTCTCAGCAGTTTGGTCGTAATCAAATTCTCCTCCATCGGAAAGCCAAGTGTTCTAGCAGGGGGTCTATCATACACAGATGAAGTGGCCTTCAGGCGAGGGCGATATCTCCGACAGATGTGTTCTAGTCTCCATTGTTCAGGCATGAAAAATTTGACAACAAAAAAAAGGTAGCTAGGAAAAAAATTTGTGAAAGATGTGGAGAAATTAGTGTATCTAACACGTTCTAGGGCAGATATGAAGTACTCGCTTTCTATTGCAAGCTTCAATAAGTAGCTGACAAAAAAAATTGAGACAGTTGTGACATATTTTTCGAAGAGTTCCATGATGTTGAAAGCTTGGTTATTACACTAATTTAGCTTGAGATTCAAAGCCAAGAAGTTCTTTAGCCCATCCACACCTGCTAAATGAGCAATGGAAGGTAAGCGCTATAAAACGCTTGCATCTATTAAGCGCAGAATTTTTTGATGTACACGGCTTGAGAAACCTCCTAAACATCCGAGTGAGGCACAAAGAAACTTATAACGCAATATTACGTCTGAAGGAAACGCCCCATTTTCCGCTGATTTCTGTCTAAAAATCTCTGCACAAGCTGCTATATATAGGAAGGATATAAATCTGTTATTCACAACCGTCTTTGAGTGGTAAACATGTCTTTAAAACTGATTTCTCTTCTTCTGACAACCCTCTTTACTACATCTTGGAGTTCGCCTCCTACAGCAATATATCTAGAAAATCTTCTTGGTATGTTTTACTTGCTACAAACACAGCTTTGTTCAGTATCTGGATTCACCGTGAATTTCATATTAATGATTTTTATTATTCTATTTTCAGCCCTCGCCACCCAATTCGGAGACAATTTTGAAGACAAGTTGAGTGAGATCGAGGCAGTTCGACTGTCCGAAGACGAACTTTACAAGGCATTTCCTGACATTCCCATCGTTTTGGCCTTCGAAACTTGGAATATTCATCAAGTCCTAATCCTTGCTGCTACAAACAACATTAAAAACCGAGAGATCTGGAAATGGTACAACTCGTATTACGACGTCGACCTGATGACTCGCCGTGACGGAAGAACCGAACTGTTCTACTATGTAGAGTATGAGGAAGTCAATGTTACTTCATCATCTCAGACTGCCGTTGATCAGACTTTCACCTTGCTGAATCTCGACTTGCATGATAGAGTTTTCGCCTATTACCTTCCAATTCAACGGACTGATATTAAACATGCCGAGACTTTACTCACCCAACATTACCCACAGATTCGCCAAGTGTTCAAGGCCAAATTGGATGAGCTGAAAATCAAAGGGCTGAAGAAGACGGCGCTGGAGGATTATACGGCTGTTTCGGAAGAGATGGACACGCTCTGGCAAGCGGTTTTCGCAGCAGTTAATAAATCTGTCGCGGAGTCTGTGCAAGATTTGTTTAGATTCCAGAATAAGGACTATAGAATTTGAACTAAAATAAATTTTTGATGTGAAACTGTGACTTTGATAAGGGATTTTTTACCCCAAGAAAAATCATATTAATGATGTAACCGGCTGCTGGGAAGGCAGTAGATTAGAGAGATAAATATGCCAAACAGCCTTATAAAACAGGTCATCAAGTAATATGAGCAAGAGCAACTAAAGGATGAGGTCAAAAAAGAATGATTTGCGTTTTTATTACTCAAAATGCCAAGAACAAGTTCACAGTGTTGATAAAAGTTTTGTAGTTTAGAGGATAGCAGCCTCGGGCGCTTCCGTGATTCCAAGTGTGTTATTTCCACGGTAAACACGGAAGTAGCCGTGTTCTCCATAAATTTTTCCCCATGAATTTTTGACAATCCAGTATGGAATGTCCTTCTCCACTCCGTAGCCAACCACCAAAACAGCATGATCAAGACCCCACTCTTGATCTTCGACCGAAATGATACCGCCATTGTAGAATTGAATGAAGCTTGAATCAATCGCTGAAACGATAAAAATCTTGGTTGTGTAAATACAACCTACCAACAGTGACAGGGCCAATGCTGTAGACGGCCTTCTGCAACTCAACATCGCTTAGTCTTGTGATGTTCTTGGCACTGGTCAACGTAGCTACTTTTGGCTCTTTCTGGCATGTTCCCATATCGTGCCATGAAGGATTGTATGGCCAATGCTTTTCATCAGTGATTCCATTGTCGATTACGTACTGAAATACTCCATCCAAGTAGCCTCCACCACAGCCAAAGTAAGATCCGTACTTGGGGTTGTCATAGGTGCATTCCAGAATTTGTTCTATGCTCAAGTCGAGACTTTGGTTTCTCTTGATCAGCCACTGACTTTCGATGGCGCCGACAGTGCCAAAGGCGAAGCAGGCTCCACAGTCTCCTTGGTCCTTGACGCTAGAGACTCCGTTCAACTTCCTCCAATCATGCTCTTTCGGGAGATCTTCTTCGGAGATATCCAGTTGAAGAAAGTCTGAAATATAATGTTCACTGATGGCTTTATTATATTATTCTTGCCTTGTTCTTCATCCTCATTTCTTGGTGGGACTTTAAGGTTGGCAATTCGACCGAATTCCTCCTCGGAGAGATCAGCCATGTTGGTCAATCCGAATTGGGCGGTTGGACTTTTCTTTTGTAACTCAGCGATTCTCTTCAACGATTTCTCGATGATTTCAAATCGTTGGGCAACTTCTTTCTCGTCTTTGTATTCCCGCTCGAACCTGAAAGTACCAATTCAGACTCCTCCAATTTCTGTTAACCTACTTGACAATGAAGTCGGTGAACTGGGCGTAGACGTCCTCCTTTCCTTCTCCCAAGCCCCTGCGCATTTCAGCGGCCATTTTCAGGGTTCTTTCGACACCAGCGGACACTTTCAAGTTATCCACAAGCACATATCCAAAGGCAGGAATTGCCAGAAGGCAAGGTAGAAGAAGGAACTTCATTAAGGATAAAGTGAGGATTCAGGAAGCGCTGAGGGCTTATATAGTTTATTGTGGCCTTTGCAATTGATCTCTGACATTTCAAACGCATTCAGAAAATAAAATTTCATTGGAGACACAAGATGACCGGAATTGAACCGGAAATTGCTGCATTTTTAGTGTTAACCTCCGGCAACAAATTCCATTGACAATGATGAGGTTCCGGTCCAGCTCGACTTCTAATAATTATGGTATTTTGTTTTTCTATTGCAGTTGGACGGTGAGCAATCAACTGTAAATGGAAGTGAGAACTAAAAAAAATCCTCAGTGCCTCTGTCATTATCTCTTGGGGCTAACATGAACTTGCTTCACTTAAATTCTCTTCTGGCAACCGCTGCTTTTGGATACGTCCTTCTGGATACTCTTAACGCTATGCGGCAGTCAAGATAACCGTGCAAATGGCCGATGAAATGCGACAGGGCTTGAAGAGGGACAGACCCGTCGCGGCAAAAAGTCCTTAGAATTTTTCGCGGCCCTCAAATTCCGTCGCACTCCGAAAAAAATGGTTTGTCGCTGCGAAACATGGGAATCGCGCGCGACGTAAGACAAAATTGCACTGTGCAAAAGCACTTTTTGGGCCGGATGCACGGTGCAAAGTGTTTTTTTCGGATTCGTGCACAGTGCAGAGTCGCGGAAAATTCTAAGGACTTTTTGCAGAGACACAGGTCGCCTAAAATTTTATCCCTCTGAAAAACGGATTAGTTTTCCGTTGTTCAGAGAATGGAGTAGCGTAGAAAATTGTGGATTTGACTGGCCAAAAAATGTAGAAAAAATCTTTTATTCCTCAATTATTCATTTCCCCAAATCTCACAAACCTTCTAGGTTCCAAATAAAACCCCAAAAAATTAATATTAAAATCGATTTATTCCATAAACTTCAGAAAAAAGCGACAAATATTGTGACTATAACTTAAAAAATTTGATGTAAAATAGAATGAATAAGTAAGCGATTAAACTTGCGATAGAAAGGAAACCGTTTTCATGATAACTAAATAAGAGTTATAGCACGTATGTTAACATAAAGCTGAATGATTCTAGCGATATATCTATAATACAAATACATCGACATTAGCAAAACACGTTATATAAAGTAACACAAGATACCATAGTTTAACACAGGATACGACAATAATATTAGTGCTAACACCTAACCGGGACCGAACTTTGGGTTAAAATGCACTTTTGAGCTTTTTGCGATCACTCAATAAAGTATCAAATTTTCAATGATACCTAATGCGGGAAGAAAAAGTGATAGACACCACCGAGGATGTAGCTGTAGATCTTCCATTGCACGAAGAAGCTGCCGAACCAGAACACGTATTGGCCAATGATTCGGCGCCATCTGACCACCACTCTTTGTCCTGGTTCTCCATCCACAAAAGTGCCGTATTTGTAGTAATGATCTGAAAAAAGACAACATAAATTTGTGTAAAGCAATATAAATATATGTAAGCCTCTCAAAAATTAAACTTATATTTTGTTTGACCAAAAATGTTCCAAATAAAATCAAAAACTCCCCAATTTGCTAAAATGAAAAATACTCAACGTGCACTTTTTTTCGAGACTTTTTTTTTGTCAACTGGTGCAGGGATTCGATGACTTTGGGCATCAGCACTTAGTTGGAATTTTCATCCTGGCGGGAATTGCGAGCGTTTGAAAATGGGATTTTTTGATTTTGGATCGGCTGTAACTTTTCACATTTTTCGAGTCGCCCTTAGCTTTTCTACATTTTTTCTTATCGACTGGGGCCAAAAGCGCGCGAATTTTCGAATTTTTCACATATATGCCCTGAGGGTACCTGATGTGAGCGTTATTGTGTGGGACGAAACTGAGTTCCATCGTTATCTACGCAAAATTTTAAGCCTTCTGAGCTAAACATCGTGAGTGTAGGATCGACCGGTCGAAAGTTATTGGCGATTTTCGACATTTTTCGGATTTTTCCATTTTTCACCATCAAGATGACGGAATTTCTGGATTTTGACAACGGATTCTGAATCAGCATGCCTGACATGCCCTAGAACCACATTTCGTATCTTTCTATCGTATTTCGTATTTTAGCTATTCGGGATTTTCTGAAAGTTCCCAAAAAAGGCCAAATTTTCCGGAAAGTTTTCCGGGAAAACTAGATCGAAATTCAAAAAAAGGGCTTCGGCATTGTCTCGGCAATAGACTGAAGTTACTCTGTGCTTATTTTCGGCTTCTGATACGGTGCCGGAATGCTCATCGAATGCACCGTAGGGAGTTTTCGGGATTTTTTGCACAAAATCGGCCCTGAGGGCACGAATAGCAAATTCAGCGAATTTTCGGGATACGCCCCGTAATCAGCACGTCAAACTGCCCTAGAAACAACTTTTATTTCCCAACATACGACCATCTTACCCCGCCCGCCTAGCGACAAAGACGAAAATTTGAAATTTTCTGGATCCGCCCTTCCAGAACTCGGCTGCCAGTGGAGCTATCGACATGATTTTGGTCCCAATCGACGCAGAATCAAATTCTGGATGCAGTTCGTGTGCGGAACTCCAAATTTTCCTAAAATACGACTTGGCGAGGCCGAAGGCCGAGCCAAAGGGACTTTTTGGTAGCTTCAGCGGCCGGAGGCCGCCGTTGGTCACGGAAGCTTCTGAATGTAGGTCTACCGGGATTCTGCAGCCGCCGAAGACCGAGGCAAACTTCAATAACGGTGAAGCAACACGAAAAATGACTGCGAGGCCGCAGGCCGAGCTAAAGGAGCTTTTTTTGGAAGCTTCGGCGGCCGAAGGCCGCCGTTGGTTACTGAACCTTTTGAATGTTGTAGCTGACTGCTGGAGTAAACTGTGCGAAGGCCAAGGTAAAGTTCAAAGAAACCCAAAATTTCTTAAAATACGACTTGGCGAGGCCGAAGGCCGAGTCAAAGGGACTTTTTGGAAGCTTCGGCGGCCGGAGGCCGCCGTTGGTCACGGAACCTTCTGAATGTCGGGCTCCCGGGATTCTGTCGAGGGCGAAGGCATAGGAAAAGTTCAATAACGATGAAGCAACACAAAAAATGACTGCGAGGCCGAAGGCCGAGCCAAAGTGAGTGTTTTCTGGAAGCTTCGGCGGCCGAAGGCCGCCGTTGATTACGGAACCTTCTGAATGTTGTAGTTGACTGCTGGAGTAAACTGTGCCGAGGCCGAAGGCCGAGGTAAAGTTCAAAGAAGAGTTCAGCTGCTGAAAGGTAGCGCTGGCGCGCGGCCCTTGGCAACGGAACTGCCGGGCTTGAGGCAGTATAACGCGCGCCAGCGCGTTGTTGGCCACGCGAAGCGTGGCCTGCACGATCAACTGTAGTGCACGCGATCATCAACCTTTGTGCGATCAAGTCAACTTTATGTTGGACGACCTTTGCGCGCACAGCGGCGTCAAGGCCCGCGTGAGCGGGGCTTGTCATTAATTTATATTACCCATGCCTCAAATCCCCTCAACTTCCCTAAATCATCATCTAACTCAATATAAAGCCTTTCTTTCTCCCTCAAATCCCAAATCAATTGCACCCCGCCATTCTCCACTCCCCCTTACCCAATAATTTATCCTTTTCTTCATAAACCTTGTACATCCAATCCCTGAGTTTATCATCATCATGGAAAGGGACCTCATCCGCTTTGTAGATCTTATAATTCACCGCGATATCACAGTTCTCTCGGTTTCCAAAGAGCAAAGTGAACAACGAGAGGGCGTGTCCATTGGGATAGGCGATGGTCACATCCAGGACATACTTGATTGGGGGCCTGGTCTCCTTCACGTACTTCTTCTCTCTGATCGCACCGACCGTGTCCTTGATCAGCTTCAGCTTCGAGGCCGAGCGGCTTTTGTGGAGTTCGTTCTGGGAGTCGTCGTCGCCTCGAGGGCCCACCTCTTCCAGGATCGCTTTGACGGCGCCCATTCGAGGGAGGGTCGTGTGTTCCAGGTGCGGGAATCCGTGTTCTTTGGCATACCTAAAAATTAAAAAAGATAAAAATAAAAAATAAATCACTTACTTTTGACTGCTTTCCTTCCGGTTATACAAGAACCCGCCCTCCGGGAATAAGATAACCCATCTGCGATCGCGTTCCCAAAACACTTTCCTCAGATGTTCTTTCAGCCGCAACAGTTCCTTTTCTCTGGTCGCTTTGCCTTGCTGAATGAAATAATCGCCATGGGTTCTTCCGACCAGCCCGAACGGAGTCCATCTGAACATGACATCCATCAGCCAAACCGTCTTCCTGGTGGCGACGCCCTTGGATTGAAGGACTGTGAAAAGAGTGGGGACGTCGGCGGTGGACTGGTGATTGCACATCACAAGGAGACGGTCTGATTCGCAGTACTGAGTGATGTCATCTCCATATTCGTATACTACAATATCAATGTTATTTTTGGCTCTAAAAATTATGAAAAATAAAAGAAAAGCTCGTACCATCATAATCAGCAGTGTAGCCCCAATATCCGATGAAAGCCTGGAGCCACATGTACAACTTTCCCTCGTAGAACCAATAAAATCTTGGCCATAAAGGCTTGGCCCACAAAACTGGGATCATAAATCCAAAGTAAGTCAGGAAGAAGATGGTAAAGTTCGAGCAGCATATCAGCGTTCTCAGTGGGACCACTGCCAACCACAAGATCTTCTCGAGAGTCGAGGCCTGAGACCAGCGAGATCTGCTTCCCGGGGGCTTCTCCGGCCCGCGAAATTGCTTCAAATCTGCGCGCCCTGCGGCTGCCGAGTGATCCTTGGCATTGGAAGCTCGTCGTGGACGGAGAGTCGGACCTTGGTCACTGTCCGACATCTGCAAACCACAATAATCAAAGATTTTTGACGCAATTTATATTATCCATGGTTCGAAAGCGATCTTTTGGGAATTTATTTCTTTTTATCTCTCCCCGAACCCATTAAAATCATAAACCATCTGTTAGCGAGATCCAAAAAACACCTCGTAAAAGGGTCAAATTTTCCGGGTTCAGCATAAATTTAGCACAAATATCAGACAAAAATTCAAATTGTGGGACAAAACAAGATTATCATCAAAAAATGCAGACTCCCTAAAACCAAGTTCAAAGTGAAAACCCATTTATAAAATATCCCAAGCATCAAATATCGCATGGTATTGTAACCAGTAAACATCGCAGATTCACCTATCGTCAAGCCAAACGAGTAATTTAATCTTTAGAAGTAATAAATGACATGCCAATCTTTCAAACAAGCTAATACATTAATGAGTATGTTGTTCACCGGTCGCTCTACCACTCCGCTTCTCCTGTGCACTTCTGGAAACAGTAGTCCTTCCCATTCAGATGCATTATCCCGTCCTTCAAGATGAACTTCCACTTGGATCGGGCTCTGTGCACCTTCTCGAATTGACAAACAACAACATTATCCGAGTCGAACAGGGTCTTCAGGTCTTCCTCATCACTTTGATCGTCGTCTGAGTTCAATGGCTCTTCTTCATTCGCCTAAAAAAGATAAAATTATAAATAATTTCGAGTCAAACAAGAGTAAAGTTAATATAGACGCATATTTTGTAGTGAAAACAAGCAATAGTGCAAAAAATATAAGATCAAAATTCAAGTTTTCATCTAATACTACCAAGAATTCACCAAAATAAGTACGACATAAAAAGGAACAACAAGTTATTCAATTTTAATACACATCAATAAAGATGAAAGTAAAAAACAGTCCCGATCCATGAATTCTTTTCGTGACTCACCCATAAGGTAATAAAAAAGACGAAACATCCCCAAAAAAAGTTTCTTACCTCTCCATCTCCTCCAGTATCATCTTGAAGACCAGCATATCTCCTCAACGGATCGTCCTCTTCCTCATCCTCTTCTTCCGACGACGAATCAGACAGACCGGGCCCTGCATGATTACCATCCAACTGCACAATCTGAACTTTCTTTTTCTTCTGTACTTCTTGCTTTTTGGGTGTCTTAGAAGACTCTGGCTCATCGATAACATTCGATCCATCCAATTGGGGGATATTTCCATTGCTACTCCCTTGTCCTTGTTGGCCTCGGAGAGCGTTGATTATTTGGGCGTTTGCCAAGTTGACTGGCATCTGATTTCCAGGCACGAGGATCATGCGGCCATCTGAAAATTAACAATCTATACAATCCATGGCTGTTTTAGGTATAGAGAGCCTCATTTCCAGATTGAAAAAGAACATGTGACATCAACGAAAAGATTTCAATAGCACGTAGTCCACATACCTACCTAAAAATCAAAAAAAAAACAAATCAAAAATACTCACTCTGCATGACTGCATATTGTGGTTGAATCTGTCCTCCATTGGGGATCAATTGAATGTTACCTCCACCGGGCTGCGTCAAAAACTGCCCACCAGCATTTACAATGAATGGGCCAGGCTGACTGACCACTTGCTGGAAACCTTCCCCTTGTCGCTGCCTCAAGATCATCATCTGTTGATTGGACAAAGTGACAGAATTCGCATTTGACACCTGAACTTGAGGCTGTTGTTGCTGTTGCAGTAAGAGTTGATGAATCTGTTGACTGGATTGAGCCTGTGTGTTCGGTATGCCAGTCACCACATTCTGTATCGGCTGCATTTGTTGCACTTGGACTGGTTGAACACCAGACCCGGAAGGTTGGCGTTGCTGCTGTATCCGATCCACACGGATGGGAGGAGGCTGAATGGGCCTTTGACCCTCTAAATCCACTGCTCCACTCTCCTGAACCTTCTCTTCCCATGCCTAAAAAATACACGTCAACAAAAGGACAGCCCAAACATTCACCTAAACAATATAAAAAAGAAGTTGACTGAAGAACTCCCATGAGACAGGGTTGAATGCAACTCCATCTTCTTGCAAATATCACACGGTGAACGCGTGATAAGAACCCCTGGAGGTGAGCAAACAAACGAACGGAAAGTACCTTTTTCAGCTGCTGGAGAACATCCACGTCCACGTTCTCGTCCAGGAACGCGTCCTTTACCTGTGCCATCACGTCACTTATGACACTTTTGTAAACGTCTTCCTACAATTGGTATTGAATTCCGATTATTCGATAATTTATGCAAAAAACTTACGATTCCATGGCCGATACTTGCATTCTGCGCCATTTTCACCGAAATCCACCGAGATATTGAAGAAACCTGCGTGTACGATGCTGATTCCGAACAATCTGACTAGTTGGAGGACTGCAACGGAGGTCTTCCTCAAGTCGAAGCGAGGATCGAGACGTTTTCGTCAAAACTTCGCGTCAAGCCAACAGTTGACCCAAATTTCCAAATGGGTCAAGTCTCATGCCATTTCAATTGAAACGAAGTGTCAACTAGAAAACAATGAACAAAACAATTTCTAGCCGCCTTCGGCTGTATGTAGAATACATAGTACGAATAGTTTTGTCAAAAGGTGCGTTTGCTAAAGTAGTATTCTGCAATTCAGCTATAGAAGACTCTCAACGATGAGCTGGCAAATTTATATTTCATCGTACAACATGTCAACCCTTCAATTAATGGGCGCAGCTCGAACGTTAGTTTATTCGCAAAAAACAAAGAAAAAGTTTTTCATCTGCAGCTTTGAGCTGCATTAATCAGAAATGTCGTCTTACGAAGAAGAGGAAGACCAACTGCCACCATTGCCTCAGGAGTTAGTCCGCGTTCCAACCCCAGATTCGAATCTACACCACCAGAACGAGAATGGAAATGGTAAGCTTGTTGTTGTTGTTTCTTTTTTCGTTTAGGTTTATTCTACTGTTTTTTGAGTCTCTAAAGGCGTTGACATCTACTTATCAATCGTATTTGCAGGGTTATTTGCTCAGTTTGTCGAAGATCTCGACAAAGGTGTGCCGGAGGAGAAGATCCACGATTTTGTTTACGATTATCTGATTGGAGAAGGCATGGGAGATGTGGCGCAGCTGCTGGCACAAGAATCCGGCTATCCATTGCCTCCGGATGAAACCTTGAATATTGAGAAACTAGCAGAGAGGAATCAAATTCGCGAAGCCATTCAGGATGGGAGAATCTTGGAAGCGATCGATCGAATCAAGGAATTATGTCCTGGGATGTTGGAAAACGACAAAGAATTCCACTTTATAGTTCTGCGGCAGCACTTGGTCGAGGTTATCCGAAAAAAGTGAGTATTGTCTTCTTTGTTTCTTGGTTTTTAGGTTGTTCGAAAGAGTTGTCGCATGTGGAACATCAGGAGATGAATGTATATCGATTTCATCACCCTAGCTTCAATTTTATTTTTTTCAGAGACGATGATGAAGCCTTGGACTTTGCTCAAAAATATCTCGCCGACAAATGCGACAACAACACCTCCCGGGAACAAATGTCTCTCCTAGAACAAACTTATGCTCTATTGGCATTCGAGAAGCCAGAGGAGTCGCCGTTCGGTCATCTAATGCATTCCAGTCAGAAACAAATGCTGGCTCATGTTGTTAATCAAAAGATTCTAACTCATCTCGGGGTCACTCCTCAAACCCGATTCGAGAAGCTTTTGAAGATTATGGTCTGGAATCAGTCACAGATTGCTGGAAAGGGAGATATTGGTTTGAATATTCCTCAGAGTGTGATCAATCAACAAGCTCGAGATCTTTTTGACCATCCAGATGATGCGGAAGAAGAGGATCCGGAAGAGTCTTTGTAAGTCTTGTCTTTTATTGGTTTATCCCATTGCGAGTGGTCTGAGGATCTCGTCTTTTGAGTTCTGAATCTGCTGATCGGGTTTTTGAGGTATTCTGGATGTTATACATGATGAATTTAGGTTGGATGAGGAGTGCAAGTTTTTTGTTTTTATAGGCCAAAGAAGCTTAATTGAAATTATTTTGATAAGATCTTTTTGATATGCCTTGAATTTAGGTGCGTTTTTTTAAAATTATTTTGCTAATCTTATCCTGTTTTAGCTGGCGCCGCTATAGCGGAGCCTAGTCTGTCTCAATCCTGTCCCCGCCAAGTCTGACCTCAAATTCGTCTCAGACCCCCAACTATCCACGCTTACCTCGTCTAAAGTAACTATTATTTTTATGTCTTTTAAGTCTGCAAACAGCAAGGGTATATTTTTCGGCAATTCTTGCACACACATTACTGTAAACATTAATTTTTTATCAGATGATGTACAGAATAAACAAATTTTATTCAATTTCAAAGATGCCGTAGCTACGCGTAGGCCTGTCTCCAAATCAGCGTTTTATTTGTGAAACAAATTATGTACAAGATACAATTTTACAACAACAAGAATCTAATGTAAATACGGTTATTATGACCGGTTGAGCAGACGATATGGCACAGTGATTGGTTGACTGTGTGGTTTCGGAAATGTCATGTGTATATCAAGTGATATCTCGTCAAATTAACAAAAATAACCCGATAAGAAGAGATCAGTTGACGGAGTCGATTCGAGTGCGGATTGTGGAGTTCCTTGCGTGCATTGAGGTGCTGGTGCTGTTGGTTCGAGTTGCGGCGTCGGAAGAGTTGTCCTCGTTACGCGTTTGGTAGGTCTTGATGTATCGTTGGAGATGCATTACTTGCAGCATTGAGCGTCGTATCTGAAACCAAGGGCAATTAATTTTAGACAGACAGAAATTGTTAAATCAGGCACGTTTGACGAAAATCGGGAGAAGGTAGCAAATAATATGACGTCAAAAACTATCACGGCTTACGTCAATCCAAAATAGAAGAAAAAATTTCCCGCCCCTTTTTGGTGATTCGTTCAAAACGAAATGTCACTATCCGATAAAACGCATTTTCTTATCTTTCTTCTTCCTTTTCAAGAAAAAGCAATTATTTCGGCCGAGAAAAAGTGCCGATAATTTCACGACATTTCGTCTCTCTTTTAAATCAACCAAAGCGATACGAAGTTTCGAAACGGTTCAGGAAATGCGCTGGATTGACGTGCGGCTGCCGCTGCCTTGATATAAAAATTAAAAAAAACTAACCGGCACATCCGTGACGAACGCAATAATCGGATCGATCGTGATCCTCACCAAGATACTCAGATGTAGAATCGATAATAAAAAGATCATCTTGTTGAAATTGCGGTAGAAATAGCACTTGTCGGCGCCAATCAGGAGCGATGCTCCCCAGATGACATAGAAAACGTCGAAGATGGCGAATGTGCACACATTTACAGCCAATTTCCACAGAGGAAATCTGTCCTTTAGCTTCTTTTTTGGCGCTCCTTTGACCGCGTAATTCTCGGCGTTAGTGGCTTTTCGACTGTGGATCCGAGCGAAACGTTGATGACGTTTGATCAGGATTACTGGAAAAGATTTTTTGTAAGCGCAACGGACCGAAAGATAAGTTCGCTATAGAAGGGTTTTGTTGTAGGGAGGTTCGTTTTGGCCGAGAAGGTAACACATGTATATAAACATACATTTATACGAGCATCAGTGGAATCTCTGTACAACAAAACTTGCCGATACCAAATGATTTCGGAAGTATCTACAGTGGGGTACCTGATTCAGTGGCAAAAACGGACCGTTTTGCGTCCGGGAAGTCTTAAAAGTGTGGCAAAATGCTTCTCTCTCCAAGTGAAGAAACTCAGAGGGAAGCATTTTGACACATTTTTTATGCTTCCCGGAGGCAAAATGGTACGTTTTTTGCCACTGAATTGGGTCCGTCACTGTAGAGCCCAGACCAAAATGAGCCTTCGCTTTTTTTCGTTGTGTATAGATTTTATGTAATTCATAATCATTTCCACTTACACGTCCCTCCAAAGCACACTAGCGTTGTGATGTATACCAAACACACACATGTGTTTCTGAAGCGATAGAAACTCCTCAAACAAGTTTCCTTTCGACAGCCAGACCATGCCCTCAAGCTTTCAATATTCGATAACGCGTTGGCCCCCACGGAATAGCTAACCATCACCAAGAACACTACCCATGAGAAACAGATCAAGTAGATGCATCGCCTCATGGTGATGATGTGCCGATACTCCAGAGGCTTTGCAACTGCATAGAGTTTTAGAAAACTCAGCGCGACATATGACGTCATTCCAGCCCAGAAACATCCCATAAAGAAAGAATCCAAGACTTGGACAATTTCGGGGCTAAAATAGAAAGAGATATTACTTGAGCCAAAAGATTTGCACTTACGTAGGGACGTCGGTCAATATGACATAGAAGAAGATGACAAAAGTCCAAAGACATGTCGTAATATCTCCCAAACTCCGATTCAACAGCAAAACATAACTTTTCCGACTAACTCTGTGGCCTCGGATGGCTCGGAAACAGGCAATCGAATAGATGCAGGCGCAGGTGAGCGCAAGGAACGCCAGAGGCAATGGGACCCATCCGTAATAGACTCTGTAGATGTGGATCATCGTTTCTTGTCGCAGTCGTCGAGCCTCAATGCTGGCCGGATCCGAATCATTCTCGAATCCGAAGCAGTCCGTACTTCGATTGGCGAAGCCCATCACGGACATGACAAGGCGCGTTGTGTGGACAACGTGCTGGAGGTGGGATGGACGTCGAGGAGAGAAGGGATTTGGCTGGAATTAAGAGGATATGAGATGTAAAGGGAGAGATTACATAGATGCGAATGGCGTCAAAACATTTACGATTGCTCGAATGAGGTATTCTGATGATAAATTTAAAAATCATTTATGACAACTATGGACTTGAGATGTTCTTCTTTACTCTAAACAACTTATAAAAGCAACTATGGAGTTGAGATGTGCATAAAAACATGAATAAAAACCCCGACTACCTCAAAACTACGTGCTCTTGAAGACTCTGGAAGAATGGGGGAGCTGTTTTCCTTCAAAATAATCGAAGATGGGCTGATTGTCATCCAAAACTTTTATTACAAAACAAAAAAGACTGCGCATGAAGTTTACACCCTGTGGCGTTCAACCAACGTCGTGACGCGATTCAAGCCAAACGAAACGTTGATTAAACTTAGTAACATAGCAGCCCAATTTATCGAAAATTGAATGGTAAAATATAGGAGTAGTAGTCATAGTAATTGATGGTTTTGATCTCGATGGGTCGGTGGAAAGGACGAGAAAATTTTTGAGAAAAAGTGCACCAGACTATTCAGGTCATCATGGGATAAAATTGGGAGTTAAATTAGCTCACATTGAGAGCTAAAATTAGAAAAGTTAACTGGACGAAGAGGGGGAAAGAAGGCATCGTAAATCATATTAAAGGCATTATAAATCAAGACTCTCAAGGCCAGACTATTGATTGTAAAACGAATTTCCAAATTATTCATACCTTCTAGTAAGCGATGGGGAATTTTTGATTAAAAATATTAGCAATCACAGTACATTATCTATGATTTTTGTCTGAAATCTTGGCGATATGTGATAGCCAAAAGAAGGTAAAATTTATTGCACACAAACGTCTGGTAGATTACTTTACAAATGCCCGAGTATTGTTTGTCTTGAAACATTGTCGCCTCGACACAGGACTTACCAATTTTCTGCGTATATCGTATTTCTGTTTGTGAAATATTCATGATCAGTAAAGGGGAATGTTTCCGAGAAGGTGTAAGGATCATGCTCTTTGAATATTCAACGGATACTTGAGAATCAGGAAAGAGCAGACGGAAGGACACGTGAATTAAGAGGGTTCGAGGGTTGGCACGTGATGGGCTCTGGCAATCTTTGCAAAGGGAGTTCAAGATATGTACTAGGCGGGGCAGAAAAGGTCTTGACACATTTTCGGCAAGGTACCGTAAAAATTTCGGCGCCGGAACTTAAGATCCGAAATGTCATAAGTACGTAGCCAAGGTAGAACAAACACATATTATTCCAAAAAATTGAATAATATCCATTACCATATTTGACCCTATTAATAAAACCGTAACATTTTCTCCCAACAGAATTCTGAATCAAAGGTAAATAAGAAAGGGTTCGGCTGAAACTCGAAGCGCAAGAGTACCCCCCATCTTCCCCCAATATTTAATAGGGAAGGCTATGACCAAAAACAAAAAATTCATTCGGTCTTTCTCGACTGTAAAGGGCGTCTGTAACAACTCGCAAGGAAGGGTTGGCCTCGACTTGGGCTTGCGTTGCACTCAGTTGGAGATGTGGTTAAAACTTTGATAAACAAGGGTTGTAGGCGAACTGCAGGTCGTATGATTAGATAAGCATAAATGCGCAACAAGTTTACACATGGGATGAGTAAGAGTTCTCCAAAGCATGTGCTGTTTTTTTCAACAAATGTTGAAAATAACGTTGAAAAAAAGGGAAAGGAAAGGTGGTGCGAAAAGTTGTATCAGAAAAGTTTGTTTTGCCTATAACACTTTCTTGTTTTGGCATAATTTTGTAGTTGCAAGAGTCATAAACATCTTGGCTGGCTTTGCAATGTATTTAAAAATTTCTCGAAGCTAAATAAAATTTTAGGAATTATAAGCAACTGTTAAAAACATACTATTGGAAAGTTTTTCATTTAAATCACCATTTTGAAAACTTTAATTTTCCCTGTATCAACTTCCATTTTCACATAGTAAAAGCATCAAGTAAGAGTTCTTTTGCAATAAAATTACCGCAGAGACAATGGACACTCAATATTTATCGTCTCGTACCCATGAAGCTCGCTTAACGTAATTAAAACGTAAGCAAACACAGCACGACTCTAGCTACCATTTTCATAGATCATAGGGGCAACAAAAAGAAGATGAATATCAGAGTTAGTTTTGCTACTATTTAGAAAATGAAATTGAAATCTACAAACCTAACAGGTCAACATTTAATCATCGCATTTCACAAAAGCGTGGGTTAAGACTTGAACATCAACATCACTTACTGGTGATCAAGGCCAACGCGATCAAAGTTCGAAACATTTCAGTTTGTTTTCTCGATTCAAAACACATTTTGCAGGACCATTACGCGAAGAGAGACAGAATTCGTTTCGCAAAAAGCAGAAACCACAAGTTTCATGGAGAGAAAACGGCATCTTTAGATGTTGTGTTGGACAAAAAGCGATGATAAATGTAAAATTGAAACTAAAAATACCCAAAAGTGTTGACAAAAATTGGATTTTTGATTGTTTAGGTTGAAAATGCGCAAAAAATTGAATCAAATATATAAATGGTGAGTTTGTAAGCACCAACGATGATAAAGGATTAATTTGCAAGCTGCAGCCCCCACCACGACCTTTCTTCCAAATCACAGATTACAGACTAGCCGTGGGGCAGTAAATCACCGAGTTGATTCGTAAAACTCTCCCCATCACACTCAAAAAAGTTCAACTTCGAGAAAAGAGTTTTCCCAAAGAATTGAGAAGGAAGCGTCGTTCCTTCCGCCTCCCCTACATTCGCGAGATATCCCATCGACGAATTTCCCGTTCCCTTGACGAAATCGACTGCTCAGAGTTTTCGAATGGGGCTATTTTTGGAAATTGAAAGCAAAACAGTCAAATTGGAACATTAATTTCTTTACAGTCAAAAGAAGAAGGCTAGAGTTGTCAAAGGTCAAAAGGAAGTCAAAAGTTTCGAAAGGAAGGGGCTATTTGTGGTCGTTTACAATAAATTGCGGTACAAGTGATCGGTTTGACAGTTAAGCAATGTTGAAAATAACGAAATAAAGTACTTGATTGTGGTTATTTTGATCCCAGACGGCTTCAAAGAACTGGCGGTTTTCACAAGAAAACACAGGAGATGATCGTTGAGAAAGAAGAGTTACGATTAGTAATTAACTAGCCTACTTTAAAGCAAAACAGCTTTTGATCATACAGTTAGTGTGTTCTGTGATGGAGCCTTGGAAAAACATGAACGCCGGTGCTCAGAAACATACCAAGTGTAATGTTACAACCGTTTTTTATAGTTTCTGACAAGACAAGTATCAAATATACAGCGATGGGAAACAACAAGGTGTAAAACGGAATTGAGCAAGGAAAATTATGCAGGATTATGTCCCGTAGAAGAGGAAATTATGACATCAAAATTGGCAATAGATCTTGAATAAATGGCAAACATCTAGCAAGATTTTTTGAGTCCGAAGCTACGGCCAGCAAGACATTCAGCAATCCCTGCAAAAAAGAGACTGTAGAAAATTAGGAGAGATGATCAGTGAAACAGACGGTATGTTCTCTTTTTAACCTTATCCTTCTGCCCTTCGAATGTTATCTTTTTACCAAAGAATCTGTTTTCAAAGAGGCCCCACACGTCAAGATTTTGCGCTCAAAGGGTTATCTATCAACACGAAAGTTGGCATTCTGTTTCCGCTTACGGAAGTGTCCAAAAAATCCGTCTCAATGACAGTTTTTTTGGACGAGGTCAGAGGAAAGGCGAAATATTGCGCAAAACGAAGAGATTTTCTATCTCGAAACTGGCTCATTTGATTTTTTTCGTTTTAGGCTCAAAAAATCCGCCTTGTTCCAGACTATGTTTCCACGAAACTTCAAATAGGGGCGAGGGAAAATCTTAGAGAAATCCTCGAAATCGCAAAATTTTTTAGGCGTTGTTAGTTTAGGCTTAAAACAGATAGAAGACGACCGATTTTTTGTATGAAATATATATGTTCAGGTTAAGCAGGAGCCCAGCTTCAAATTTATATATGCAATAACCCCATTCTACCCCATCTTCATCGTGTAATCAGGCTATCTTTGGAACAAAAAATTGTCTTTGAGATCAAACAGAATGCCAAGAATTTTTCATTGCTTGAGCGCTTTTGTTTTATTTTTTCTTGACGTGCCCCACTACGTTTGCGATGAAGCACAAAAACTGCTGGATCTTTTAAGATGTTCAAAACACCATAAAACAGTGTTTCCCAAGGTCTTCTCTTATGTTTCTGAAGTATCTCCACACATTTCCAGACCCTTTTATTTTACCCATTCCGAAACCTTTGATAATAAAGTGTAATGACATCACTTGCAATTTCAAGAAGATGATGTCACTTTCAGCACTTAAAAAGCCCATCACTTCCGTCTCCGCCAGCGATCAACACACTTGATCGTGCGGACAACACTTCACGTCATTTTTTATACATTACAAAAACGATCCTTCTGCGATAAACAACATCAATAAAAGTTTATAATTAATAGTAGATTCTGACAGTGACCCGTGTCTGAATTTCATCGGCCAGCATCTGAAGCACACCCAGGACCTTCCCCATGTTCTTCTGATCCACCAGATCACTCACTTCAAACATGTGGCCTTCTTCGAAGCCCAGTTTAACGGCACTTTCGAGGAAGTTGCGTATGTTCTCGATGGATGCGAATTCCGATCTTTTGGTGTTCAAGGGCCGTGCCAAACAGCCCGGGGCCATCTTTTCCAGAATCCTGAAAGAGTCGGATTTAGAGGTCTTGGAAAAATTCATACTGATTTCTACTTCGAAGGACTTCGAAGGAACCCATTGCTATAAAAAATCAACGCAAAGTTAGCAGACTTATGGCCAAGAAGCCTTTATCTCTCTGGGCGAACTCCAAATTTCAATGCTCTCTAGTCAGCAAAAGTGGTTTCTCGGCTAAACCCTCACAACTCACAAGAGAAGTACACCAAGTGCAACGCTTAAATTGCCTTTTAATTTTGCGCACGCTTTGGCCATATGCCACATATCAATTCCTGAAAGTTTTAGCTCGCGCTTTGCAAGCGCCGCCAAGATATTGAGCGATGTTTGCCGCCGAGAGAGTACGCTAAACGCGGAGAACGGACAGAGAGAAAAACACTTTTTGATCATAACTTTGCAAGTTCCGTGCGGTAAAAATTGATTTTTTGTGGAAACATTATCCTCTATAGCATAAATAGGCATGAAAATTTTCAAGTTTTCGTGCCGAAATTTGGCAAAAAGTCAAAAATTTTCGTCGACTTTCAACCTCAGTTAAGCGCAAGCTAAGATTCTCGCTTAGAAAAAAATATTTGAAATTTGTGCCAAGTTTCATCAAAATCTGAGCGTCGCACTTGAGCTATTTCCCCTTTCAGTCAACCCTATCTAAGACGTATCTTCAACCCAACTTACTTGCAGAGAATCACCCCGTCTTTTAGCCACAATCCAGCCCGGTTTGGCGTTGGGGGCGCAACTCCAAGCTGTTCGCCAATAAATTGCAAAAGTTTGGTTTCATTCTCGGAATCTCGGCCTTGTATCTGAAAGGAAGCAGTTCCAAAAAGACTTTCATTGTTTGTTCCGCAACACAAGGAAGTTGTATTTCATCAATTATTTCACAACTTCACCATGACCGCTCAAACTTCAAAACCTCGTGTAGTACGAAGGGAAAAACCCAAGGAAATTACAATAAATAATTAATAGGGACGCTGCAGCGACGCACAAAGAAGAAGGCATGGATAATGTGGACGCTTCAAGGGCTCTCCAAACGACCTACTTCTTTGCGTATTCTTGGCTTCCATTTTTTGAAACTGTCTTCGCCGGGTAATTAAACCGGCAGGAGTTGGCACTTGGGGTTCGAATTTTAAATTGCCGGGTTTTGGGTCAGACAAAGTGTCGCATTTTATCTTATTACGCTTGGAGGGGGATAAAGGAGGAATCTTCAAAGTTTGTAATTTAGTGGGCAAAATGTAAAAGGAGCAACGAAAACGTTGCAAAAAAGGGTGAATTTCTAGTAAGCTCCGCTTTGTAGAGCCAGCCCGGATATTCAGCGACCTTGATGCCGGAGACGGGAGATGTTTGGCCAAATCTCAGTGGATTTTGCCTAGAAAAGTCGTTTTTAAAATTCACTATCCCTTTAGTAAAATTAGGGTGAACCTCTCTCCGCCAAAATTCGCAAAAAATTTCGATTGTTCGCTGACTTTCGACCTAAAATTTTGCTTTTTCTTGGGCAAAGCGCAATATAAAAATCTCGCATAGCCCTTAAAAAATATAGTCTAGTTTTTTGCCCAGTTTCGTAAGAATCTGAGAGCATCGCACTTCGAGAACCATCCTCTGTCAATTTGTGAACAGTCACTCTTTCATTGCCCCCTATATTAAGACCGCCTAGTAAATGCTAGCCTGCTCCAGGTCCAGTTCTATTTTTTTGTTTTAGACCAGCCCTATTTGACAACAACTCGCTTATAATCAATATCCTTGGTTCTTTTCCGTTTTGCGTGCAAAGTTCAGGTTATATTGAGAAGACAATGTACAAAGGAATTTATTAATTGCCCTTAAGAGTGCAAGAATCCTAGGGCCAAAACAAAAGTCCTTCACGCATTTATCGCTTATATTTTGGCTAAAAAAGGGCAGCCGCATTGAAATGGACTTGGCTAAAGAAAGGACAACGCGTTCAAGCAGACTTTATGAATTTTGAGCGTCCGATTGAATAGCATGTGAAAGCTGAGTTTATTTCCCATCATCTTCCTTGTCCGCTCCACAATAATCTTTTATTTTTTGTTGTTTTGACCTCCCCACCCCACGCGGGCCCTTTAAATACTTCATTGTCCCACTTACCCAATCCAGTCTGAACTGCCGGTCCTGTTTCACGCCGTAGGCAAAGGCACTTTGCGTTCTATTGGCCGCTACGGATGGGTAGGGCGACTGGCCCGTGAACTTCCGCCATCCGGCCGCCATAATTGGGCCAATCCTAAAAACTTTTGGAATGAGGAGAGTTAATTGCAACACAAAATCTCCGTGGAGCTCTCAGAATCCGGAGTCTTCCAGTGGTCTTGAAAGACTTTTTTTCAGAGATCCTTGGACCACGGAAACCAACTTACTTTTACTTTGATCTGAGCATTTGCGCGACTTGCCTTAGGGTTCGGGGATCTTTTAAACAATGGGATTTCTTTTGTCAAACAAACGCAGGGTCTGCTAATTGTGAGGTAATCCGAGATAAGTGGGTGTCAAGAGTTCGGAAACGCAAACAATAATTACAGCTAGGAAATTTAGATGATTCTGTTTGAGGAAATGATAAGATCAGATCCTCAGGGCCTTGAATGAACACGAAAAAATTCAAAATTGTTCATTTAGAGTGAATAATTGGAGTTCATCTGGGCTGTAGCCGTGATATTTGATTAATAAAGTATATTATCAACGAAACATTTTCAAATAATTTTGCATGTTCACGGTACAAATCTTGAAACTTTTTGAACCATACTTGGACCAAAAAATTGTTTACAACTTTCGTAAAAAAAATCTCTTCAAGTCCTTCAACACTTTATTTCCAAACTTTTGAAAGTGAAGTATTTACACGAAATACTGTGGCAAAACCAAAACAAACTTTCGAAATGGACGCAAGGGCATGTTTACGGCTTTTTTTACAATTGCATTTTAATATTATTGGTAGATCTCGTTAAGTGGTGCTAGGCTGTTGACACCAGCAGGCCTTTCCATATTATCTATGGGGATCTTGTCCATTTTCGGACGTTCAAAAAAACTGTCTGGATTGTCCTGAATCATCTTATTATTCTCGTCTAGCGCCAGATTATAAGCTGCGAAAGCTCGATGAGATCTTGGGATGTAGTTGTGGGTTACTGAAGAGTAATCAATGGATCTTCTTGAGATGACATGACAAGTCTCAAACCCAAAGGTATCGCAAATTTCATCGACCGGCGCATTCTTCACCAACATTGTTAGGCTGTTTACAGCAATATCACAAATTGGGCCAATTGCCAAGCCAGTGCAGATTAGATTTGACACCTGAAAAGGGAGTCCTTATATATAACTTTTTTATAAAAAAACAATCCAAAAATATATGGGATGCCGCTAGCAGGTTTTCTTAAATTCAGGAATTTTAGATCTTGATAACCCGGTATTTGGAGCCTCCTTTTCAAAAGTCACATGTTTTTTGAAAGGCCTTACAAATGGGATTATTCCCGACGCTCCCAGAAACCATATCCCGGCGCCGACGATCTTTGGGCACAATCCACAGCTCTCTGTCGCGTTCAGATCTCTTACCAAGTCCTGAACATCATCCTGAAATTATTTTTTTCTAATCTTCATTAGCTCTACGTATCGGTCTGTCGGGAAAACAGTAAGTATTGCAATGAAAGTAGCATCGCTGCCGAGAAAATGATTTTTTTTTCGCGACAAAATCAAATTGCTTTTCACTTCAGCGACGCGATTGGCATAGCGATATTTTACTCATTATTTTTCCGACAGACTGATACAACTACTAAATTCTTTGCTTACAATTACGTCGGAAGCCGCGCAAATCGTTGAAAATACTAGAAGACAATAGAAAATGATTGTTATTTTCATAGAGCGGTTTATTCTAGCCTCCAATTTCGACTTTATGATTCATTTTTATCTTTTTTTTCGAATTTTTTGTTTTGCATAATTCATGATGATTTCTCAGTCGAGGATTAAAAAGTCGTGGTCTGAGTGATTGACTCATTTCTTGTACTTTATTGTTGACTAAACTTAGTGGATCCTTGAATCTTGAGGCCCCTGGATTGAACAGAGGTAAAAATTTGGGACCGCATTTTGCAGAAGAAACCAATATTTTTGACTGGCTGGCTCTTTGCCAATTTTGCGTCGAAGAATTGACCTTTTATGGAAAGGGATCCAAAACGGCCGTCAAACTTTACAAAACGAAGCTAGCACATTCTTCTTAAAATATCACTGAACAATTCTGTTGTAAACATGTAGTATTAGTAAAACGAAGGCTAAAATTTTCAAAATTTTTTCTTTTTGGGCCACACAGGCTTGGAGAAAATAAAAAGACCAAGTCTGGAGAAGTTTAATATATTCCACAAAAAAATGGTGTAATACGGCCAAGTCGCCATTAATTTTTAATGTAACTTTTTCCAAATCCCTCAAAAAATGACTCATTCTCCAGAATCCCCAAACTTTATCCGTCAAGTGGTTTTTTGAGGGACAAAGCCACTTTTGCAAGGGATGAAAGGCCATTCTCTCGCGGCCTAATCTGTTTTCATCTGTTCTGTTTTATTTATTTCCATCCATTGCGGGCAAATGGAGCGTGTAATGACGTTGCGGGTAATGCTCAATTAGTGGAGTGCAACTGACGTATTTTACGGAGTCATAAGAGTGGCTATGTAACGCCCGACATCTTGTTTCTTTTGCTCGAAAATGGTTGTATTCAAATAAATTTTCCCCGGAAACCCGGCCCCAAAGTTCCGGAGGGCGAATGGTTTGAGTATTCGTGAGCCCTCAACTTTTATGCTCGCTAATCTCGGCGACATTTGTTGTGAAATGACGTCTCCCCATTGCCCCAGATCCGAACCTCAGTAGCGGGGTCGTAACGGGGAAATTAGTCCCGCAGATGGGGTTCCTGGCCACTATAAAAGGCGATAATTGCCTTAGCGAAAGAATTCCGGGATCTTTACACTGCTCGGGTTATAGCGGGCGTTCGGAGAGGAGAGCGGCGGGAGGTTTTGGTCATAAATAACGTGGTCTTTGCTTGGATTTGCAACACTGTAGATGAGCCGGACGAGGGGGTTCTGGAAGTTTTCGTAGTTTAGTTTTGAACTGAATGTCACGCAGGCGGTGGGCTGAGATTTACTTGGGTTTTGGCTTGATTTTTAGAAGACGTTGAGAAATTTTGCTGGGGAATTTTTCAAAGGTTGAAAGTGGAATTTAAAATAAACTTAATTTTGGCGATAATTTGAACTTCACCCTCATTTCTACCATTGAGTGAATTAAGCGGCCTAGGAAAAATTTATTTCTAAAATTTAAAAATAATTATGCGTGTTGAGAAATGCAGAATTCCCTTGGAATTTATTATCAATAAGTTTTCTGGACGTTTCAGTTTCAACGCGGACTTCTGTAAAATACGATCACAAAGTTACTAAGCACACCTAGTAATTTCCAAGCCGTTGTCCACACTCTTTTTTGCATCAACTCACCCAAACTCATCTATTTCCCCGTAATTCAATCCAGATACACAAATAATCTCCACCTCCACTCGTGTGTCATTTCCTCTTAACCTTTCTGTGACTCGCAACCTGCCCTTGTTTTGCCAAATTTATTTATGTATATGTCACCCCCAAAAAACATCTCTGTATTTCCTCGTCAACATTTGATGGCCGAAAATGGGCCGCGGCCTTTCGCGCGTTCACATATCGAATATGGAATCTGTGGAATTTCAGAAATGAATGGTCGGAATTCCCTCACCGTCGGCGCAAGCCCGTATTTATTGTCGCCCACTTCCAGTATGAGTACGATCCGACGAAAACAATTGGCCAAACAGGTAGGATTTACGATTTCTCGCATTTTTTGGAATGAGAATTATAGGTCTGTCGGGAAAATAACGTGGATTCGTCGAGCCTTAAAATCACCCGTAATCACTTTGCAACGGCTAGACGCAGCTGGAGATTTTGTGGGCGATAAGGTGAGAAATTTTGCTGCGACAGAGCCATATTATTTTCCCGACAGCAATAAGGTTTTAATGAGTGATCGAAAGCTAATTTTAAGATTCTCTATGAATAACGCTCAGATTTCAATGAGACTTGTATCAAATTTAGAACAATTCTTTTTTAGTAGGTGTATGAGTTTTCTTAGCAAACGCGTTGCAAAAATATTGTTAGAATAAGCAATGCTTCGAGGATATATGTAATGTTTTTCCAGACAAAATGGGCGGAGATCTGCCAAAAAAGGGCTTTTTTCTCCCACTGTTCTCTGAATTTTACGTACTCCCTAAACGACAGAGATTGTTGACTATATTTGATGTTCTTGTAGAGGACACATTAAATTTGGCAGTCACTGGATACGTTGCTTATTAAAATAAGCAAATTTTAAAGAAAAGTTGAGCGTCGCACTTCGAACATGTCCTCGAGTGAAGAAGTTTATGCAAAGGCTTTTTCTATTTCCTCAATTTGCGATATCAATCTCAATTAGCATTGCAAAATGACTATATATAACATTGCCTTCATTTTTTTACTTTTTATTACTATATAGCTCTGTTTTTTTCCTCTTCTTACTCTTCCGACCATTTGTTCCGGCAGTTAATCAATTTTTTATGGCTTTAAAAGCTGTTTTCGTTTATGAACGGCACTTCAGCTCGCCTCGGAACGGCTGCATGATCGAACAGATTGCAACAAGACCTGCTGGGCGTGAGGGTTTGAGCCGGATCAAACGCTTGTTGCTCTTGTCTCGAAGGTTTGTTTGGGTAAATAAATATTATTTTTACGTAGAGTCCAGTTGGTGCATTTTGCATGATATTTACGCTTGCTTGATTTTCAGAACACATAAATATAGATGCAAAATCCCGTCAAAACAGTGTTTTTTATCTCATCTTTTTATCACCTTCTGCAAGAGATATTAGTGTACTTTTTATTGTTTTGACAACATCACACTCTTTGTTGGCCTGGGACTCCTGAGAGCTCGTCGTATTCCCCATAGAAACGCTGACCTTGATTAAATTCCAGCACGCTTTTTCCATGTTTATGGCGCTATAACGAGCTTTTCCGAGGCTCGCTTTTAGCCCTCTATATGTGTGAGTCTTGGCCCAGAATTTTGCTGATTTAATCCTTCGGCTCAAGAATCAAAAATTTTTTATAATATTTTGGGATAGTAAGAGTACTGAAAAGTTCAAAATTTCGACAATTTTTTTGGTGTTTGGACCTTTCTGACGCTTTGGGATTTCTTGGGAAACTAGTGGGAGTTGATGGAGAGCGTCTATATTCCTCAATTTTGTTATGTTTTGAATTTAGTTTTTGGGATGTAAACTGGTTAGAGATGATATTTGAGCGGTCAGGATGGGAAATTGATGTTTCTAGAAAAAACGGTTTTGGAGAAAATATTTTTCAGTTACAGTATGGTGACTGTATATAAAACTCCAGTATAACAAAAACTGTCTATAACGAACAATTAGGAAGGTTTTAGCTTTAGAATTTATGTCAAAAGTAAACCCCCATCCAACAAAACCAATCCATAAAAAGGCAAATTTTTTTTGGCCTTTGCGATTAGTTGTTCATAACTTTGATTTTCTTTGTGTTTTTTGGCAAAGAAATTATTGTTTTTTGCAAAAATAATCGATGATACTGTAACTTTTTCAAGTTGAAAATTGCGCAAAAAATCAAACTATGGCTAATTTCATCCTAAAAAAATCGGCAGTTTCTGCAAAACGCGGGCAAAAATTTCATAGAAAATTCAAATCAAGGCCTTTTTAATAAAAATTTTTGCTTCCAAAATCAAACACTTTTTTCGATAATTTACCCAAACTACCTAATAAAAAGCAGACATTCCAGGAGGCTAATGGCCTGTTCAAACCAAAAAAGAATTTTTCGAATTTGAAGCCAACTCCTGGGGTCACTCGGAATCTCGGAATGTGGGCATCTTTTCTCAGACATTTTGGTTCAAATTCGTTGTCAAAAAGGAGAGGAAGAAGATGTAAATTCGGAGAGCGAAGAGAAGGGCAGGGCGTAATCCCCGGGACATAAATGTTAAGGCCCGCCGAGTTCCAAGTTTTAGAGGCTTTTAATCGTATTCTCGGCCCTAAACTGTTCCGCTTTTTGCGGTAATTTTGATAATATAGTCAATCGGAAGGCGAAGGATTTTTTGCTGAAAAATCTCTGTAAAAAAGAGATCTTTGGTAAACAAAAATTATTTTTGTTACGAATAGTATTTGAGGCATTGTGTTTTCGCTTTTTTATTACGAATTCCTCAGGGAAAACTTTCCAAAAATAATATTTTTCACCGTTTTCCGCGAATTTCGAGATAAAATCACGGTCTGACCTCGTATTTTAAGTATGATCAACTTTTTGAATCGGCGATTTCGCTCCGGTTTCCAACCGCTGAAGGCGTCGATCAGCGAATTCGAGTTCACAACGATTCGAGACAAGAGTTCGCGGAGGAGGCCCAAGAAAAGTGCGATTCCCCGCTTTTACAGCCATTACGATATGACCGAAGCAGTCGGCAGCACGGTAAAATATTCTATTTGGTTTTGTTCTAACCAAGGTTGAGCTTTATTATGACTAAAAAATGGACTCTTATCCGATCATTTTGAGCCCTAAGATTATACTTATCCACCTAATACTGTAAATATTATAATATCGTCTCTGGGCTCTGAAGCACTTTGGAAATTGGTTTGCATAACATTTCCGCTCTATTTCACCATGAAATCAAAGATTTTATACGTATAAATTGGTCTTTGCCCTAGAGTCAAATGTACCTAAATTATGGGTTGTCAGTTATAACAAATGGCCAGTGATAGAGTAAATAGTCGTTTACTCCCTTTGAGTTTATTTGTCTGCCTCCAGAATCCCTTTGGGACCTTTCATAAAGCCTTGGCTGTTTTCTGGAGCTTCTGGAATCCTCTGAGATGATTTAATGATTTGAAATCTTGGCCAAGATCTTGTGGGACTCTCCAAGATCAATGGACCGGCTTCTGGGCATTTTAGAAACTTCCATGATGACTTTGAGATATCTTTTTGTTCTTTAGAGCCATCGGAATCTTGCATTGTCGTCTGGCTATGTCAGCATTCTACAGAATTGTTTCCAGATCTCCCAGAATCCTCTAGAATCTCTCTGGAAGCTGTCACTATCCTCTGAGTCCTCCAGAGTCCTCAATGATCCCGTAGAATCTCTCTTCATCTCTTATTGTCCTCTGGACTTCCTAGAATCTCCCCATCTTCAGATCCCTCCAAAATCCCTCATAACTTTTCTCGAAACCTCCGCGCAGTCCATTCTCAAACCCCGCGGGGCTATTTGTGAGTCGGAAGCGGAGGAATCGCGATGCACGGGATCGGTTGCCCTCCGGGGACGTCTTTTGAGGCGTCAAGGAGATAACAACCCTCCGTTTTTGCCAACAGTCACGGGGAATGCGGCGTTTCGGCGCCGTTCGATCGCTTTCCGGTGGCGCCGCGAACTGTTCCCGCGAGTTCTGGTTCAAACGCGCCGTCATAGCGGCCGACGCCGAGAGCCTGAGGCCGCAGGTGAGTTGGGAGAAAGCTTAAAATTCTGGATTCATGTTAATGTATCAAATCGATCATATTATGAGGAACTGTTGTTTACTAATCCGCAAAATCGCTGAAGAAAATTCAAAGTGCAAGCGATGGGTCGGAAAAACCGTTTGCACGTGCAAAAAGCAACAAATGTTACAGTGCATGATGCACTTTTGTTTTCACAGAGTGCACGTATAAAGAATTGCTCCAGAGACTTTGTAGTGTCAAAGTTTGAGGATTAAAGGTTAGTTTTGAAATTCAGACGGCGGAAGTGCGTTTGTTTACTTCTCGCGCCAAGAGAAGAAATTTTCACAAGAAGCGATTTTTACATGGACATCTTTGTTTTGAAATTTGTAATGTAACTGGCGTCTTTTTGATATATTGTTTATCTCGGTCGTATATCAGTTGAGGGGAAATATTAGTCATCCTTCTTCTGGGGTAGCGGAGTTTTTGGAAACCGCTTTTGCTAAAAATTATTTGTAATTTCCACAAAGCTTATCGCAAATAACTTGGCAAAAGAGCAGAATCTGCTCACCGCCGAGAGAGCACGCTAAACGCGGAGAGCGGTCAGAGAGAAAAGCGCTTTTTGGCCATAACTTTGGCAGTTTCGTGCGGAAAAATTTGATTTTTTGTATAAGCATTATCCTTTACGGTGGAAATAGGCATGAAACTTTTCGTGCCGAAGTTCGGAAAAAAGTCCTAAATTTTCGCCGACTTTCGATCTAAAAATCTCGGTGTTTTCTGCAAAGCGCGAGCTAGGATTCTCGCATATATCTTAGAACGAATTATTCTAAATTTGTGCCAAATTTCATCAAAATCTGAGCGTCGCATTTGGGATACTTCCCCTGTCAGTTTTGTTGGGATCTTTGTTTTCTTTTGCCTCTTGTCCATTTCTCCCCGACATTACTGTACTTGACTCTTTGCCTTTCCCATCCCATTCCCATACACTTTACGTCTTATCGTCGCCATCACTCCAAATGACATCAATCCCCCTGTCTTGAACATCCAAACATCACTTACACCTCTACTTATGTTCATGTCTTAACTCTGTCAAATCCTCTTATTTTTTTTTATTTTTTTGTCACGTTTGCGCGGTGCTTATGCTGAATTGGGCCGGAAATTGTGGGGCGCGAAACGAGGTTAGAAGGGGAACGATCCCATTCTGCTGAGGGATTTTACGAGCTCTGTCGCACCAATACCCGCAGGGGATAAACGCGTGCAATTTGTTTTTTGACCACTTCAAAAAGCCCGACGGTTTGGCTGATCTGTAAGATGGGACGGGAGAGTTCACGAAGATTTTTATTCAGTTCTCCAAGCAACATTGGACATGGTTATGGCCACTACTGTGTCTATAAGCATGTTTTTCCAAGCTTTCTCGAGTATTTCACACTTTTTTTGAAACCAGGAATTTCCGGTCCCGATGCAGTTGGAAGCGTCGGAAACAATGCGCCAGCTGAGCCATAAAATCTCCGACACCCTCGGACGCCGTGGCCCGCGCCCTCGGATTCCAGGACTCGGCTCCTCATTACCTATTACGGACTTCCCGCTTACGCATTCCGGAATTTCCAAGTCTCGTCTAGGCCATGTTGCGTGAAATTCGTTTGACCTTGCGGCGATTTCCTTGGGCGGAGAGACACAGTATTTCCGGCCAAGTGAGTCATGCGTCAGCAAGGCCTTTCGTCGCTGTTCTCTGCTCCAGAAACTTATATTTTTGTAAATTTTTCGCTTATTTCCCTGTGATTTGCAGGCTTCGCTGGATTTTGACGCTGAAATTCGTACCCTCAGGGCCCCGTGGGTGGGAAAACATTAAGGCGTTCTTTCTGTCAGATGTTGAATTTTTTGAAATTTGATAGATCAATTTCTTCTTGGCTAGTCAACTGCAAAAAAACATAAAAATCAAAACATCAAAAGTTTGTTGGAAATGTCGGGATTTTTGGTCGTTGGATTGAGCGTTTCTCTGTGTGAAGTCTGATGTGTAAAGGAATCTATGTGGCCTGTGGTGCCCAGCATGCAAGCTAACAATTGTTTTATTTAGCTGTAAAATTTTTTATTCTTTGCGGAGGTGAGAAGTGTGATTTTTTTATGAGGCACAGGGGCCTGTTTCATCAACGAAAAATAAATAAAATAAACGAAAGGGAAAGCGAGAGAACACCCAAAACACGTTTCGAAGCGAGAGAGTCGCGACAGATTAGTAGAGACCATCTATAGAGCGGCGCATTTATCACAGCGATCGGAGTGACTTTTTACGTCCAAAACGGGGGGTTCTCAGCAGTAATCAGTGGATAACTCGGCTCCCGGTGGTCGTAGAATCACCCTTCCAAAAACCAAATAAAGCTATTCCTTAGAGCTACGTGATATCCAAATTTCATATTTATACTTCAAAAAATGAACTCAGTAGACACCTAGTAGATCGTAGTATTCAACTTTTTTGACGTTTTTTCTGAAAAACGTTATTATTTCAGTCAATTTTTAACATAATGGGATAAAATTGGTACCAGTCGATAGCCAAACGTTTACTCTACAAAACTTTTTTAGAGGGGCGGTTTACTTCAAAAAATGAACTCGGTAGACACCTAGTAGATCACAGTATTTACGCTTTTTTTACGTTTTTTCGAAAAAAACCTTTGTTTTTCACTCAGTCTTTAACATAATGGGATAAAATTAGTACCAGTCGATAGCCCAACGTCTAATCTATAAAAAATTTTTAGAGGGGCGGCTTCTTTTGCCCTGTGACCTGCGAAACGTTCAATTTCGTGAGACGATGTCTTCTATTTGCGTAAAAAGTCCTTCGATCGTTTCCGAAAAAACCAAAAGAGAGGAAAAGGGCCCTCGAAACGCGGTTTTTTGTGTCAAAAACGGTGGTTCATGACAGTAAACATAGACGTTTCGCAGGCCACAGGGCAAAAGAAGCCGCCCCTCTAAAAATTTTTTATAGATTAGACGTTGGGCTATCGACTGGTACTAATTTTATCCCATTATGTTAAAGACTGAGTGAAAAACAAAGTTTTTTCCCGAAAAAACGTAAAAAAAGCGTAAATACTGTGATCTACTAGGTGTCTACCGAGTTCATTTTTTGAAATAAACCGCCCCTCTAAAAAAGTTTTGTAGAGTAAACGTTTGGCTATCGACTGGTACCAATTTTATCCCATTATGTCAAAAATTGACTGAAATAATAACGTTTTTCAGAAAAAAACGTCAAAAAAGTTGAATACTACGATCTACTAGGTGTCTACTGAGTTCATTTTTTGAAGTATAAATATGAAATTTGGATATCACGTAGCTCTAGGGAATAGCTTTATTTGGTTTTTGGAAGGGTGATTCTACGACCACCGGGAGCCGAGTTATCCACTGATTACTGCTGAGAACCCCCCGTTTTGGACGTAAAAAGTCACTCCGATCGCTGTGATAAATGCGCCGCTCTATAGATGGTCTCTACTAATCTGTCGCGACTCTCTCGCTTCGAAACGTGTTTTGGGTGTTCTCTCGCTTTCCCTTTCGTTTATTTTATTTATTTTTCGTTGATGAAACAGGCCCCAGGTGATTTTTGAGTTAAATTATTTTGGTTCTTGAACATAAGATTTGAGTCATTTTTTGTCAGAATTATCCAGCAGTTTTTCATTACTGAAAAAATTAGGATGACAAAAGTTAATTTTTATGAATGGCGTAAAAATTTTTATTTTACATATACAAGGTACCCTAGTACTATTTGCTTAAAATTCAGCGTATACATTGTCCACAGGGCGCATATTAATTAAAATTTTGGCTGGAGCTTTGCATGGGCTCCCTGTAAATTCTACAACTTTTTTTTTCCAAGAGCGAGTAGCGATGGGAGGAGAAAGGTCAGAAAAAATATTCTTTTGGCTGTATCTTTGCCAATTTCGCATAGAAAAAAATATTTTTTTTTTGTTTTTGCAAATCGCAAGCTAAAGCTCTTGTCTCTAAGATATTTACTCTAAAGTTGTACCAAGGTTGATCAAAATCTGGGAATTGCATTTTGAACACGAGCCTTTAAGATTATGTCATCCCTCTAGTCTGCTTGCCGTATATCGAAGACTTCCCTTGTATGAAATCTCAAAACTACAAGTCTCTGAAATCCTCATGCTAAAATCGTCCGCTTTTATTATACGATCGCATTTGAAATCCAACGAAAATGTAACTATAGAAAGGTGTATTTTGATATAAACATGTCCGCAAGACCGACCGCTGGTCGTCCGGGACGACTCGCCAGGAACGGTGGGGGGTTTGTGATGCCGTGTGTCTCCGAACTGTTTCTAATTCCCACTCCCACACGCGGGGCCGCCAAAACTTATGCCTTCAGGGCATTCCCAAGGTCCGGAACTTTTCGCGGGTTATTAAACGAGGGGTTTGGGCCGAGTCGAAAACCCGGCCCTTAATTGGATTCTGGAGTGTGGTTAGTGCGGGGATCGGGGTGTTTTTTCGAATGTTCGTGTGGTAGAATGTACGAAATGAAGTCAAGGGAATTTGGATATAACGGCTTGTTATGACTTCATTATGATGCTGGACACGGTTTAGGGGCACGAAGCACGTTGTGGGGAGAATTCTGGATGTTTTATTTAGGTTCAAGGAGGAAGTTTTAGATGGGGAGCAGGCAAACTCACAATGCCTCGATTTCATTGAAACTTTGCTCTTTAATTCGCTCGGTCTTCTTAATCATTCGCTGAAAATTTGAGCTCGTAATTTGCTTGAGGCGCTGAGATATTCCAAAATAATTTTCATAGGGATATTGCGTAAAATTCGGAGTTTTGGTCGGAGAAAAGACGTCTTCAAGGCATTTCTTTACAAGTAAGATGAGTCTTTTTTAGCCTTTCTAACTTATAAACTGTCTAAAAATTGCATTTTTGTTTTGTCCAATCCTTGAAAACCAATGAAATTTGCTTCCCAACGGCTTCACAATTTCAAAAAATCTGATTTTCAGAACAGCGAAGAAGTAGTGGAGGTCCTGGACGTGGAAAGCAGTTCGATGGATGGAGACCGTCAGGTTCTCTTGGCCTTTGTCCCCTCCTCATCCAGCTCCCTCAAGGACGATGAGGATCCCATGAATGATGACTTTTCCTCAGTTGCATACAGCGAGTAAGTTGATGACCTTAAACAGCGATCTTTTGGTTGTTGTTTTAGCCAAGGAAGATATAGTTTAAAGCCCACATTTTTTATTAAATTTTGATCTAATTATTTGCCAAGTTCTTCAAAATCTGAGCGTTTTACTTTGAGCATTTCCCTTGTTTAACTTTTTTTTCAATTCTTGACTTCCTGAACTTCTCCCAGTACCCTTTATTTACAGTATTTCATGTTTACTTCCTGGGAGATGTTGAAATCTTGACTTTAATTGCGATATTATTCTCGCTTACACATTTATTTTTAGGTTCAAAAGCAATGACTGCGGCTTGGACCGGGCACTGAATGAATGCAACCAAATTCGACTCAAGGACGGATTCAAGGAAGGCCTTTTGTTGAAATGTATCGAGCCTAAAGGTGAGTTCTTCAAGTCGTTCTAACAAGCCCTAAATCATCAGCACTTTGAGTCCTCATAGTGACAAAAAAAGACATTTGGTCGCCTCTTACCCAACTCAAACCTCCTTTTTTCTAACTTATTTCAAACATGCAGCTCTCTTCTCCTTCCTCCATTTTGCCACTTTCGAAACGGGATCATTCGGATTCAACGGTGCGGGTCAATTAGCGGACAGTCTGGACCTGTCCTCCGGCGCTCTGATCGGCGTCTACGACGAGCTGTTCGCCATCCAGAAGTCCACCAGCTTCATCGAGCCTGCCCTGCCCACCCACCGACATTCGGGATATATCGTGTCGAGTTTCAAGATTCTGGATCGGTCCAGTCGACAGAAACAGCTGGAGAAGGCGTGGCTGTCGTGGACTGGAGCCCGCGAGATCTACAAATACTCGCCGAGGACCTGGAATCTGCGGAGGATCACGTTGACGAGGATCGCCGGACTATCGTAAGGGGAGGGGCGGAAAATTTGGGGCTGTTGCGAAGGGCAGTTTTGGGCCAGTTTATGGCCAAATGGGTCGTTTTTTGAGTCAAATTTTATACTTAATTTGAAAGCCTGAGTGAGGAAGAGTAATTGCTGAGCTATACTAAGCTCATTTTCTGAAAGCCTTAAAACTGATGAATTATTTAATTACGAATTCTAATATTTGAATTAAAAACTTTTGGATTAAGTTTGAGTCAAAATACAGTATGAATTCCAAAAAAATTTGAAAATATTTTTGAGAAAGCATGCAAAACATGACTAAAATTGAATATTGATGATTCCGAAAAGCCTTGCGAACTCATGAATTCGAATTTCCAGCAAGGACAACCAGCGGACATTTGCATACGTTGTGTTGTGCGAATTCGGCAACATTCTGCATCCCTCCAACACGATCAAGGCGCTGGACATGTGCGAGAGATTGCGAGCCAGGAATTGCGGTCATGTTGGGCTGTATCAGGTACCATTCGATGACATATTACTCATCTTGTCCTATGTTTAGGTCCAATACAACTATGGGAAAGCGCCGAGTTCTCCGTTCGCCCCTCCCCGACCCCGTCTCCAGACCCAATCCAACACCCCATCACCCTCAAATTCGACCAATTTTCGGGGCCTTTCGCCGCGCGGATCGCCGCGATTATCGCCTCGAAGCATGCCCAGCAACCTGATGAATGGCCGCAGGCCAATGGTTCGTGGATATTCGCAGGATGTGGACACGTCGGGGCCCAATGACACCGCCCGACGTCGCAGTATCCTGCTCCGGATGAGGGATCGGAGTCTGGGCTACGAACTGAACGAACCCGGCCGCTTCCACAGCTATCAACAGTTCGAGGAGTTGGCTTGAAGGCTGTAAAAAGGTATCAGAGATTGAAATGCAAATACTATTTATGTTTTGAGGTCATTTTCTATGTTCGCATACTTTTAATTTTTGTTTTATTGTTATTTACGAAGCATTCGAATAAATTTGAACCCGGTTTTGAGATTGTTCTAGAAAGGATTGTCGATAGATTTGATGCATTTCTTTTCATTTTGTTTCGAGTAGATCGGTGGAAACGTGTTGGGAAAATGTTTTTGGAGGCAAAACTTCATTTCTCCGAGTTTCTGGAGAGCTTTCTCTGTTGGCTGGGATCCGAAATCTGTTCACGGAATGGACTATGTGAGATTGGAAGATGTCATGCATTCATGTTGATTGGATTGGCCATGTTCTTCTCGGTGATTGGGTTCACTCTCTACTTGTTCAAGGTGTTTGTGGATTGCGCCATGGAGGTGAGTTGGGATTAAATTTCAACTGTCTAGACGATGTTATTGCACTTGATGACTAGCTTTCGATATTTTAAGTGATGATAGGCAGACTTACAGGTGCTGACAGTTAGTGAGTTTTGATATCAAAAATCAGAAACTGTATAGATTCTTCGTATTTTCGAGTAATATTTTGAATAAAGGACACTTTAGATACGATTATTCTTCCATTTTATATATACTATCTTTGATTCCTTATCCTTTGTGATAATAATAAGGCTTTTCAGTGGATTGACCATCCTCCCACCGATGAAGAGCTGGATGAGATTGAGAAAGAGGAGCTCTCCCTTCTCAACAGACCTTTCAATACCCTCAAAATGGTCTGGGCTCTCCTCTTCCAGAAGGATCTCAAGGACCGAAGGATCATCAGGAAGGCCAAGAAATATCAGCCGAGAAAGAAGTCTGTTCCATCAACGAAGAAGATCAGTTCCGAGAAGATTTTGAAACAGAAAGTGGAAGTTGTTACGCCTAAAGTGCCCAAGATCAAGGCCGGAGGCGATAAGGTCGAATAAGAATTAAGAGTCGTGTATATTCGTTATTATGAGCTTTTATGTCACAGAATAAATATTGTATCATGTTATTAACAAAGGTCACCAACTGTTTGTTACACTACAGGGTGTTTCAAGAAATTCCCCGGAAAGTAATTGCCGATTTCTCGGCGCTCAGTCAAGTTATCCAAAAAATTTATTTTGCATGATAAAGAAGAATACGGGCGGTTTTTTGCCTGTGAAAATCATTTTCTCCGCCAACGCGGAAAGCAGGGTGTTCGGCGGAGGCTTTTGGGCACTTTTTTGGTCATCACATCCATCTTAAAAGCTTATTTGTGGTTTCTGATGGTTGAAATGAGGATTTTTGCTAATTTTTGTGTTTATCAAGCGTTCGGCGAAGGTACGGAAGCTGCTCGCCGTATCTTAACTCAGCTATGGACAAGAAATGGCCCAACACAATTCTTACGGTCTGGCAAGCGTTCTCTGCAGGTGTCGTAAACCCTCAAATATTTTGTCGCCAAGCCTTGTTAGACGTTTAGCCATCGAGAAACGACTTGGTTCACTGGAAAACAACAAAATATTTATCGTTTAAATTTCTCTTTGTCATGCTGTTCCAAACATCCGCACGGTGCGCTCCAACTTTATCGACGTTGCAGCGACTGCATTGCACCGTGCAGTTGCTAAATCGGATCGCATAGCATTCTAGCTGGCCATCTATCCATCGTGCAAAAAATTTAAAGACTTTCTGGATGCTTCAGTGTCGCAATAAAGCATTAAAAATTCGTGTGATGACCAAAAAAGCGCCCAAAAGTCTCCGCCGAATACACTGCTTTCCGCGTTGGCGGAGAAAATGATTTTCATAGGCAGAAAACCGCCCGTATTCTTCTTTATCATGCAAAAGAAATTTTTTGGATAACTTGACTGAGCGCTAAGAAATCGGCAATTACTTTCCGGGGAATTTCTTGAAACACCCTGTAGATGTTGAAATTTTTAATTTTTGAAGAACCCGCACTTGTACTTTGTCTTCGGATATAGAGTATCCATTCGTTGACGGAAACTGTTTACAATCTGAAAAAGATCGTTGCGGCATTTTCATCATACGATGAAATTTTTTTCAAATAGAAAAAAATTAGGTGTGACATCTTATCGTCATCGTGTGACATGTGACATCCAATTTTTTTTTTCTCAATTTGAAAAAACATTTCATCGTATGACATGTCACACCTCATTTTTTACATTTTCAAAATGGGGAAGTGTTCAAAAAGGGGGGGGAGTTGCGCCTTTTTTGGGGAGAGTTCAGAAAAGGGGGAGAGTTCAGGCTCAACCGAAAAGGATACTCGCCGCCTCCAACGATTGACTTACATTGTAATAGAAGCTCTCTGCTCTTTGAACTCCCTCTTGTTCGGCCCTTGAAGCATTTCGTTTTATTCCTGGATGCACGGTGAAAACATCGTTGAGGACGGCGAATTTGAAGCCAGCGCGACATGCTTCGTAGGCCATTTGGGTTTGGCCACGATGCGGATACGGAAAACTTTCGTCGTAGAAGGGGACTTGCGTTGTGTCGCCGACAAATTGAGGCTCCCATTCTCCATTCGTGTAGTTGACGAACTGAAAAGACAAGGCTTTTTTGAAATTTAAATTTTGTATGAATAAGTCAGCGATTCAGAGTAAAAGGCTATCACAACGAAGAAGGGAACACTTTATTACGATGCTGACAATTGTAAGACCTACCTCAAAAACGGAGGCGGCACTCATATCTTCGGGGATCTCAAACCATCTCTCTAAATGAGGGATACTGTGACCTGCGGCATAGAACTCTTTATGAAATTCCACGGCCAAATTCTGATCATACAGCTTCTAAACAAGACAATAATAATTTCTCTGTCCACCACTTTTTCCTACCTTTAAATCAGTTTTATTTGTCGGAATCCGTTGCTTAACATCGACTTCGAATCGGCGATGAACTAATACCACCTTATCCTCACCGCTAAAGCAAAGTTTTCCTATACGTATATCAAATATATACAAAGGCTATCAACTTTTTTTTGGCTTACGCAGTAATCATTTCGTTGGCCAATGGTAGCACCCGTTTCACATAATTTTCGGAGGGTATATTCTCGATGTCGGACATGACAAATAGCCGTGTTTTCATCTCAAATCTTGCGATATTCCGCAACGCTTGGCATGGATAATTTGCAATATGGGCTTCTCCGCGATACAGGCCATCAAGATACCTCATGTCGGTCTTCAAATCATCGATGGAGAATGTGAAATTTCGGCAGTTCAGAGGTCGATCAAACAGTAGATGGATCCCAACTTTGCCCGTCTTTTTGACCGACGATAAGCTCTCTAATTTGCTCAAGGCATCCTGAAAATGTCTTAATAATTATTGTATGGGGAGTGAGGATGCTATAGCAAGCTCTGAAACTGCCGATTTGATGATTTCTTACCATAAATTCGCGATTGTAATAGCTCCGACTGCCCGCATTAAAGTCAGGGGTGGGTACATAAATGGCCACAGAAATTGGTCCATCCCACCAATAGGCCAATTGGCCCAAGTAATCGACGAAAGGCATGGTGGAATGGACGACATAAGTGATAGAGTCCCTCCACTTGTCCTCTGGCTCCCAATAATTAAGTACCGCACAGTAGCCGCCTCGATACGGCTTCGTTATCAAGGTCTTTTCCCTTGAAGGTTCGGATGATGCTAAAGAATTACGTTTACCGAAAGTTTGAAATAATACAAGCGAGATATAGAGTGCTCACCCTGTTTTTCGGAGCGTCTGAAAATCTTTACATACAGGAGGAATACTAGAGCAAAAAGAATGAACAAGAGACAGTGTCGCGGCTTCCATCGTAGCGACATTTTAACATCCTCAGCCTTGGAGTACGCTGTAATGATCGGGGTTTTGGTAGTAGCCCCCCTAGTTTAAACTTCCACTATATTGCTCGTTTTACACCCCACATAACGAAAAAATTAGTATAATACACTAAACTTTTTTAATACACTAAAGAAAAATTAGAATAGTACAAAAAATGCAAATTAGAGTAAAATGTAAACTCTGAAACGATTCATTCACGGTAAGTGGGGGTTTCATCTAACAGGGGAAGTACTCCAAGCGCGACGCTCAGACTTTGATGAAACTTGGCACAAATTTAGAATAATTTTTTCTAGGATACATGCGGGAATCCTAGCTCGCGCTTTGCAGAAACAACCGAGATTTTTAGATTGAAAGTCGGCGAAAATATAGGACTTTTTGTCAAATTTCGGCACGAAAAGTTTCATGCCTATTTCAACCGTAAAGGATAATGTTTCTACAAAAAATCAAATTTTTCCGCACGAAACTGCCAAAGCTATGGCCAAAAAAACGCTTTCCTCACTGACCGCTCTCCACGTTTAGCGTGCTCTCTCGGCGGCAAAAATCGTTCGATATCTCGGCGGCACCTGCAAAGTGCGAGCTAAAACTTTCAGGAATTGATATTTTGTCCATACCCGATGCGTGTGCAAAATTTAAAACACGATTTCTGAGTCAGTGAAGCAGCCTTTAGTTAGGCCGTGACATAGAAAATTTCGATCTCGGGTTTTTCGCCTTAATGTGACCAACATCGTCCTGAAAACTTATTGGCAAAACAGTTTTGCCTACTTCCGCCGTTAACATAGTTATTTTTACAATTTATTGTTTATACAGTAATCCACAATAATTCAGTAATGACCATCCAGACATTCATGAAATTGTGTATACTGATGTTTTTGAACTCGTAGATTTCAAAAAAAGTGGTTTTGACTCATTAGGATTACTGTAACATACCAAACTGCCGATTCGGCCGCTAAAAATCGGCCGTAAAAAGTTTGTTTCTGAAAACCCACAGCTGATTTTTACATATGTTAATCAGCATACAATTCCTCCCTATAAACGTTAAAAAAAAGTCCAAAAAGTGGGGCGGCATTTTTCATGGTATAGTGGTTTTCGGTCAGAACTACCAATCCAGCGTCCCGGGTTCGAGTCCGCCTGGATGCAAAAACCAAAAATAAAGCGTGAATTAGCTTTAATGTGGTCTTGGGGTCTGTATGAGGGAGACTGAATAATTTTAGACATAGACGATATCCTTATTTGAGATAAAAATGGATTTTATATAATTTTAGATGATAAATTCGTGAAAAATAAAACGTCTTCAAATCGCTTGAAATTGATATAAGATCTTCTATGAATAATTCTAAGCAACTTTTCCGTTAGGTTTTTTTGATTGCTTACTGTACCATGGAGTACTGTAACATAAAACTTTTTTTCCTTAACCGTGGTTTTCTTCTAAATTCTTCAATGAAATTTTGATTTTTTTTGGTTGGCTTTTTTAAACGGTTGAAACTATACGCGCTGCATATTTAAAACAACAGTCCATCTCTATTCCAGTGTGTATTCATATCATCGTCAATTGGTGAAACTTCGGGAGATTTCTCAGATCTTTTGAATCGTACGGCCATAGAAACATTCTGGTGTCCCAACCGACTCATTCTTAACCATTTCTATCATAACAGTGATAGTCCGATGCCTCTGCGCTCTGTGGTATGTGAAAAACTAAATCGGGTTTTATGTTACAGTACTCCATGGTACAGTGAGCAATCAAAAAAAGCTAACGGAAAAGTTTCTTAAAATTATTCCTGGAAGATCTTTTATCAATTTCAAGCGATTTGAAGACGTTTTATTTTTTACGAATTTATCATCTAAAATTATATAAAATCCATTTTTATCTCAAATAAGGATATCATCTATATCTAAAATTATTCAGTCTTCCTCATACAGACCCCAAGACCACATTAAAGCTAATTCACGCTTTATTTTTGGTTTTTGCATCCAGGCGGACTCGAACCCGGGACGCTGGATTGGTAGTTCTGACCGAAAACCACTATACCATGAAAAATGCCGCCCCACTTTTTGGACTTTTTTTTAACGTTTATAGGGCAGAATTTTATGCTGATTAACATATGTAAAAATCAGCTGTGGGTTTTCAGAAACAAACTTTTTACGGCCGATTTTTAGCGGCCGAATCGGCAGTTTGGTATGTTACAGTAATCCTAATGAGTCAAAACCACTTTTTTTGAAATCTACGAGTTCAAAAACATCAGTATACACAATTTCATGAATGTCTGGATGGTCATTACTGAATTATTGTGGATTACTGTATAAACAATAAATTGTAAAAATAACTATGTTAACGGCGGAAGTAGGCAAAACTGTTTTGCCAATAAGTTTTCAGGACGATGTTGGTCACATTAAGGCGAAAAACCCGAGATCGAAATTTTCTATGTCAAGGGCTGCTACACTCACTCAGAAATCGTGTTTTAAAGAAAATCTGAGCGTCGAACTTAGAGTACTTCCCCTGTAAAACGTAGGGGGCTTGGTCTAGAACTTAGGGGGTTTCATCTAAAACGTAGGGGGCTTGTTGCTGGACCATACAACTTGGATAAGTTTTGTGGGTTCAGAATGGACGAGGGGGGTTGTACTGGGTCATGGGGGGCTAAACTGAACTGGGCGGTTGTACTACCTTAGCCCCAAATGATCAAGTGATGCAGCCGTTGAAAGGCCGACTGCAGAAACAACAAATTCTCTTTTGTGTTAAAGTTTCGACGATAAGAAGACAAGAAACTCTAATCTTACCACACCTCTGATTACGAATTGACTTCAACTGGACATCAAGTCTCCTGCGGCCGGACCGGAATTCTTGTTGTCATCCATATAGAGGGGCAGGTGACCAAACAGCAAATCCAAGGAGAGGCGGCCATATCTGGGTGATATTCCACTTGGATCCGGCGTTATAAATAAAAAAAAATTAAAAGCCCCTCAATAACTTTGAATACCATATTTTTAAAAAGCCAAAAAAAAAACAATTTAAACATGCCAATATATCCCAAATATCCATTCAATATTTATTATCACTTAAAACTGTTTAAATAATCTGACTAACTCTCGGGGGTAGGATTGCATTTCAGTTTGTATATTATGATATAAGACAAGATAGATTACTGTAGTAAGGCGCTTGGAAGTGAGATGTGAAGCCGAATACGAAAAGGGCGCGGGCCATTACAATATACAATCTTATTGTAACCAGTAAGTCGATATCGTAGCAAGCGATAAGCAGGGATCGTACAGTAAAAGGCGATGTATTCAGGGCCCTATAATTACCATAGCTTGGTGAAGGAAAGTGTTGATTCTCCCACAGAGACCACCAAACTTTCCTTTCAGACTCGTGGATGTCGAAAGATTCGTAAGAAAAAACAAAAAAAATATTTAATATTGGGAAACTCACATGAACAATATAAAAAAACTGTATAAAAAAGATAGAAGTAGACTTAGAATTCAATATATTTCAGTTCAATATATATTTCAGGACAAGGTTATCAAAGATCAAAGAGAAATTGAAAAAAAATCCTTCAAAAATCCTCAATTTCCATGTCTCCCTTAATCCTCCAGTTTTGGGTACATTCCCGAGTCATTATCGCTGTTGTTCTTCTTCGACGGTGGGATTAAATGAGCAGGCAGGTCGGCGGGCAACTCATGTCCATCCAGCTTCAAGTTGATCAAGTAATTGGCCAGGGCAAACTCGTCCGCGTCCAGCATTCCATCCTTATCCACATCGGCCAGCTTCCAGATCTTTCCGAGGACCGAGTTCGGGAGTTTCGACTTGAGCATGTGTTCCTTGGCCACTCGGCCGGAGAGCTTTCCGTCCACAGGTCCGAGGTCGGCGAACTGTTCATCGGCGTCGATCCTGTCCTTGCCCACAATCCATTCGCTTTCATCTGCGCCTTTATCAAATCCTTCGCCTTTTCCGAATCCAAACGGCGTTGCTCCCTCGGATTCGGACTTGAAAGCGCCTCCCTGTACTTCTGGTTGTTTGAATTGACCGTTCTCGCTTCCCGCCTCCTTGGCGGCCTGCGCTTCTTCTTGAGGGATCTGGGACATGAGCCTTGCTAAAATCATGTTGTCTTAGTCATCAAATTTTCCGAAAGACAATAAAAACCTTCAAAGAAAATTTCCAAAACGCCTTCCCTTCTCTACAACATCTCTAAAACATCAATCCAATCACTTACCAATATCATTGGCCAACATTTCGTCCACCACTTCCAATAATCTTGGTTTGATCGCATTAAACTTGGTAAAGTCAACATTCTGGAGGTTCTCCCTCATTTTGTCGACATCCGGAAAGTCTCCAGGCGATATATTGTGCTCCTTCTGTAGCTGCTCAAAGATCTTGTCCAGCTTTTGAATCAATTCCTTCTTTTTCTTCTCCTTGCCAATCATCGATGGCATTTGTTTCCTCAATTCGGCGATGATATAAGCATGAACCTTCGCCAGACGGGCTCTCTTGATGAGGTCGTTCAATTTGCGGAGAGCTGCGTGTCTGGGGAGGCCTTGAAGATCGGCGAAGAGATCATGTTGCTCATCTTGGAAGAGGCGCCGATTGATGTCATAGTGAAGGGGATGGTCCCAGAAGGTGCCAATGTAAACTCTAGCTACTTCCGGAGTTTTGAATACCTAAAAAATGGACAATAACACCATCACAATCAAAACATTCGCAAAAGTTTCACCAGCTTACCTTGCCCAGAGACCACATCAGAGCTCCATAAACCCGCATCAGTTGTTGATGGTCGACCATATCCGACTTGTTTAGGACAATTCGGATCTTATCCTCGTTACCTAAATATCAAAAATAACAAAAGTGAAAGGAAGGACTTACCAGCCAAGGCTTCGATACAGCGTTTGAATTCGTCGGAAATATCAAGTTTGTGGGCATCGAAGAGGAGGATGATTCGGTCCACTCTCTCGGCAAACCATTCCAGAACACCAGTAAAGTCATATCCTCGGTCAATTCTAAAAATGATAATTAGAAAATTTTTATTCCAACAACCATAAACTTATACCTAAAATAAGTTAACCAATTGCAAGCTATAATCTATTTTCATTTTTTAAGCCTTTGGTTTACAATAAATCTCAAAAGTAATCAAAAAAATGTAGTTATTATCAGTAATGAACAACCGCATTTAGGCAGTGCCCAAGTTGCAAACAACGTTCCTTTCAGCGTATCGGAAGTAGTCCACAGATCATTCTGGAAGCTCCGTGACCATGGTATGATAACGCTATATTAGTTTACTACCTACTTTTATACACTTTCAGAAGCTGGGATTTGAACCACAGCCGATCAATTCGCGAATTCAACTCACTACCACTAAACCACGCAAACACGGGGTGCTCAAGCTCTAAATAATGGCTAAAATAAGGTCGCATAAGTTGGAAATTGCCACAATGTCCGCGAAAATACTTAAACTAAACTCTCTCGTATCTATAATTAACCACTTGATCAACGGCTATATTACACTAGATATCACCTCCAAAAACTGACCTTTGTTTCTCTCCACTCAGAATTCCAGGTGTATCCACGATGGTGACGCTCTTCAGGACGTCATTATTCATTGTGGAGCATTGGAACCGGTTCAAAAAGGCGTTGCCAAACTTCGAAAGGGCTCTAAATTGTTTCTTGGAGTCAACCACCAATGCATTTCCAGGCACAACACCTTCCGACTCATCGTGCATAACAGCAATGAATCTGTCGGTTGTTGGCTCTGGACCAATTCGGATCCCCGGGAAATCCTCTTCAAGAAGATATCGGATAAATGTCGTTTTCCCGGTAGAATATTGACCAACCAAAAGGATCATGGGCTTGGCTGTGAAGTCGGGATCATCCATAGCCGGCGAATGGAAGTCATGGAACTTGTAATACTCTTCCAGGGGCAAGAGCTTGTTCTTGTAAATCTTTTTGAGGCCATCACTGACGCTTTCCAAAACCTAAATCAAAAATTTTTAACTGAAAACTAAAATAGATTTTATTTTAGGTACAACTACTAAAAAATCCTAGTTTTAAATCGAAACTCTGTCTCCCATACACCATAATACCCGTTGCTATATGACCTAACTATTACTCAACTTTTAACACCTCAAATAAAGCAAAACTTATATCCTCCATGAACACCTACACTTTTCCATCTGAAATCGACTTTCCCGCTCGTGTCGTACAATCCACAGAGATTTAAGCAAAACATAATGTATTCACATCATCCCTTTACCATTATTCACAAAAAATATAGTCAATTTAGATCCCAAAACACCTAAGCATTTTACACTAGATGGTTGGTGAGAAATTCCCACAGAAAAAACGTTCAATCCCAACCGTTTTGGATAAACTTTAGTCAAATATGTGTTCTAATCCCTCTTCTGCACGTGAGATACCTAAAAACGGAAGCAAAACAAAAGAAAACCACTTACATCTTCCTTCTCCTTCTTCTGGCCCGTTAACCAGGAAAACATGGTGCTCTGAAAGAATTTAGGGGTTCGATTCCGGCTCATTTCATTAAATTGATAAGACAATCACGGACAAATGCAACGCGAAGAGAACTGATATTATTCATAAAGAAAATGGAGAAATCATTTGAATCGGGGTGTGTCAAAGAGCAAGTAGTTTTTGGTGGTTCCGCCGTTCTTTTGCCAGATAAATTAATTTGGAATTTTAGGGAAAATGGAGAAAGCTGCTGAAGTAGTTACACACCGAAATAAACAAAATTGTAAAGGTTTCTTGACCAACCTAGTGTAATATAAAAAATAAAAAAGTGCAAGATAATTTTAAAACAATGGATAAAACAGAAAGACTAGCCCGTATTGATCCAAAAAATATCAAATTTTATCACTGGAGATCTACAATTAGTAAAGATAACGTCAAATTTATAACACTTTGTTCAAAGCACTGATAAAAACAGCAAAAAACAGGTGTTTCACTGGCGGCAAGGCCTGATTTTGGAGTCAAACTGACAGATAAACCCTCAAAGTATCTGGATTAACCCATATTTCTAACAAACATGTTCAAAACTATCGACTTTTTACCCAAAATCTCCACTTCCACACCATCGAATTGACGTTTATTTCGTCAGATCGCAGGTTTGCGGTGTGAATCACTCTGAATTGACCGAAGCGAGACAACGAACCACTGATTGAAGTCGAGAGACCGAAGAAAACGCGAATTCAAATGTTTTTTCGACGGAAAATCCTGAACGGCGAACCTCCAAAAACAGCTGGAAAAGGGCACAAATGGAAGTCAAAAAAATGAAAAAAAGTAATGAGATTGGATGCGTATCCGTTTCTGAAGATTCCGAAAGACAGATTTTAATTTCACGCAAATGGAAGACAAAATTTAAAATTCTGACATGTTATCCATGACAAATTCTAATCGAAAAGACCCAAATTTAAATCACTATATTAATTCGATTTGTCTGAAATTCCAAACTGATCGTTCTGGAGTGCAAAGGAAACCTTTTAGCGTCAAAAAAGACTACTCTTTAAACAGAAATTAATTGTGAAATGATGAGTAATCGTGTTTTTTTTATTCAGCTGTTTTGAAATTGCGAACGAACGAGAGGATAGATATAACGAGAAGGAACAAATGTTCTTTGAGAAAAACAGAAACAACGAAATGAGTCTAGAAAAAAAGAACGCTCGCTTTTACTTCGTCCATGTTGTCCATGAGGAGAGGGCAATTAGCCGGCCGTTTGAAGGGTTTCTTGGCCGAAAACGTTCGAGAAAAAAGTTCCCATGCATGGCCATGTCTTTCTAGGGTCTAATATTCTTTTTTACAAGGCTCATTTGGAGTAAATATGCATAAAACTTCGTTTTTTCCATTTTTCATGTCTATTCCCAAGTATAACATCATAAGACAATTAACAGGTGCCTCCTGCTCATATAAAACCCGTGGAAAGCAAGAGTAGTTATTTGAAACATGATAAGACTCCTAACCAGCTCACTTGACCAACAGCGCCTGCAATCTTATCAATTTTATATTACACTTGACCCCCACTTTAGGATACGCCTAAAATTCATCGAAACAAATCGAAATACGACTCAAAAGGCTGTTAGATTCGAAGACCATCCCCTAACAAAGTCGCCAGATCAAAATCCGCGGATTAAGATCGAAGAATATTTTTTTAAAACACGACCTTTCCGATTCCAAGGGCCTAAAATCCACTTTTAAGCGCCCCAGGCCGCAAAAATAAACTATCAGAATTCTCAATCTGCATCCAGAAAAAAAGCGCCGCGTTGGCAGTTTGTGTGGGATTCTGAACCGCTCTTCCACAATCCCGCCGACAAGGTCGACCTCCGAAGATCAAAAATCCACGAAAAACGACGATTCAGCGGTTTTTCCGATGATTGATGAGACAGGTCGCGAGCTGAAGGCGTCACTATGGGTCAGCGAGAACATAAAGGAGCTCAACATGGAGTCTAAAAGGTCATCTGCACCTTGTTTCAAGCTTAGACAAGGCAATTTTGAGATTGTTTTAGATGGTTGATCTAAAATAATATAGATCAAGAAAAGGAGATAAAAGAAAGTCGAGACTGAAACAAATTGCAAAGATATTGACTCCTTACAACTTCTAATCCCACTGGATTCGGCTTCCGACAAAAGAAAGCACAAGGAAAAAACAGATTTACAATGCCGGGCGCAGCCTGCGACTGCCAATTTCATCGATTTGCAAGTTGCAGAGGATACTGTATAAAAATCATGATCCTCTAATCGCAATAATACACACAGTAATCTAAACAGGATAAAGTTTGCTCAAAATTTTCAAATCAAATTAATTTTTTCATTATTTTTTAGTCATCAAGTATAACATAAGTCAATAAAAAGGTGTTCGAAACTCTAATTCTTTGCCGATTTCATCACAAAGATACGAGCCTCACTTCCGATCTGAAACTTGATTCAAAAAAGTGACAAATAGGCATTTCACGGCCCCGGGAAAAATGAAAACCCGGGATTTGAGCAAGGATGACAACAACAATAGATATAACCGTTGTGGAAATCGATAGAGTGCAAAAAGATTACATCCGTTTGTATTCAAACAGTGAGCAAGCTTGTTAACAATAATATAGAGTTTTTTCCCCATAGCAGTAAAAAAAATTTTTGGTCTAATATAAAATTGCCCATTATCCATCAAAACCCCCGGATTTTCTCCCGAAAAATGCCCTCTAATTCCCTCAAACTGCAAAGTTTATAAGCCGAAATCGACTCTAGTTCCATTGCCCTCATCAAAACACGCAACCAAACTCTAAAGCAATGTTTATTCAAGAGAAAAGCGATTTCCCCCCGAGTTTTTCGCTTTTTTAAACCGAAGTGACGTTGTAGCGGGATAAAAACAGCTCTCGATCCTTGAACCGAAGGTGCAAAACGTTCTGGAAGGGAGAAAGAGCAAATATATACTATAGTATATATATATATATTATTGATGTTTTATGTTAAAGTGAACGGAAATCTAGAGATTTTGGAAAAGTAAAAAAGTTTGAATAGTAGGATTGGAAATGGAGATGTGGAAAGATTTACATAAAAGTAAGCTTAAAACAGCTAGCGCCAAAAGTCATACGTCATCAAAAAGGATTATAGACAAGTTCAGAAAGTTCGTGTTTTACCTAGGAATGTATAATATAAAATCTACTCAAATTTAACAAAAAAAAGCTTCACGTAAATACAAGTCAACTGATCGAGGTAAAGTAAACAGCTGTCATTATCTTTTGAGACCTTTTATGACTTGAAAAACAGCTCAAAAGATATCGCAGCGGACCTACGTTCTTTTCCGTTTGTCAAGGGAAACAATCAAGAAGCAACAGTCAGGTCTTAATGAAATCTAACATAAATTAAAATAAGGACATTTTAAGACATATTTTAAATCTTGAGCATAAACTATGCAGAAACGGCCAGGATATTTTGATCGGAAGTCGCCTAAGGTTCGGTACTGGGTCGCATTTGATGGAATCGTGTTCTGCTTGAAGCGGCAGGTGTAAATCTTCTGCAATGACTTGCAGATCTCTCAAGATCGAATGAGATGTTGGCTAAGGACCACTCTTCTCCGATCGATTCTTTTCATTCTGGTCAGTATGTACATATATTTCCTGTAAAGCCGTAGAATTTCTCTGATGTGTCTATAAAGCGAAGCTCAAACTTGCAGAAACTGATATGTAACCTAAAAGAAAGCCGTTTCACAAATTTTTAAGCTGTCTGACCGTCAATTTTGCTGAGAAATATACATGTTATCGGCATGCTTTCTAATTATACTATTAGATGATTTTTTGCCATTTTCAGAAGTCGAAGACTTGTAATCACTCAAATCCTTCACCTTCTAACCCATAAACCGCAAGGTTGAGCTCCTCTTGCTATAATAAATCTGGTTTTTTAGATGACGCCGTGACCTCTCCTTGACTTCGAGTTTGTTATTAAAGAGCTTCCGAGAGTTATTCAATCGGTTGGGAAAGGATCTACGGAATATGAAGTGTGACGTCGTCATTATTATTGTTATTACAGAGCTATGTCATCGCATAATTAGTTCAATTTATTCTCACTTCTCTAAATAATCAAATTTATATGGCCAAATTTGTACTGATTAAAGTCATGTTTTTAAAGAGTAAAGTAATCGTACAAATACAAGATCTATGATTACTTTTACGATCCTCAACTCTTCTTCGTGACCTCCAAAATTTATTTATTTTATTAAGGCCAGTTTCCCGTTACATATTTATTAATTCAACCCGTTCTCCCCTCTTTACGAAACGAGGGGGCTTCAGGATGCCTGGAATCGTTGCGCAATCGTCTCCACAAGGGGTTTAAACTCGCGCGGTTTACAAATATTTTCAAACAAGAAATTTGGCATTGTTTTCGGGAGGGAAAAGTGGGAAACGGGGCAGTGGAGAGCCCTTCGGGGGGAACGGAAGGGGCCTCATACCAGTTGATTTTTCGTAAGGGGAAGTTCACTTGGTCTTAAACTAAATTAATATTGTAAAGCTAATAAAATTTTGGTGTTCGTTTCGACGAAATTGACCTAATTTTTCTCGTTTTACTTTTTAGTCATCATTTCACTGATATTGGATGACATTTCAATTTTTGGAGGCAATTTTTTACACCGAATTTTTATAAAGCATATGCCAAAAATTTTTGTTGACCGCCTCTCCTAATTTTTCGTACTCTCTCGGTTGCAAAGTTCGCTGAATATCTCAGATGGGTTTGCAAAACAAAAGCTAAAATTTTTAGGAATTAGACTTTGACTTGTGCAGATTAAATGCAGAAAATTACAGACCCATCCGAGAGCAGGCATGCCAGCTATACCAGTGTTAATTCTGATGCCGTTCGTTGCAAAAAAAACGGGAATTTTTTGATTTTTCTCAGTTTATCTTTCACAATTTTTAGACTCTCATAAGATGGCTGTTTTTAATGAATTTCGGTGTAGTTTTTTCCATTTTTAACACTTTCCAGTCCCTCTTTCTTTTTCCCCAAGGTCAACCAGAACATTTACTCGAATAAACGCCTTGATTACAGGCTCTCTTCTATTGTAAACCCTTTACTATTTACAAGAACTGGTGGGTGTTTGGAGAGGCGGAAGTTTAAGGAATCTGAAGGGCGTTCAGTTGGAAGGCCCGTTTTTAATTTGGCTGATGAAAATGATCACAAATGAAGGGGTCATTTTTAGGGTTTTGTGTGGAAAAAGTAAAAATTTGGATTAGCACGAAAAGGTGGATTCTGGAGTCGCCGGGAGGAGATTTTTCTGAAGGTTTCCGTATTCGTTTAGAACTTTTTTAAACTAAATCCCATTGGTTAAGCGAAAAATTGGAATACTGAATTGCCAAGCGTAATAGACAAAGCCGTATTTTTCCAAAAAAAAATTAACCAAAAAAACCGTATTTTACCTCGAAAATTCTTCCAATTATTATTATTTTTGTTATTTCTTTAGCAAGTACTTTTTATGACATTTGAAAGCGATCTTTTCCTTGCTCATTGTATCGCAATGACCGCTTCCCCTGCTCCTCAACTTTTTTATATCAAGCGGAACGCGTTTTTTATATTCTCCTCAAGTTTTATCACCCAAACATTTCAGATGTCATATCAAGTCCTCTTCCTGGCCGTGATTCTAGCCAACAAAGTGTTGGCGTGGCCGGATGGAGCTCCTTGTATTCATGCCGCCTTTGAGAGTATGAATCCATTAGAAGCCGTGGAGCATCAAGGAGGACTTCAGGTGAGGAAATTTAAAGTTTTTTTGAGGAGGAATTTGAATATACAAGTAAAGTTAGGAGCTGAAAAATGATGATTTCAGCTGACACCACCGCCATTTACAATTGACACGGAGCAGAAATGTTATTGGAGAAATCAACCGGTAAAAAGTGAGTCATCGAAAAATTAGGATATATGTGTACACATGCTAGTACCTTAGCCAGTGTTTGAAGGCGGGCAAAGATGCTTTGCTAAAAACTTTATGGCATGGTCTTTGTAATGCATACACCTATGTAATCAAAAATCTCTCGCTTCAGATCCAAAAAATTTCTTATTTTTCTTGATTCCTTTTGATACCAAATTTGGGATTATTGTTGACCTTTTTTTCCGTTTTAGATGTTATATGGGTACTAAAAATTCTATGTTTTATTTCTAGTCACCCTCCGCGGCAACAACTCTCACGACGAATTCAAAGGTTTCGCCATTCAGCCGTTTGTTTGGAGAGGCACGAAAGCTGGTCGAAGGCAAGTCTAAATTCTCCAAATTTCACTTATATTCTGATTTAGAATCGGTGTTTTCCTGAGATTGGACAATAATGGAAGTTGGCGACAACAGTGTTTCAAGAATAAAGATTCCGTTACGCACAGTCACGACGAGAAAAAGAAGAAAATGGAGCTGTGGTGGAAGAACGACGAGGATGAAGAGAGCTACGTGCAGTTTGTGTAAGGATGCTCTCAATATAAAAATATCGCAAATAATTCATATATATGTGCAGCTGGGTAGTGAAGTATTGCTCGGTTAAGACCTCCATTTGATATGTGCCTTTTTCAGCGCAACTGTTGTCATCTCCCTTAAAACTTTTTGGGTGAAATCGGTCCTCTCCGCTCCACTGCCACCATGCCGGATTGAGAAGGAAATTGGTGTCTGGCAACATCCTCCAGTCACCCAGCCACCTCCAGCTGGACAATTCAAGATTCAAACTTTCCACATGTTTAATCAAGGAGATACCACATTCTTGGAGAAATCGTTGTCCAATCAGAACGTAAGCTGAATTTTAGAAAAGAATCTTTCCAAAAGAAAAGATCTTACAATCCATGTATAAGTGTGTAATATGTTTGAAATTTGATTTTTCAGTTCTTCCGGCCAGCCCCAGCCACCTTCCGACCAGCTCCTCCACCTCAGCCAACCCCAGCGTTCACGCCGACTCAGTTTACGGTCACTCAGCCTCAACGGACTTTCCCTCAAGTCTCGGTCACCCCGTTCACTCCACGACCAGCAACTCTGGTTCAGAACAATGTGGTGAGAAAATTGATTTCAATTACTATTTCGGTTTTTTCTGCATTTTTAAAAATCTCAACCTGCGCCAAATTGCGCAGAAAAGTCATATCTATTCTCATGAAGTTAAACTGCTTTTATAATCATCAAAATTGCAGCCTCAGCCGACTCGTCAGCCCTTCAACCCTCAACGTTTGACCCACATCATTCCTGTTTCCCAAATGGAAAACAACCGAAGACGTAAGACCCCTTTTAAGCAACAAATTTGGAATTATTTCCAGCTCAAGTGTGCCGAGATACGGATCAGAGCAACCGCTGCTCTCAATGGATCAACTTCTGCCAAACCTCGACATATATGCAAAACTTTTGCAGGAGAAGTTGCCGTTTCTGTCAGTAATTGGAAGCCATGGGTTAATTTAATTTTTCCAAATTTACAACGGGTCTCAAATCTACTTAAACAAAGTTGTGTTGCACTACCGGTTGATTCCATAAATTATGTCATGTCTGATTGCGAAATTATGGCGTATATGGCAGTAAAGTTTCCTACGAAACTGACGCTGTAATCATCAATTTTTATCAAGAGTTCAAAGGTCGCGTTGGGACCGCGTAAAGACCGTGGCACGTCAAACTGAGGAGTCCGGTGACCGGAATAAACCCTTTCGCTATCGGTTTTTTACACTTCGTCTTGATTTCACAGAGAAATCAGAGAAAAGGCGCGCAAAAACGTACTCTCTCGCCGTAAAAATTCCCCACTTCTTTTCCGACGAGAAGTTTTTTTGCGTCTTTTTGGCGAATTGCCAATTCGTTCACCGGACCGTTTTAGCTAATCTCAGTTTGACGTGCGTGGTTTGGGCTGCTTACAAAGCTAACATTAGACCTTTATTTTTAACGACTGATATGTGCGTATATTAAAAAGGCGTTTACTGCGCATCCGGAGTCTTCTGGAGTTGAGCCAGCTCAACTTTGACATCTTTGGCTTTGAAGAGACCTCGTTCACAAGTCGGGACACCACTGCCATTCAGCTCACAGTGGTGGGATGGTGGACATACAAGGGCGTCACATGCTGAAAACAACGTTATTCCTTACCTATGAGACTTAAAAATTTGAAAGAATTAATGGTATATAAAGCCTCCTCAGAACGCTCGAACTTACTTCCCGGCTTGGCGCAAGTTGCTTTCTTTGCGCAGTTCTGTGATATACAAGGGATCACTCGCTCGACACATACCGTACCATCTGGACATGTTTTTCGGGCACATCCTGGAATTTCAAGTCATAAATTAGTAGTTAATCTTAACAATTTGCCAGTAAGTGACCAAAAATTCCAAAACTCACCATTTTCACTGATAGGCAAACACATTAGGATCGGTTTACATGGCTGTCGCACACATTTCACAACAAATCTTGGCTCGCAAAATGTGCCTGCAGGGCAGAATCTGTCAATACAAAATTCACGGCCTTCATCGGACGTCTGCGCCCATCCGAAATGCACCAAGAATGCCTGCAAAAACAACAATTACAATCAATTTTTTCAAAAATGATTACATAACCTCAAAAATTAGAGCTTACCACGGCAAAAGTCACTCGATGGAACATCTCTTCGCGCGTATGAACAATAATTTCGGAGCTTCGAGAGCCGATGTTTGCCGTTTCTTTTATTTTTCGCACTCGAACGGGTTTCTGTCGATTTTTCGTTTTCCAAAAATGGAATGTTGTTTGAATGGGAAGACGCAAAAGTATAACTCTTGTCGACTGTAGTTGTGTAATGTCGCGATATGATCTGTTATGATAGGTTTTGGAACGACGGAGGGGCGTTCGAAATGTCTTTACAAGTCACCACATAGAAGTTAGGAAAAGATATCACACTTTACAAGTGTTCCTCTGCAAGCATCTACAATTACAAAAGCTCCAAAGAATGTCGAAGAGCTTGTTTTTTGATGCCATTTTGACCATGGGGTTGGAGATACAAAATCAAACAACTTACAATTAGGGATATTTTTTCTTTACACAAAATGAAGAAGTCAAATTTGGGAATGCGCGACGATTTCCCCGTACTTATGAAGGTCATGTCTTGAAGTCCCGACTCCACATATTAGACCACTCATCCTTGGTTGTTGGACACGGCAATACTGCGAATGGAGTTGTATACGGAATCACCAAAACGCATTGTTAAAGGTATCTCTACATCAAAACGGAAAACAACACAATTGCCATCGTGACTCGTCATTAGGCAGTAGTTATAGGGTACAAAAATGAGCCATTGGTACCGGAACTGAGAGAGTAGGGGAAAGGAGGAGACCTAGACAGCCAGAGCGGCGAGAGAATGTGGAGAGGAGAGAGTCAGACAGTGAGAGAGTGTGTAGAGGAAAGAGAGTGGGCGGAGCTTGTGATAAAATCATTAGTTCAAAAAACTTGCATGAAGTTTATCAAGGACACACACAAAAATTTTTGAGAAGATTATCATCAAAAAAGAAAAAATCACGAAGAAAGAGAAGGGAAAGAAGACCAAAAAACAAACAAAAACAAGTTCAGAAAGTAAATAAGAGAAGCATGCACGGCAGATACTAACAGTTACTCTCCGATTGTATGTACTTCAATCTTGTTGAATTTGAAACTTTTAATAATTATTATGTATTTTATTCGTCTTACTTAGTGATTCTCCCTCCCGAGTTTAATCAAGTAAAAGTGCCAGTGAATCTTACTAGTATAAGGTTCTGAATTGCCTCTTTCCACATGGACCTTATAAAAGATAAGACCCAGGACCACGCGACCACTTTGTTGTATACGCTTTCAAATTCGGGTTAAAACATTTTCAATAAATTTGTGGTGGTTTGAATTTCCTTAACCGCGTAGACTAAACCGAAATTTACGTTTATTGGGTCATAATATGGGCAAATCCCAAAAGGAGATATAAGAAATACGGCGGAGACAATAGAACCGATTTCTCTCCATATTCGGTGTGGTTACCGTCTGGGTTCCGTGCAGGCGGAGAGGGAGTAGTTCTTGGCTCAGAAGGAGTAGTTCTTGGCTCAGAGGGAGTAGTTCGTTCAGGTGCCGGTGGGGTGTTTGTACTGGCATGAGGAGTTGCGTCAGTTACAGCAGTGGTAGTTGGTGCAGTCGTTGTAGTAGTTGTTGTAGTGGTCGTTGTAGTTGTGGTGGTGGTCGTCGTCGTGAAAGTTGGGCTATCGATGTCAAAGTCAAAGATATTGCATCTTTTGTCCACTGGAAGGTTGTATTTCGAACCAACAGGGCACCCAAAAGCCTCGGCGAATCCTTTAAGATTGGCAAGGTCTGCCCAAACACGGACTCGAGCTGGCGGAAAAGGATTCAGTGGGAAAGCCGTCTTTGTCTGGGCTAAGTTGATGAAAAAAAGTTGCCTGTTAGAGAACTGTGAAATTAATCGGGGCTCCGAGATATTTCCAGGGACGAAGTGGGAAAAATAGGCAAGACGGATACCTAAAATGACTTGAACCGTTTCGAAACTTCGTGAAAATGCGTTTTATCGGATAGTGACATTTCGTTTTGAGCGAATCACCAAAAAGGGGCGGGATATTTTTTCTTCTATTTTGGATTGACGGCCCCAGAAATTTTTATCTAGTCCTGCCGTAATGAGACTAATACTCACCAAAGCTGCGCCATATTTGGCTCCAATATATACTATTGTACTATAAATCTTGTGCCAAAAGATTATTTTGGAAAGTTACCACAATTTGGAAAAAAGTTGAAAAAACCGAAATTTTGGTGATTTTCTCTGCGACAAAATTATAAATTCGCGAAATGTTTTGCAATTTTCTTGCCGCTGCTGCTGAAGCAGAGTAAGTTATAGGGCTTAATGGTATCCCTAGGGGTCCTTCTGTCGTGCTACGAGAAAAAACTGTGGCAGAGTTTGAGAAGGACGAAATCACGGCCCTGAGGCGGCAAAGACCTTGGGTTTGGCAGATTTTGGCTCAGGTAGGCCTTTCAGCCGGTGTCGTGAAAGATTACTCGGCTCAACCGGAGGTCTTCAACACATCTAAACGTTCTGGAAAAAAAGGTTTACCACCGCGGCAGACTCAAGGCAAAGAAATCCGCCGAGCTTCCAACTCCACCATCTCCGTGTCTCATATAGAGCAAGAAACAGCTCTCAATTGAAGCAGGATAGCTATGCTGAAGGCCCTAAGACACAGCGATGTCATCACTGGACGTCATATGAAGTCGTGCCCCAAGCTGGCTTAGGTTCGGATTTATTTAAAAATGACAAAATTTTGGTTTTTTCAACTTTTTTCCAAATTGTGGAAACTTTCCAAGGTAATTTTTTGGCACAAGATTTATAGTACACTAGTAATACATATTGGAGTAACCCTCCCTATAGCAATCAAATTTATTTTTTACCTTGCGATTTATTGTACAGGGGTTTCACTGTATACTAGTCGCGGCAAAAAGTCCTTGGAATTTTTCGCGGCCCCCAAATCTCATCGCACCCCGAAATGTTGATTTGTCGCGGGAATCGCGCGCGACAATAAGGCAAAAACATGAAAATTGCACTGTGCAAAATCACTTTTCGGGTTCATGCACAGTGCGGAGTCGCAGAAAATTCCAAGGACTTTTTTCCGCGACTAGTATCACCGCAAACTTTGCTTACATTTTTTCAAATCAAATCCCCAATTTCAGTTGACGATGAGCGCCTAACTCCCGGTCTGGCGATGACTGACACCGAATCCACTGTCATCTCCGTGCCCCGCGCTGATTTCGAGAAAATAATGAAGAAGATCAAAGCCACACCATACAAGTCTGCCTATCTCTCATTCTGCAGTGCCGAATTTACATTGCATTTCAAAATTGCCGGAAAGGAGTTCCACATCCCGTCCTATCAAATCTTACACCCATTGAACTCCAATTGCCAAGTTATGATTTCGGCAAGCAATGGACATTGGGCGATCCGTTTATTCGGCAGTATTGCCAAGTGCACGACTTCAAAGGGAAACGAGTGGGATTTGCGCCGGCAAGAAAGATTGATTATTGAGAGGGGTGAAAGTTTGAAAATAAATTGAGTTTACGAAACAAAAAGTATTGATTTGTTGAATTAAAGTGTAACAGATTGGAGTATACTAGACCTTTCGCAAAGTCTCTGAAGTGATTTATGCTCAGTGAGAAAGCAGAAATTTACTTCTTGCTTTTTGCACCGTGCGATTGGCTTTATCCGGCTATCGCTTGCACACTGACTTTTCTTGCACAATGCATGTCGCAAAGGTCACTCCAGCGACTTTCAAAAACGGCGCTACTATAGGTACTTTGGGGTACCCCAATTTGTCATTGCAATTTCTCAGTCATTTGCGCATTTAGCGTCTTTAACAGGACACAGTTTTTATGGCACCCGCCCGTCCTAGACCTCATATCGGTTGATTTTGTGTTGATCCGGAAAGTCGGGGCCAGTCAAAAACGATGGTATAGAGAGTGCGCTCGATACTGCAGTTTATAACCGTTATTGAATATCAGCTTGTCGGGGGAAAAGAAGCTCTGAGTGATCAACTGAGGCCGCTCGTCAGCCGGATATCACGGACGTCATACCGAAACCTGTCCCCGCACCTGAAAAGGCGGGGCAAAATCAAGTGTTCTACTATTTTTGGATGTTGAACAAATAAGGCCATTCAGTTCAAACTCGTTTTGTGTACATATACTTAAAGTTCCGTGCTTTGGACCGATTTTGTTTTATACGTTTGTCCAATATGACCTTCGTAGGGATCAATCTGAGTTTGTTGCTTATTTACATCTACACTACACACTATGTAAATTCAAAGTCTTTTAGTATAGGAGTTTCCAAAGCAACAGGTAAATTTCTTTCTCAAAATTCTCAATTTCCACAGTCAACGCCTCAAGTGTGATATACGACGTGTACGGGCAACAGTTAAGCAATCGCGAAGACGTTAATATATACTACGGGAAAATAACGCTGGGGACTCCGCCACAGGAGTTTAACGTTTTAGTTGACACTGGCTCTGATGTCCTATGGGTACCTAAACTTGGTTGTCAATCTAGCGGGCCTCTTGTTCGAAAATGCCCGAATGTTGACACGTACGATCCAGATGCCTCCTCAACGGCTGAATTCGCACAGATATCGTTCAGTCTTGAATACGGTACAGGCTCCACGAAGGGACACTACTATCTAGACAATTTCGCTGTAAGAGGCAACTTTCGTTATGGCCAGTTACTACAGCTTTCCATTCTAGTTTGGCCCTAAAAACGGCCCACAGCTCAAATTCAAGGAGAAGGTTAAATTTGGTGCTGGTCACACGATGCGTCATATCGATGACGGCATCCTAGGACTGTCTTTCTCGGATCCCAAGCGGACAGCCACAAATATTTTCCAGCAAGCAGTGAAAGAAGGCCTAATGGACAAGCCCCTCTTTACTGTCTTCACGCGGGAATGTTTTGGTTTTTGTGAGGATGGAGGACTTATTACATTTGGTGATTTTGATAAAAAGAATTGCTGCAATGTGAAAGGATGGGCAAAGGCCTTACCAGGAGAAGTCCATTGGAAGTTTAGAATGGATGGTGCGAGGAGTAAGAATATTTACAAAACTCTCATCTATCTGAACAAGTACCACAAATTTTTAGTTGACGACGTCGAACTGACTTCGAAGGTGAAACTTGACGACGTTGAACTGACTTCGAACGTGAAGGCAATAACCGACACTGGATCGTCTCACATCCGTATGCCAAAGAAAGATTTCAAAAAAATCGTTGCATTATTAAATCCCGTTCCCAGAGGCGGTGGCCACACATTGCCTTGTCTAACATACTTCGTATTGCGCTTTATTATCAATGGCATTAAGTATCACATACCCTCTAGATACCTTCTACGTATCATCGGCTCCGCCGAGACTTGTCATCTAATGTTGGGTGAGGTCGACTATGAGCACTGGGTTCTGGGTGAACCGTTCATCAGAAGGTATTGCCAAGTCCATGATGTGGCCAACAGACGGATTGGTTTTGCACCAGCGAGATACTGACTACGACTCTTGCATGCGCTATTAAATTTATTTTCCATATATTAAAATAAATTTAACTGTTATTCGAATGTCTCTTTGACGTAAAAGAAGAGATGCATTTCACTGACAACTTGATTCTTGGTCTAGCCTAGCCGGGGGATCGGAAAGCCACCAATATTTTCGAGCAAGCCGTAAAAGAGGGCATCGTGGACGAGCCAATCTTCACCGCCTACATGAAGAAATGATTGCCAAGACGGAGGGCTAATCACTTTCGGGGACCATGACAAAAACCACTGCTGAAATGTAAAAGCGTGGTCCAACATTGTACCGAATCAGATCCATTGGAAGTTCAAAATGGATGGAGTTAGAAGAAAGGGTTTATTTTGATCGAGGTGAGATACTTTTGATATCAAAAATCATATAAATGAATGATCAAAATTTCAAGACAGCAAATTTTTGTCCTGTTGGAACGGCCTGGTCGATAATACCAACCAGTGAACGTACTAGTCGCGACATAAAGTCCGTAGAATTTTCTGCGACTCCGCACTGTGCATTCACCCGAAAACACATTTTGCACTGTGCAATTTTGTTGATTTTGCCTTATTGTCGCGCGCGATTCCCGTTTTTCGCAGCGACAAATCAACATTTCGGAACGCGACGGAATTTGGGGGCCGCGAAAAATTCTACGGACTTTATGTCGCGACTAGTATTTCAATTTAAATTGCCTCAATTTTAATTGTAAACATGAGCCTTTCTATAGCTACGTAAAACTTTTTTTAAAATTTTTTAAGTGTTTTAAAGATTTTTTTGCAAAATTTCAAGAAAAGTTGACATTTTGGCAACATTTTTGACTTTCCGATGATGCCATTTGTCAATCTTCTGGTGTGTTAAAGATGTTTTTGGACCATTCCAGAAGGTTTTCCAGGAAAGCTTTTTTCGAGTTTCCGGAAAAGAATGTTGCCAAATTTTCACGTTTTCTTAAAATTTTGCAAAAAAGTTGAAAAGACTATTTTTGGACTCCTGCGTCAGCGTATAGTGGACCGCGTGCATATTTCCGGAAAAGTCGATTTTGAATCTTTTGGTTAAAAATTACTGTAGACATGTGTTTAACAAACTCATCAAATAATTTTCCCAAATTCTGCCCGAAAGGTGTAAATTTGCATAAATTTGTCTTTTTTGGAATTTTATGTCTCACGGCATCATAAAAACAGGTAATGACCCGAAATTCTAGATATATACGTTTCTGGTGATTGAGCATTCGATTTTTTGAAAACCAAACTTCTAAGATACATAAGTATACTAAAACCGGTCGATAAAAATCGACCGTGCCAAGACCATTCGGCAAAGATAGAAAACGGATTCTGACTCAATTTTGTATGCCCTTTCAGAATTTGTGGGTCTCATGTTGAAAGCTCACGGACAGTTCAAACCATTCCCTTGTGAGTCAGAAATCCATTCAATTGACGTAAATATATGTGTACATATAAAGCGGGAGATAAAAGATTTTCTGAAAAATTTTTGAAATTTTTCTGTTTTCACTTTTTTTTAAAAAAAAAAGTAAATTTTGAAAAATTTCCGGAAATTTTCGATTTCGGAAAGTCAAAAAACATTCTTACTCCGAACGACAAATTTTTGGAAAGTTGGATCAAAAATGGCTCGCCAAAAGTTCGATCCGGAAAGTTGAAACAAAAATGGCTCGCCCATTTTGGCTGGTGAGTAAGACGCCGTTTTTACTCACCAATTTATTTTCTTCAAAACTATTTTTGTGAGCTGCGCCCTTGATCACCCGGGAATTCCCAGATGTGTCAAATTTCTCCCCCGTAAGAAAATTATTTTTCCCCTCTTTTCGATATAGCCTGTTTCTACATGAAGATGGCATGAATACTAGACAAGTAAGTTGTTATTAGTAAGAGCAGGTGTTCTTCTTTCAATTGACACCAAATATTTTCCTTATATTTTACAGAATTTCTCCAATTCGGGAGTTTTTCACGACCATGGATAATGTAAGTGCGCTTATCTCGTTTTTGTTCAGTTATTGGAGTAAACAGTTCTAGGCTGGGGGTTCTAGAGGACACCGCACTCTTTAGTTTTGTTATATTCTCCATCTATCAAACGCCATCAATTTCGATTTCTAGGTGTCATGTACAATATCGAAATCCGCTCAGATCTGCCGGATTTTTGCCGCGAAGGCGTTCTAAACTGAGGTCATAACGTAATAAGGCTCAAATAACGTTGTTACAATAACTTAGTATTTGAAATTTTTACGTCGTTATTCCTCAAAATTGATGGGGTTTCATACATGGAGAATATACATGAGAGTGGGGTCTCCTCTAAACGTTTCCCGACTTAGAATCTTGACGTCGTAGCAAAAAACGAGATAATCTCACTTACATTATCCATGGTCATGAAGCTTTACGAATTGGAAAAATTTTGTACCTTTCTCTGAAATAACAGGGAAATTTTTGGTGTCAAATGAAAAACGTACATCTCCTCTTGCTAATGCTAACTTACTTGATCACTTTTCAGCCCATCTTCGTAGAGAACATAGCTTCACAACATCGCACAAACATAAAAATAATTTTTTCGGAAGAGAAAAACTTGACACATCAGGGAAAGACTTGGCGTCAACCTTGCAACCTGCAGTGCGGGGCCAAAAAGAGGAAGAAAGTAAAAACAAGCTCTGACTTTCCTCGACTCCGAGCGGGGAGTAAGATCCGGTCCTACTCCCGACCTTGAAGTCGGAAAGCCAAACAAAAAATTGACTTTTTTTTGCATTTTCCGGAAAGTAAACTGAAAATTTACTTTTTTTTTAAAAAAAAAGTAAAAACAGAAAAATTTCAAAAATTTTTTAGAAAATCTTTTATCTCCCGCTTTATATAGCTAGTACGTACATGTTGTGTTGCTAAAAATAAGAGACCAAGAAATCATTATAAACTCCAATTGTGCTTACTAGTTTTATGTGTCCGCTGAGCAAACATCTCTTTAGCTACACACGGCCACTGTTGAAACATTCGAATTGGCCCCGCACGATCTTCAGTTCACCTTAATACACTGCTCGACAGAATTATAAATGCACGTTTAAAATCGCTGTAACTTTTGTGGTTCTCAATAAAACTGCGCCATTTTCGGCTCCATGTTCTGGCTAAATGTTCTGGCAGGTCTAGCGATGACTGACACCGGATCCACTGTCATCCCCGCGCCCCGCGCTGATTTCGAGAAAATAATAAAAAAGATCAAAGCCACACCATACAAGTCTGCCTATCTGTCGAGAGGCCCGGGAGACAATTACACACGTACGACAAGAGCTCGATATCAAGTGATTTATTGACTGAAAAGCGGCCCTTATATAGGGAAATCCCACGCAGGGAAGTACAATCAAATTTGAATAATAAATGATGATTTCCGTGGGGATTCGGGCTCAGTTCGGTCGTTCCGCCTCACATCTCCTCCAAGTGCTCAAGTCGGGCACGGCTTGGCACTTCCATCGAACTGGCTCCGGAGCTTGGCGGGAACACGGACTGGCAACAGAGCACGCCGGGACCAAACTGACTCGGTTGACCATCGGGATTACGTTCCAACGAGCGGGTACAACTAGACTTGGCTCTCGGGCCGGCCCAGCCCGGCAGCCAAGTCTAGGTACAACCATCGAGACTTGGACATAGGGTACTTGCTTTCCACTCTTCGATGACCGTTCCAATTTGGTTAAAACTGGGGTCGTAAGGAAGTTTTTAGGAGACTTCAGTGATCTGGAAGATCTAGGTAGCACACCAGCGTTAGGAACCACTGAGGTTGGCGTGACTGATGTGTCTCTGGATGACTCCATGACTTCATACACCGACTTGTAAGCACTACTTTTCATTTTTTCCTTTTTTCGACACCGATCGGCGGCGGAAAAAATGTTCGGAACGCCGTGCGGCGGTTTTATTGGCGCGTTTTTTGTTAGTTAAAATTTGCGTTTTGTTAATGTTTTTTTTTATAAAAATAATCTTCTCTGGTTAGTTAATAAAATGGCAGTCGAAACCCATACTCATATTTGCCACATTATGCTCTACCACTTCGAGAAAAGTTGGAAGTCAGCACAGTCATTTCGCGATCTCAACGAATTTTTCGGCGAAGGAAAAAAATCGGCAGGTGTTTCGCCCAAAGGAGTACCAAAAGACGTCCACTGTAAGAAGGCTACGTGGTATGTGTGGTGGGACTTAAGCGGAATCATCCACTGGGAAATTGTGTCTATCCTTTGTTCCTTCGCCGAAAAGTTCGTTGAGATCGCGAAATGACTGTGCTGACTTCCAACATTTCTCGAAGTGGTAGAGCATAATGTGGCAAATATGAGTATGGGTTTCGACTGCCATTTTATTAACTAACCAGAGAAGATTATTTTTATAAAAAAAACATTAACAAAACGCAAATTTTAACTAACAAAAAACGCGCCAATAAAACCGCCGGATAATTATGAATCGACCTTATATAATATTTATTTGTTGATGTTGTATTCGGGTTTGAGGCGGATAAATCGTGTGTTATTGATTATTGGGAATTATTGAGAGTTTTACGAGAGGTCTGAGGAAGTTGTTCCGGACCACTTGTTGAGAGGAAACGGTGCCTGATCGTGGAGTTGTATACGGAATCACCAAAACGCCTGGATTGAAAAATGGAGCCTTGTCAAAGGTATCTCTACATCAAAACGGAAAATCGTGACTCGTCATGAGGCAGTAGTTATAGGGTACAAAAATGAGCCATTGGTACCGGAACGGAGAGAGTAGGGGAAAGGAGGAGAGCTAGACAGCGAGAGAGGCGAGAGAATGTGGAGAGGTGAGAGTCAGACAGTGAGAGAGTGTGTAGAGGAAAGAGAGTGGACGGAGCTTGTGATAAAATCATTAGTTCAAAAAACTTGCATGAAGTTTATCAAGGACACACAACGCCCAGAAGATTATCATCAAAAAAGGAAAAATCACGAAGAAAGAGAAGGGAAAGAAGACCAAAAAACAAACAAAAACAAGTTCAGAAAGTAAATAAGAGAAGCATGCACGGCACCTAACAGATACTAACAGTTACTCTCCGATTGTATGTACTACAATCGTGTTGAATTTGAAACTTTTTACAATTAATACAGGGTGTACCAAAAAAATGGAAACTTTTTTTCATTTGTCCTGACGCGAAAATGGTACGGATAGTAAGCGCCCAGGAAGTGAAAGAAAACGCACCGCCAGCGCTTCTTTCAACCGAAAGATCCCCCACAGCAAAATCCGCGATTTTCAAGAAAAACTAGCCCTTGAGACTGACATCAGCGACGGATCGCTCGGCCGAATAGTCGATGGCGAGCTCAACCTCATGTCATACAAGCTCTAAAAAATTCAGATCTTTAAAGTCGAGAGAAAGTGCATACAGCGCAAAAATGTCGGAAAGTGAAACGGGTGGGCCGCAGCTCCGAGACGTGAGCGCATTCAGTTCGCGGTTTAATATTTAGCGGATACACAACCACCAGAACGATAGAATCTGCTTCAGTGAGGCTCCTAGCCTGTTGACCATCGTCAAATACCACGAAAATCCGGGTCGTCATTGCTTAAGGCGGAATTTGTGCCAGCGGCAAGAATTCCATGTTTTTCGTGAATAAATGGGACAAAATACTAGCGCCGCGTTAATTTCTATTTTGTCGTGCTTCCGTGAGCTCAGCAGAACCTTGGCAATGCAAACTTGGGGTTTCAACAGGACTCAGCGCCGGCTCACAAGGCAAAATCTACTCAGGACCCGAAATGGGACCGATTTTCCCGATTTTGTCCCGCCTGCGAAATGGCCGCCTGCTCCCCAGATCTGAATCCAATGGACTATATATTTTTTTAAATAGAAGGCCAGCACCTGTACTATGCTCCACAAAAGTTTGGAGCCGCAACGTAAATGATGCGCCAAGAACGGGACCGATTTCCCCCATAAAAAGCTGCGGCCCGGACCCCAAAATTTTACGTCACGTTTGGAGCTCTATATCGCCACCAAAGGCAGCCACTGTGAAACAGATTGAACATGTTATAAACAATGCTCTATGTTACTAATCATAACCGTTACTTTTGCTGAATTTTGATTCTCCGAAAAAATATAGCTATAAAAACAAGTTTCCATTTTTTTGGTACACCCTGTATATATGTATTTTATTCGCCTTACTTAGTGATTCTCCCTCCCGAGTTTAATCAAGTAAAAGTGCCAGTGAATCTTACTAGTATAAGGTTCTGAATTGCCTCTTTCCACGTGAACCTTATAAAAAATAAGAACCAGGACCACGCGACCACTTTGTTGTCTACGCTTTCAAATTCGGGTAAAAAACATTTTCAATAGATTTGTGGAGACCGGTTGTGTCCCAAAAGTACACAATGCCGTGTCGAGGGTAGAGTCCAGAAAATAAGAGGGCACAAAGTGTATTGCCCAAAGTTTGAATATGCAAATTTAAAGCCTCCAATCTTTTATCTTTCTTCACCGTCCATTCGATGGCCATTCGAGATGACCGGCCGGCTCTTTCTGTGGGCAGTTCTCCTGCAAAACGTTGCCGTCCAGGCCCTTCATCATCATGAGGCGTTGCGAGCGAAGCTGGATTACATAAAAAAAGGTATGGACACAACAGCTGATCCTTGCAATGATTTCTTCACTTATGCTGCCGGAAATTTTCATCAGGAGAATGATCGTAACTTCACGAGACGTCTACTGGAATCAAACATTGGAGATGAGGTAGGACTTAGTATGACGAAACGCTTTTTGATCTTAATTTACATTTTTTTTAGTCTATGCGGTCATTTTTTTAAATTTCAGATCCGAACCGTCAAGGAAATTAAGCCGTTGCTCGCGGACTGCAAGAAGAATCCCGTCATGATGGAAGAACCGCGCCGTACAGCAATATACATTCGGATTGTGACCAATTTGGAACAGAGAGGTTTTAAATTCCCAATGAACAACGAAGTTATCGCCAATAACGACGTCCTTTTTACCAACCTAGTCTTGAAAATGTACAGTTATCTGTTTAAAACGGGAGCCCCGATTTTTAATCAATGGGCTTTCGGTGCTTCAAAGGGGAAATTATTTTTGAGGATTCCACCAAAGGTCGACCAAGAACAAGCTTGGTAAGTTATTTGTGCATCATATGAACATATCAGTTCGTCGGGAAAATAATGTGGATTAATCGAGCCTTGAAAGCGCCCATCATCGCTTTGCAAGTTCTAGCCGCTGCGGGATATTTACATATTGCCAGATTGAGACGACGAGGCGAGAATTTCACTGCGATAAATCCACATTATTTTCCCGAAAGACTGGTATATGTAGGTGGTGACTGATTAATACTGGACCGCGGTTGATTGAACACATGATAATCTTCAGGCAGAAGTATTGCAATGTCTTTGGAGGATGTGCTAATCTGGTCTTCGATCGGAATTACATGGCGAAAGGTTACGCACAGGCAGACCATTTAAAAGGCCACTTCTTTTTCCAAACCATGGGGACAGAATTAAACGAGACGTTCCCGGATATTGCTTTCTATATTCCGCGCGTCCAAGATGTAAGTTTGTGCCAAATTTCAATCGCTCATAACCAGAGATTTCCACGGCTCCGGAGCCGGCTCTTGGCTCCGGCTCTGAGCGGCTCCCGAGCCAAAAGTCGGAGCCAGACTTCCCAGCGGTCAGAAAAGTAAAAATTTCGTGATCTTGTTAAACCAAATTAATTGAAAAACACTGGGGAGGATGTGACTTGGCTTCAAACGCGTTGGCTGTATGATCTCTGGCACTGATAACATTAATTTTTGGAAAAATATTTTTAAAATCTCTGCATAGGAGCCGGGATTCGGAGTCGGAGGCCTTTTTAAATATTGCACGGAGCCGAGAGCCGGAGCCGAAATTTTGGCCGTGGCAGTCCCTGCGTTCCTATCCGTCAGGTTGCTCTTCTATTCGTTTAGCAAAAAACTTCAAGCGTTTAAGCCACACTTAAAATTGCAGATATTCAAACTTCTTTTGGATATCTTTAGGTTTCCCTTTTCTTCCTGCAACCTGCGAAGAAAGGAAGAATTATAAACGATGACTTTTTTTCAGCCCAGCCAGTCTGCTCATCGTGCCAACTTTCTGAATCATCTAATGGAGTATTTAACCGATCATTTGCACCGCCCGGAAAAGTTTTCCCACTGTGAAGATTATATTCAAGACGCGTTTCCCCTTCAAGTCTCCAAAATTGCCTACGAAGCGGAGATGCAAGACAAGGAGCGATTTGATCAGCTGAAAGCAAAATTTTTCGAAGAAGGAAACGAGATTAAGAAAACGGCTGAACGTATGCTGCAAAACGCAAACTTCAAGCAGAATCGGACCCGACAGATTTATCTGGACAGATTGGCGAAGAATGAGTTCAACTTTTTGGATCATCCAATTCTTTCGGGAGATGAGCTGAATGCAGTGGATCTGTTGCTTTGGGATGCACCGTATTTGAGGAGATTTGTGAATGGAATAGCCAATGTTTTCAAATTTAACTCGGAGAAAAAGCTGAAGAATTTTGTCGTCCCAGAGTACAAGGTAAGTCTATTCGCAATAGTTTTGCAATTTTTTTGAGCAAGTTCAAAACCGTTTTTTTTCTAACTAATATGGAATAGGAAAAACAGTAATTTTTTCTATTTTTTCAGGAATAAAATTTTGATATTTTGGGTTTTCAGTTTCGTACTTCCCCCTCTCGGGAGAACCAGCAAAATTACTTTCACTTTCGCGCTGTTGAATTTCCATACTACGATGTTGATTTTCCCGCGTCTCTCGATTTCTCCGGAACAGGGTTTTTGATGTCCCGGGCATTAGGCCACACCTTTGGCAAGTGATGAAATTTACCTTAAAATAATTTCCCGTTTTTTAGGAGTTAATTTGCTGCAAAGTGACAAGGACCCGGACAAGGAGCATCGTGCTCGGTGGGACTGTATTACAAAGCTCTACAGTCAACAATGTGAGCCACAAAGACCGGACTTGTGTGTGAATCCCAACAAAATCGCTGACGAGGCATTTGCGGATCACGTTGGTGAGTATTAGTCTCATTACGGCAGGACTAGATAAAAATTCCTGGGCCCGTCAATCCAAAATAGAAGAAAAAATGCCCCGCCCCTTTTTGGTGATTCGCTCAAAACGAAATGTCACTATCCGATAAAACGCATTTTCACGAAGTTTCGAAACGGTTCAGGAAGTGCGCTGGATTGACGTGTGGGGAATCACCGGCAGCAATTGAGCTGCCGGTGATTTTTCTTTTTGAACCGTTCTTGAGCAACTTTAACGTTTTTCCATTTTCATTCTGCAAAGGCGGAAAAAAGGGAAATTTTTGCTTCGACCACAAGCCTCAAAACAAGCGTCCACCGTTTTAGACTTACATTAATGTCGTTTTAGGTATTCGTCTGGCCTATTTTTCCCACTTCGTCCCTGGAAATATCTCGGAGCCCCGATTAATTGAACAGTTCTCCAACAGACAACTTTTTTTCCTAAACTTAGCCCAGACAATGGCGTCTTTCGTCCCACTGAATGCTCTTCCGTCAGCTCGAGTCCGTGTTTGGGCAGACCTTGCCAATCTTAAAGGATTCGCCGAGGCTTTTGGGTGCCCTGTTGGTTCGAAATACAACCTTCCAGTGGACAAAAGATGCAATATCTTTGACTTTGACATCGATAGCCCAACTTTCACGACGACGACGACCACCACCACAACTGCAACGACCACTACAACAACTACTACAACGACTACAGAGATTACAACAACGGCTGCAACAACGACTATACCAACTACTACTGAATCAACTACAGAAACTTCTGCAGAAGCTACCCCAACCATGACTGCAGCAAAGGCTACAACTAGCACTACAGCGGCTCACGAACCAGTCGTAACTGACGCAACTCCTCATGTCAGTACGAACACCTCACCGGCACCTGGGCGAACTACTTCCTCCGAGCGCAGAAGTACTCCTTCTGCGCCAAAAACCACTCCCTCTGAGCCCAGAACTACTCCCCCTAAGCCAAGAACCACTCCTTCTCCGCCCACTCCCCCTAAGCCAAGAACTACTCCCTCTCCGCCTTCACCGGACCCAGAAGATAGCCACGACGAATATGGAGAAGTTGCCCCCAAAAAGTCGATTCTATTGTCACCGCCGTATGTCTTATATTCCATATTGGGATTTGCCCGTTTTATGATCCAATAAACATAAATTTAGTTTTAGTTTCTTCGGTTAAGGAAATTCAAAGCACCACAAATTTATTGAAAATTTTTTAACCCGAATTTGAAAGCGTAGACAACAAAGTGGTCGCGTGGTCCTGGTTCTTATTTTTTATAAGGTTCACGTGGAAAGAGGCAATTCAGAACCTTATACTAGTAAGATTCACTGGCACTTTTACTTGATTACTCTCTTAGTTAAAGTTCCCCTGGCTCATTCTTGTGCTCTATGCATACCTGAGGCTTATGCGGTCCTTCTGGGAAATTCTGCTGGAAATAGAGCACAGTAAATTGTATGTCATAGTTCATTTCCGCATTCTAAAATTGATTTCTAAACAATTTTATAAACAATAATCCGTACCGGAAGATACTTGTAACATTAGCGGTCCACAGAGGAGACAAAGGTTGCAGAGAAATTTAACATTTAAAATGAAAATTTCATACTGGACTAAATCAACTGATTTAAGCGATATATAAGACCTGATGAAGGACGGTGCTGCAAGTCAAACCACATTTGGTATAATGTGGAAGAGTCTTCTAGCCGCGGGCTTACTGGTTGTTGGGACAGCCACCTCAGCGCCATTCTCCAAAGACGCCCTGACCGAGGACTTCGATTACTCTTTCTTTGGTGGTTTATTTGGTAATGGAGCTCATGAATTCATCGATAACCTTGTGGATACCACTCCCAACACCAAGAATGCTCTAAAGATGGCAGCGATTCTCAGAAATTCGCTTGAGTCCGATGCTCTTGAGGATTTCAATCAATTCTTTGGATTCATCATTAAGTAAGTCTTCAATGGATCCTTCCCTTGCATGAGTGTCATTTTTGTTGCAATTCTTCCACTCTTCTCTTTGAAACAAGGATTTTGCTCAATTATGTTGTCTTAGGTACGGAAAGGAGTACAAGAGTCAAGCCGAAGTCGCCGAGAGATTCCGCAAATTCCAAGATTCATTGGCCAGCATTGAAACGAACTCAAGGGAGAATCCCGAACTTGAATTTGCTGTCAACAAATACGATGACCTCTCAGAGGAAGAGTTCTTTAGCGGTCGCCTTGGAACGTATGCGAAGAAGACGAAAAAATTTGGTAATCGCTTATCGTATGAAAACAAATTTTTGTTTGCTATGTTTTTCTCCTCTAACGCAAAATTTCAGATGCCTATGTCCCTAAAACCGCACCTGATAATGTCCCAGATTCCTGGGACTGGCGAGACCACAACGGAGTGACCCCAGTGAAGGATCAGCAACATTGCGGGAGTTGCTACGCCTTCTCTGTCGTTGGTACTATCGAAAGTCAATACCTAGTCCATAAGAAAACTGAGTTGGATTTGAGTGAAGAGGATCTCGTGGCGTGCACTTATTTGAACGACACCGAATATCATAACAACGGATGTCATGGTGGGAACTTTGAGGACAGCTTCGCATTTGCTCAAGAGAAAGGCCTATGCACGGAGAAGGACTGGCCATACGATCTCGACGACATGGATACGCCCATTCCACAGTGCACCAAGAAACCCGTGGCCGCCAAGATTAAAGAAATTACTTCTGTCTCAGACGAGGACGACATGAAGGTGTCTTTGTACGAAAATGGCCCATTGCTTGCAGGTAAGAGAGCCCTTCCTTTTAACCCACTGTTTACAGAAATCCAGGCAGGCGGCAACCTGTTCCGTGACTATCATTCTGGAGTTATGGATCCCCCCACACCGCCAGATGGTTGGAATATAAACCACGGCGTTGTCATCATCGGCTACGGTACAACCGAAAACGGAACAGATTACTGGACCATCAAGAATTCTTGGGGCAAGGGTTGGGGAGACCACGGATACTTCAAAATTAGACGCGGCACGGACTGCTTGGGCGTCACTTCTGGTGTTTTCGCTGTCAGTGTGTAATGTGCGTCATGAAATTCAATGTGAATCGAATGTCAGCAAAAAGGCGTTGACATGAAAATGGTATCTTTTTGAATAAACAAAATTTTGCAATCAGTTCCACATCAGTTAACTTTGATAGTACTCACAGGGGAAGTACTCCAAGTGCGACGCTCAGATTTTGGTGAAACTTGGCGCAAATTTAGAACAATTTTTTCTGAGATATATACGAGAATCCTAGCTCGTGATTTGCAGAAACAACCGAAATTTTAAGATCGAAAGTCGGCGAAAATTCAAGCCGAATTTCGACACGAAAAGTTTCATGCCTATTTCTACCGTAAAGGATAATGTTTCTACAAAAAATCAAATTTTTCCGCACGAAACTGCCAAAGTTATGGCCAAAAAGCGTTTTTTCTCTGACCGATCTCCATGTTTAGCGTGCTCTCTCGCCGGCAAAATTGATATTTTGTCCATACCCGATTTGTGTGCAAAATATAAAGAAAGCACTAGGAGTACTTCTCCTGTTAATTTCTCCGTTACATTTCCTCTAAAATTTTTCAATTTTTTCCCAAGATAATTTTCATAAATATTCAAAAAATTTCCCAACCATCAGTCGGTTTCCCACGACACGATTCCACTTTGGCGCACTCATCAGAAGTCGGTGGTGTCCAGTCCGGTTGAGTGATCCGATGGAAGCCAATCTTCGCGACGATTCGTCGGACTCGGGTCGCGGCTTCAGTACCCAGATCACCTTCAAAGCGACATCGCGCACTCCGCATTGGCGCATCGAGGACGTCACACACAAGACGCACAAACCAGCCGCTAGCGGCATCATCAAGGTCCTGGTTCGGGTCCGATTCCGCTATGATGAGGTGAGTGAGGGGGAACGTTTGAACTTGATGACTAATGGGTAGTATAATATACATAATAGTTTTTGGAAGAATCTAGTTGGATCTAATCTAGTGAACGCTCTTTTTTTCAGATCCGCTACTGCAAGATCCGCTACAACAAGGCCGCCGGCACCCCCAAACCCACCGACCCCACCTATTTGGACGAGCTGGAGAAGGGCAAGATTCTGAAGGACTCCGAACTCCGTGTTCTCCGTTTTGCTTTGGCCACCGTCCTCGAGTCTCAATGCACCTTCGACGGTATCAACGAGCGGATCGACGGCGCAGTCAAGAACGGAAACACTATCGTTCTCACCGTCCCCACAAGCCTGCTTCCACCCGTCGGATCGCCCGATAATCTGAATGGCTGTGCGCAGATCCTCATCATCAGCCAATAGACTGGTTTTTTCGGAATAAACTGATTGGTCGATAATTTTCTTGGGCGAATTTGAATGGCATGTAAAAAAATTTGACCGTCTAAGGGTGTAGCCGAGGTCCTGAAACCTGCGACGCACGTCAATCCAGCGCATTTCCTGAACCGTTTCGATACTTCCTATCGTTTTCATTGATTGAAAAGAGTAATTGCATTTTTTCGAAAAGAAAGAAGAAAGATGAGAAAATGCTTTTTATCGGATAGTGACATTTCGTTTTGAACGAATCGCCAAAAAGGGGCGGGGCATTTTTCTTCTACAGGGTGGGGCATCTTTGTGGCCCGATTTGAATTGGCTATAACTTCTTTAGTTTTTGGCCAAATCTTAAAATTCTTTTTTTCCCTGAATCATCAGCCAACCCCATTTTGTTTGATACCAAATATGTTATACATAGTAAGTGTATATCTACAGTTATTGGATTTATTCTTGGAGTTCATTTTTTCGGTCGTTTTTCGGTTGTTTTTTCGGCCTTTCCCGGTGTGTCAGGAAATGGACTACGGTGCGGAAGAAAAATACGTTGGAATTTCCCATCCCGAAAATCGACGATGAGAATAAGAACAAAAAATGAAGATCAACCTCCAGAGTTCGTCGAATGGTCCTTGCTGAAGGCATTCCCTCGGTTCTGGCCAAACTTCGTGTACTCATATGCGGATTTTCTCGGAATTTTGACAAAACTCCTTAAATTTTCAGCTCCGTTCGTACTCATCTTTCCTGCTTGTTTTGTTTCCTGTTAACGCTGCCAGTCTCAAGGAACTTATTTCACGAACGTCGAATTGTCTTGCGATCTGGAAGTTGGGCATTACGTCCGTATTTCATGCGGTATCCCCATTTGAAAATTTAACGCCGAACCGTACTTTCTATACCAAACCACAGACCAAGCCTTTTCTTCCACACCGGACTCCATTTTCGGACACACCGGGAAAGGCCGAAAAACAACCGAAAAACGACCAAAAAAATGAACTTCAAGAATAAATCCAATAACTGTAGATGACACTCACCTATGTATAACATATTTGGTATCAAACAAAATGGGGTTAGCTGACGATTCAGGGAAAAAAAGAATTTTAAAATTTGGCCAAAAACTAAAGAAGTTATAGTCAATCCAAATCGGGCCACAAAGATGCCCCACCCTGTATTTATTTCGGATTGACGTGCGACGGAACAAAGACTGGTCAAGAAATTTCATAAATTATCACAAGGCCCATGCGCTAGGCCGTTTCAACTCTTCTACAATAAATTTATTTTCTAAAATATAGTCCACAATACACTAATCGCAATCCTCTGTTCAAAACTCCATAATCTATCCTTTCTGTTACACCTTGAACTTCTCCATAGACTTTTCCCAGACCGGGAAAGTCTCGACTCGGTTGTCTTCATAGTTCATGTACGAGTAGATGGAGTAATGTCGCATCAGACTGATGAGATCGGGAAAGGTTCTGGGATGATCTTGACCATGCTCCACGTGATAAAAGGCCTGATCTTTGGAGAGAACTTTCACGATTGGGAAGGCGAACAAATCAGATTTGCCGTCCTGAAAATATTCCAAATTAAATTTACACTCCAATAAGCAAACTTCACATCAAAAAAAAAATCTTTTTACTTCTTCAGGGAGACTTCTGTAGGCCATATGAAGTTGGGCTTTGTTGGTCATGTCTTTGATTCTGCTCGGGAGACGGTAAAACAGCTTGACCTCGCTTGGACGGACATCCTCAGCGATCTGTTTGACGGTCCGATATCCAATAAACACTTCATTGAACAGCTTTCTGTACGGGCAGGTGCAATCGAGGAGTCCGTCGCGTCTTCGACGAGGTTTTTCTCCACTCGCTAAAATTTCGAATCATCACTCTTTTAGTCACCAAAAAATCTCACATTGAACCGACGATCCGGACTTGAAATACTTGGCCAATCCGCCTCTGGACGACACAATAGTCGAGGTTTTGGAAGACGTGTTCTTTGAGGGTCTTTTCCATTCAGATGGCTTCTTCTGCTTCTTCTTGCCCGATTTCTGACGCGATTGAGATCTATTGGTCGATGAGTAAAATCCAGTCAAACTGCGGCTGTTTCTCGACTTCTTGGAGCTCTTTTCCGACTTGAAGGACATTTGGAAGCTGCGGTCGTCGAATGGACCTGAAACAAGGAAGACGCCAATCAATCCTGTAGTTCTAGGTCTTCACCTTGATTTATAAAAATAAAAAAAAATATACTCACCGAAACTAGTATCATTTGACCGGCTTCTCTTCCGTTCCTTCTCCTTTCCTTTTCCCAAATCATTTTCCAATTTCAAATCCGATTGATCGGTTGATTCTCCTTCCGATTTTCGCACCGATGCATTTCTTTTGCCTCGCATTTTTTGCTGAATCTGTCGGTACTTCTTCAAATATCTCTCGAGACGCTGGTCATCTTCTAAAACAATATCATCAAGCTTATCAAAAAACTAAAAATTACAGTAATCCTCAGTAATATCACTCTTGACTCACTTGGATCAACTTTATGCGAGCGCCGAAACTTGAGGGTCTTTTTGATGGCCTCCAAGTCATCCCTGGTTTTCTCCTCATAGCGTTGTGCCTCCACAACCATCGCCTGTGAGATCTGGACGTTTTTCTCCAATCGCCTCAGGGCATGTCTGGCTTTTCTGTAGCGGCGTTCGGCTTCTTTCACCACAAATTGTTCCTGCTCACTCAAGGGAGGTTCAGAGTTGCGGAACTCGGTCTCGATTAAAGACTTTCTCTTCTCTGACTTCTGGCTATCTTCAGCTTGCTTTTGCTTGGCCCGTTTAGCCTTCAGACCTTTCATCAAAGCACGATCAAGGTCTTTGGAATCTAAAATCAAAAGAAATGGTCATCAAATTGTCCACATGTTATATTTTTATATTATCTTACCTCTAATCGATCCCACCGAACAAACACTATCCTGAACGCTCGGCTTGGACATCTCAGACTTTTCATTCTCGCGCTGGGAACTCTTATCCTTTCTTCCATACCAATGTGGAACCGTCGCACCAGCCAATGCCACCAAACTGACTCTCTCGTCATCCCAATTGAACTTAATCTTCGAAGAACTTCTACTTTTTGCACTGCTCACACTTGCCGGGTCCTCTTCTTCTTTTTTGCAACACTCTTTGAGATTGATTCCACGTCCATTACCGCTTGATTTCGCGCTCTCCGTACTGGCGAGACTTCCAACTCGGCTTGGGAATGGACTGACTGGGCAGACCGGTGCTTTCGGAGATGGTTTATTCTTTTTGGAGCTATGCTTTGGCGGGGAAGGAACTCTGACATTTGTCAGATCGGCTCGCTGATACGCATTGTTATCAACGAAGCTGGATGAGGAACTGCCAGAAGAGTTGGGATACAGTGGAGGTGGGTCCAGCATTGAGGCTTGGAAATTGGGAAACACGTACTCCTTCGTGTAATCACGTTTTTTTAATTTCTGAAAGGTTTAGAAATGAAAATAGAAAAATAATGTGACAGAACGAGAAGTCAAGAAGCATCTAAAAACATTCTTAATACAGTAACTCAATCAACCATCCATAAAAAATAACAAAAACGTTCAAGCCACCTAGGGGGATCGAACCCCTGACCGTTGGATTAAAAGTCCAACGCTCTACCGCTGAGCTAAGGAGGCCCGTCTCCCGCTTCTTTCCTTTTTCCTTTTCTCTCCTGGAGCCCTTCAAGAGACACGTTTTTTTGTGAAAAAAGCGAAACCCTTTCGAAATTACAGTAAAAAAACATTGCTGAAAAAAAGAAATCACCTCATCGGACTTGGCCTTAGAGTTCCTTCTTCTTCCCGACCTTCTCTCTTGGTCATCTTTAGGTTTCTGCTCTTCCCCAACTTCTTGTTGCAGCTGTGCAATAGAAGAATATCCTTTGCTGAAATTTATCAGATCATTGACACGCTGGGCACGGTAATGCAGTCCCAAAAGCTATCGGAAACTTACATATCCTTTATCTTCTTCGGTTTTTCCGCCATGACAGAAACGTCGCTGTGGAAATTGGCAGCCGCTCAGGCTTGGAACCAAAGAGGAAATGAATACGAATCCTTTCACAAAAGCGGTCCAAAATTTGCATACTTTTGCACTTTTTATTTTGAAAATTGAAAACTTCAAAGTCTTGTGAGGACCGAAAGGAAAGACCATTTCAAGGTGCCATGTACAACATAATTGCGTGGACGGAGAATATACAATTGCGTATGACACTTTAACAGCAAGAAGACAACATAACTCCATAGTAAAAAAAGTTACTATGCTATACAGAAATGAAGTCGGGGTTTATATTATATTGTTTTACATGAATCCAGAGTTCCGATAAGCTGGGGTGGGGTACATGAAAGCACCGGATTGCCGATATCCAGCGGCTGGATGAGGATAAATTGGTTGAGAGTACGGTCGAGATCCTGCGGTTTGAGGGGTATATACTGGCTGTCGCGAGAGCTCAATCAACTTCTCGGCTTTGATCTTCCGCAGATGAAAACGGATCCGTTTCTTCTCGAAATCCTTGATAAAATCGTCCACTTCTATGTCGCCATCTAGCAACTTGTCAGATAATCGCTGAAAACGCAAGATGTACTCATTTTCTCATCAAATTTTACATTATCCTTCATGTATTTTTAAGTTTTTGATCCTAAAACCCAACCAAAAATAAAGAAACTCACTTCGCTTTCATCCTCAACTGTCTGAGCTGCTGCTTGAAGTAGAGCGCTAGTGGTTTCAAGATTCTGAGGTCCGCTATCGTCTCCAACTTCAGCTTCTATTGATTTCACTGCGGCAATCAGCCCTCGAACCTCATTCAACGTCCGATTCAATTTCTCCCTAGATTGATTAAAAGTTGGCTCCATGGCCAGGTTCGACTCTGCCATACTTTTGCACATGATGAGTCGCGTCTCCTTATCTGACCTTAGTGTGGAGAACTAAAAAAAGTTTTATCCGTGAGCATACTCTAAACTAATATAAAAACAGAAAATTATCAATACCTGCGGCATCTGTTCGATCATCCCATCGATCCGTCGGTTATCATCTAGCAACAGCCTCAGCTGCTCTTCGTTGAAAGTTCTGATTTGATTCATCAAGGAGCTAGAGCACATGTCCACCAAACTCTCATAATTGGATCCCATCCTGAAAAGTAAATGTTCTTAATCGAATATGCATCATCAAAAATCGATTAGACGTCCTTTTTTATCAGAAATATCTGACTATTCACTGACTAAAACATTTCTTTCACAAGTTTATATTCAAATAACGAAGTGCCACAATTCTATTGCTGTTGCGAAGTGTCAAAATATAATTTTCGGTAAATCTTTTTTCGAGTTTCAGATGCAACAACAATTCAGGGATGTATGAAGCGTATGCTGCCGAAGAAGTTGTGACAAAATTACCGTTAGATGCGACTAGTTTGGTTAGTTGTGGTAAGTGATATTATTTTGTGAAGAATCACCTTTATCTCTTCCTTTTTTAAGATAAACACGATAAACTATTTGTTGGAAGTAAACAAGGACACTTATTGAGTATAAATCAGTCATCTAATGGTATGCTTTGCTTTTATGTTTACAGTTCATGTAGCTGTCATGAATAATGTTGTTCGACGTTTAGACAAACGAAATTATGAGTATCAACTGACCCGAGGTTTTGAAAAGAAGGCAATTCAAGAATTGGCCGTAGTTCAGCAACTAGATCTGGTAATATCGCTGACTGATGGCTCCTTGAGTGTTCATGAGTTGGTAGAGCCCTTCAAAAATATCGTTGTCTTTAACAAATACAAGCCGATATCTTCTTTTGGATGTTACCTTGAGCAAGTAGGTGATTGATAACATTTTTTATTTAATGTTCTATGGTGTTTTGAAAAAAACTTTTTGATTGAAAATTCAATTTCTTCATGAATAATATCAAATTGCTTTAGGAAAATAACCGATTATTCATCTTGATATGCGCCAAGAAGCGGCTTTATCTTTTCAAATGGCTTCTTGACGAGTTCGATGAGGTCCTGCTAACGTTTAATCCTCAATATCTGCCCGATATTGTCACCAAAATCACTTGGATTGGAGGGCATTCAGCTCTGTTTGCGTGCAAAAATGAATATCAAATTTGTCGAATAATGGAGACGGATAGCGAAACAAATGATGTAGGCGTCGTGCGAAGCTTGTCGTTAGCTCCGGAATCCCCATTCATTGTGCGATTAAACGAAAAAACAGCTGGGCTTTTGAATGATAATTTAGTCACCTTCGTGGATGAAAATGGAAATCCGTCGTTGGATAATTGCCGATTCTCTGAAAGTTTGGTCGCGTTGGGTGAGTAATTTATTTGTTTGTTTGGTTTTTAGAAGTCAACGTTGTAGAATACAAGATGTTTTTACAGCTTACGACGCCCCATATCTTGTTGGGTTATCTGCCAAAGGAATCGTTGAAATCCGCTCCGTTCAGCCATCGATGTTAATCCAGAAGCTGACGTTTTCTCAGCCAAAGTTGATAGTCAGCTGTCAAAAGCATGGAATTTTGTATATAGCATCGGATAAGTCGGTATCTCGACTAAATTCTCGTCCAATTTCCAAAGCGAATGTCGACTTTTTAGTCAATGAAAAACATTATGATCTGGCTGTGGCATTGGCTGTAAGTCTTCGAATTGCGAGCTAAGATGTGTTTTATGTTGTTGGTTATAAAGTTTGTCGTATTTTAGGAGAACACCGATGGATTTGACAAGAAAAAATTAATCGAAATCAAAAGACAAATGGCTTTGAACCTTTTTGATCAACGGAAGTTTGCGGAGAGTTTCGAGATCCACTCTGAAATTGATACTGGTGAGTTTTAAGATTTATTTTTATTTGGCTTTTGAGTTTAGACGTCCTTCTTGTCATCCATTATCTCCCATTGATGATACCGGATAAATTTCTCTCCAAATTGTCGGACTATAAAAATGATTTACGACTTTTTGAGCCAAATGGAAATATGGCCGAAAATGAACGAAAACAAGCGATAATTGCACTGGGAGATTATCTCAGCATGGTGAGTTGAGCGGATATTGATTTAGATGATCAAATTTTTAGAAACGCACAGAAATCGCTCGAAAATTGGATAGTCACGCCAAATCCAGGGACTTTAAACTGTCGAGCAAAGAGGTGCGAAAAGCGAAAGAGACCTTGGAATTGGTGGATACGGTACTTCTCAAATGCTATATCAAAACGAGACCTATGCTGATATCATCTCTTTTGAGGATTTCCGATAATTCCTGCGATTTCGAAGAGGCCGAGAAGAATTTGTTGGAAAGGAACAGGACCAGTGAGCTGTTTTTGCTCTACAAAGCGAAGGAAAAGCATAGACAAGGTGAGTTTATTTACTTTTTTTTGTCTAAAATTTTAGGAAAACATAAAGTCGAATTTTTCAGCCCTGGAATTGCTGAAAAAGGAAGCGACAAACGAGGATAGCGATTTGTTTGGCTTGGAGGAATCCGTGGAATACTTGCAGAATCTGAAAAAAGAGGATATTGATATTGTTTTTGAGTTTGCGAAATGGATTCTACATCAGGATTCGGAAATGGGCTTAAAAGTAAGTGTTTTATAGCAAGAAGTTTTATTCTATATGGGATTTGACAGCACAATTATTGTTTGAAATTGGGATTTTTTGATTTTTTTTTGAAATTTGAAGGTTTTTGAAATTTTTTTTAATAAGTTTGATTTTTTAGATCTTCTGCCCCGAACAACCGGAGAATCAAGACAAATGGGACCCGGAAAAGGTCCTAGTTTTTTTGAGAGAAGAGAAGATTGACGCTATCATACCATATCTCGAGTTTTTGATCGAAAGATGCGGCGAGAAACGACCAAAATTCCACGAAACTCTGCTGGAACACTACATAATCAAGGTGAAATGGCTGATGAAAGATTATGTTTACACTCTCGCGGATAGTAAGTCCAATTTGGATGGGTTTTAGGAGACTTTGATCACTTGGATTGAACTGATTTTAATGAAATATTTGGTTTAGATGAGAGTGTAACCCGTGCCGGCCTAGAAGATGGTGATTTGGGACGAATCCGAAAGAAATTACTCGACTTCCTGACGACCTCTTACTCGTATTCGGCGCAGAAAGCCTTGCTTTTGTTGGACAATCACTTGATCGAGGAGAAAGCCATCGTTTTCGGTCGATTGAAACGGCATGAAGAGGCTCTGGTCCTTTATACTAATGTGCTCATGGATTTCAAAGCCGCGGAAAACCATTGCCTGAGGTATTTTGAGCCGAGGGATAGCGTTAATTCAAAGGTGAGAGGGCGAATTTTGTGTTGTGAGGTGTTTTGAAGGATTTGATTTTAAACTTTTTTATTTTTGGGCGATTTTCGATGTTTTTGGCGATTTTTGATTATAATTTTAAAGAAAATTTCTTTTAGGTCTTCTTCACACTTTATAAAATTTACACCCGCCCGGATCTCGTGGAATTGGCCAACCTCAGCCCAGATATTACCAAAAAGATCAAACCGAACGTGAATGAAGCCCTGAAATTGCTCAGAAATCAGGCCGATAAGATGGATACAGGTCAGATAATGGGAAATTAATCCTTATATTCAATTAAAATGGTCGTTTAATTTGTAAAAATATTGTTTTAGTCAGTGCAATCAAGCTAATTCCTCGGGATGCATCGCTGAAAAAAGTTTGGTCGGCCCTCGAAGCCATAATTGAAGCCACAAAGAATCGGGCCAGTCATCTGGCAATCCTCTCGGCCATCTCGACGCTCGCAAAGACCAAATCCCAGGCACAATTGAAGGGAATTCAATCAAAACGGATCGATATCGACTTTAATGTGGAGTGCTCACTTTGTAATAAGAAAATTGGAACAACGTAAGGAATTTGGAGGGTTTATAAGCGATTTTCAGGAAATTTCCGGGGATTTTGAAGAAATTTTAGGCCTTTAGAGAGGCGATGTGGTAATAGTGATTTTGGAACATTTGTTGAAAAAATTTTGGTTTATTTTAGGGTTTTTTAGAATTTTTAGCCCGTTTTTAAGCAATTCTGAGGTTGAATTCGCCTGTTTGAAGCCATTTTTGGAAAGAGTGGACATTACTTTAGCCATTTTTTGATCAAAAACAACCTTATTTTAGCAAGTTTAGAACGATTTTAAAAAAAAACCTTATCTTTATATTTTTGATGAGTTTTGATTTTTATGAACGATTTTTGGACCTTATTTTAGCCAGTTTTAAAAAATTTTTACTCATTTTTTCAGAGCGTTTGTCCGATTCCCCCAAACTGGAGCGATTGTCCACTTTTTCTGCCATCGCCGGAACGAATCGACCGCCGAACTTGAAACCGCGATGTCCTCGAGCCCGTCTTTCACCACAACTTTCCTCAAAAAACCTCCGAAACAATCAACCTAACGTTCAAAATACCTTTCAGTTACTTTTTTCATATACCATTGGTAATTTTATAGGTCCAAATTAATATCAAGACCTTTTTCTCTAACCCCCTTTCACTTGATCATCCTATTTCGTAAGAATTTTGAAGATTTCTATAGAATTCTCTTTTTCTCTAACCAATCTCTCATTTTTTCTTGATATTGCCCCCCAAAATACCGGTTTTGCGTATTACTGTAACATATATTTCATCAAATTCTACGGGTCTAGTTGTAAATTTTTATTGCCTTAGGCCAATAAACCATTCAAAAGTCCAAATATGCTAATTTCCCGCGCCAAACATAATAATTAGATTCGTTCGCCGCACTCTGTAACGCGCCTCACTAATGCACTGTGCGTAAAAAAACAAGAAAAAAAGAAATGCACGTTGCCCTCGAAACATTCGTGCACAGTGCGGAGATTTTTGGTCTTTCGCAAAGCGCACTGTGCAAAGAATTTTGGGCAGAGAGAGTTTGCACAGTGCGGGAAAGTTTGGGGTTGTGACTGCACGGTGCGGAGAGGTTTTGCGTTTTTTTTTAATTTTGTCGCACAGTGCGTTGGAAATTTGAAAACCGCACAGTGCGTTGGGAATTTGAAAAAATTGAACTGCACTCTGCAAAGAATTTTGGGCAGGGTGAATTTGCACAGTGCGGGAAAGTTTGGCGTTGTGATTGCACGGTGCGGAAAGGTTTTGAGTTTTTGAAATTTTTCGCACAGTGCGTTGCGAAATTTGAGAACCGCACAGTGCGTTGGGAATTTGGAAAAATTGAACTGTACTGTGCAAAGAATTTTGGGCAGGGTGAATTTGCATAGTGCGGGAAAGTTTGGGGGTGTGATTGCACTGTGCGGAAAGGTTTGGATTTTTTGAATTTTTTTCGCACAGTGTGTTGCGAAATTTGAAAAAATTGAACTGCACTGTGCAGAACGAAACTTTCGCAATGCGCAATCAAGCGGAAAATAAGATTTTCGGTAACAAAATGAGAGTAAAGTTACAATAAATATCTTTTAATATTGAATTTGAGCCCTCGGGCAATAATCTCCGCGTTTTATCCGAGAAATTTCCAAAAATAATCACTGACCCCATTAGTGACGTCATTGGCCTCCATCGTGCAGAATCTGGAGAAATTACGGGGATTGGAATGCCTCGAGGGCCAAAAATGGCATCAACTGGTTAATCGCATTTCCGCCGCTGCTTTGTTTTTTTTATTTGGCGGATTTCGATTTCCACCGCACCGTGCATTTTTCGGGAATTCGTTTTTTCGAACGCACAGTGCAATCGAACTTTGAGTGCACGGTGCAAAGAGTTTCTGGAGTGCGAACGGAATTGAAGTGCACAGTGCAAAAAGGCGATTCGGACTCGCTACCCAGGAGATTCGGAGTGCACAGTGCAGCCAGGTTCGCCCCGCGGGGACAAATGAGTTTGGGTTTGCGATGAAAAAGGAATTTCGGCGGATCTTTTCGGCGGCGGCTGATGAAATTTTCGAGCCGGATGCACCTTTTCGGCTCTTCCGCCGCCCAAATGGGATTGATTTCCCCGGAGTGCGACGGCCCAAACCCGACGACCCGCACCCTCTTCCTCTCGTTTCCTCCGTGCCCCCGCCGAAAAGCGACCATTCCCGAGAAGGCGACCATCTCGGTGAGCGCGACGATTCCGTGAACCGCGACAAATTTGGAACCTCTTCCGGGAAGAGCGATCCGTTCGAGGCTGGTGAGAAGTTTGACGTCTGCGACAAGGCCACATTCCGCGACAAACTTCATCGCCGAGACATCGAATGTGAGCAACAATCGACCAGCGACGAATTTGTGTCATCGCGCCGCCGCAAAAAATCGACTCACTGCCTCTTGCGACACAATCTCGATCGCTACGAATCGCTCAACGACAACTTTGTCGCTTTCCCACAGGAATTGAACTGCTCCAAATTGGACGTCACTCTGTCGCGCTGTTGTCCAGGTCTGCGACAAAATTGTTGTCATTTGTCGCCATCGCCTTCTTCATCAACCGCACAGTGCACTGACTCCAAGGACGCACCGTGCAATCAAAACTCAGGGAAAGGACGCGACAAAAGTGCACCGTGCAATTGGATTTTGGGCGACGAACCTGCACAGTGCGGAACAGTTTTTGAGCAGAGGTCTGCACAGTGCGCAAAATTTCCAGTCGACTTCTCCGAGCGACAAAAGTTCGGCGTCGAAAAAACCGCACCGTGCGCCCAATTTTCGGGAGACGAGCCTGCACTGTGCGATCCCTTCTCCCGTGAGGAAAACGCACAGTGCACTGCGGGAGTGCACTGCAACGTCCAGCGCCCTTCGGAGACGAGATTTCGACGCGGGCGCGAGTCGCGAAGCTCGCAATTGATCCGAATGCTGCTACCATGGTCGAATACTACCGAAAAATTGGGTAAGTGACTAGTAATTCCGCTTAGTACTAATGAGTCCCGCACTGTGCACTTTCGTCTTTTTTCAGCGAGCGGAAGACAGACTCCGGCGACGCCGTCAGCGCTGGTGACTGATGGAACGACCCCGAATGGGCTCTATCAATTCGCCGACATCACTCCGGGCCAATTTGGCTTGACCAAACAGCTGGTTTTGCGCATCACCCTACCCCACATCTCCTTGTTATTGATTTCCATTGGCTACGCCTTGGCGGGATGCTGGATTTTGACGGCGATAAACTACAATGCGGACTCGGTGGAGGCCATGGATCTAATTACAGAGTAATTTTCGACTCTAATCTTATATCATTTAGGACTTTTTACCAAATAATTTAAAATTTTCAGCACAAAAATGCGATTTTTGTGGGAAATCAAGTCAAATATGGAGAGTGCTAGCTACAATGAGTTCGCAAATTCGATGGAAGATCCGTTTACCAACTTTGCCAGTGGATTATACAAGGTTTATTCCAAATTTCCCAGGTCTACGGCGGTTTTGGAAACTGCCCGAGGGAATACAAATGACGTCATTAAAGGTGGGCGCGCTTTTGAAACTGTCATATAGCAGTAATGGTAATAAAATAGGGCTAGTTGTAACAGTTCAGAAGTGATTTTTCGATAAAAATCCAATTTTTTCGTTGCACGGTGCGAAAAAAATTTAATGCACTGTGCAAAAAATAAAATAAAAAATTGCACAGTGCGAGGAAAAATGACTATTGCACTGTGCAGCAGGGTAAAATCTTGGGTGAAATGAATTAGGCGATATATTAAAAATTTTTTTTGACCATCTACATATTATGTATAATTCGTATTCAGTTTTAGTTTTTTTACAAAAAAATGATGACTTTTTGAGATTTTCGGTGGTTGAGTTTGATTCCCCCCTAATAAATGCAGTTTTTCGGTCTAAAAATGACGTAATCAGTAGTTTGGTTAATATGCCATCTATATTAGGCATTATAAGAAAATCGAAAATTCATGAAAACTTCCCTTTTTTGGCAAATTTTCATGTTTTTTTGGTTTCTAAATGGCAGAAAATCTTAGGTTTGCCCGAGGAGTTAATGCAAAATCAAATTCACAGACCATTCTTACACCACATTCCATTTCCATCAATTTTCAGGTTGAGCCTGAACTCTCCCCTTTTCTGAACTCTCCACCAATCTGAGCTCTCCCCCCTTTTTCAACTCTCCCCCATTTTGAAAATTGAAAAAATTATGTGTGACATGTTATACGATGCATTTTTTTCAAATCAAGATGTCACACCCAACTTTTCTCAATTTGAAAAAAATTTCCATCGTATAACATGTCACACCTAATTTTTTCAATTTGAAAAAAATTTCCATCGTATAACATGTCACACCTAATTTTTTCAATTTGAAAAAAGTTTCCATCGTATAACACGTCACACCTAATTTTTTCAATTTGAAAAAAATTTCCATCGTATAACATGTCACACCCAACTTTTCTCAATTTGAAAAAAATTTCCATCGTATAACATGTCACACCTAATTTTTTCAATTTTCAAAATGAGGGAGAGTGTTCAAAAAGGGAGAGAGTTCTGCCGCAACGCAACTTTCAGGCCCTCTAACCAACGTGACCTGGAATCTTTTCTTCGTGACCACCACCCTCACTTCGATCGGATATGGCGCGAATGCCCCGGATTCGCTGGTCGGCCGCTTGTTTTGTGTGATCTACATTCTGTTCGGAGTCCCTTTATATCTGATTACATTGGCGGATCTGGCCAAATTCTGCACCGAAGGCATGAATCGATCCTACACCGAGTACCTCAAGTTCAAACATTCCATGAAAATGAAATACAAGCGATGGAAAATTAGGAAAAATCAGAAGCCAAAGGAGACCAAGGACTCGGATGAGTCCGAGAGCCTCGATATTGAACGAGTTATCATTGCCGGAGGCGAAAATGAGGTAATTTTTTATTTTGTCATTCTTGACAAAGGAGTTGGACGATTGGGGAAACCGAAAAGTATTATTTTTCTTCGATGCAAGTGTGAAGTTAGGATAATCGAGGGTGCTGATTTTGAAAATAACATTCTTTTTTTTTTTTGATCTTTACCTTTTCCTTAAGTAGTACTGTAAAGTAGTATTTTTTTGAATTTTTTTCACAAACACTCGATTTGGGGGGTTTCGATGGTGCTGATTTCGAAAATCTTATTCATTTTTTCTGATTTGAAAGCAGCACCATCGAAAACAATCGAGTATTCACGAAAATTTTACAGTACTATTTATGGAAAAAAGTAAAGATCAAAAAAAAAGAATGTCATTTTCGAAATCAGCACCCTCGGTTATCCTAATTTCGACATTTGCATCGAAGAAAAATAATACTTTTCGGTTTCCCAAATCGTCCCAGTTCCTCTTGACAAGTATAATATAAAAAGGTTTTCTAGTGTTAATTTTTTTCGGTTTTGAAGTAAATATTGCCATTTTCAGGTCGCAGAGTTCCTCTGGACTCATTTGGAGAACACACAATTCGTAGAGATCCCGTTTATATTGATCTATATCATCCTTTTATCCTATATCGCGGCCGCCTCCTACCTCATCGCGTATCTCGAAAACTGGACAACCCAAAAAGGATTCTACTTTGTGATGATGTCTGTGCTAACCATCGGCTTCGGAGATGTTGTCCCATCCAAGGACAAGCACGTTCTTCCCATCTTATTTATCCTTTTATTGGGATTAATCATCACAACCACTTGTATCGACATTGTTGGGGCCTATTATATCGACCAGTTGCACTTTTTTGGTAGAAGAATCGAAATCGAGGATCCTTTATTGTGGCTGAAGGCCGTACAACAGAAGCGGATCAACGCAATGAAGAGAGAAGCCATGAGAAAACTTTTTGAGACGGTCGCTGCGTTAAATCGACTGCATTTTGATCGTACGTTAAGATACAGTAAAAGACAAGTATGAGGCTTAAAGAAGAAGAATTAGGCTTTATTTTGAGCCTATACATTCATCCTTAGGCCTATGACAAAAAGAGTTATAAAACATTCAAATCACCTTATACTTGATGTCATCCTAGGCAAGAGAACTCATTCTAACAAAAAAGTGTCTGTCAAAAGACGAAATCCTTTATAGTATACTCATAATATAGCTATGACTAACTGATTTTTCGCCACAATCATTTAAAATTCCAATTTTTTTAAGCCCTACAGCTTTGATTTTCAAAGCCATCTAAAACAATATAAAACCCCTTCAAATTTCAGCCGCCTCTCTTCAACAACGCATTGCAACTGACGATCCTGAATCAGCGATCATTAAGTTGACAGAGATCACCGGCGAACCTCCAAATCACTTCAGGAATTCGCTCTTTCCGGACCCTCCACCTCCCCCGTCCAACCTAAAAGTCTTCAACCCAACCGCCGAATCCATCTCGCTGAAATGGGATCCTCCGGTGATGGTAGAAGAATCCAAAAGGTATTGGTACACCCTGTCGTACAAAACTCGGACCCCACAACGACGACCAAATGCTACAGTAATCGATTTCGTGAATCAGAATCACTACGAAATGACCGATCTAAAGAGCTTCACTCTGTACGAATTCTCGGTGGCCACAACGACAAGATATGGAAGTAGCAAGCCCATCAAGTGTCAGGAATACACTGGTGAGATTTTGAGATGATATTTCAAGATTTAGAGAGATAAAATTTACAAGATCTAGATGTATCATGGATAATATAAATTTTGCTTTTTTAGAACCCTGTACTGTACCTCAATCGCTCAAATTAGAGGCCATTGGAGCTGAGAAAGCAACAATCTCATGGAAAGCACCTAGGAAGAACAAGGCCCAAGAGGTGAGTGATCGAAATTATATTATACTAGGTAAAAATTTAGAAGCTAAGTCAGAGATGGCGTATTTTACCCCAAAAATTGCAATTACAGTATCATGCTGGCATCAATCACCAAAAAAAAAACAAAATTTTCGAATGAAATTGTAAATTTATGTACATGAAGTCAAAATTTTAGGTATCATTCTCTTTTAAATCTTTTCTTAATGTTCTTCTTCTCCTTGGGGATGCCGGACCACCATTCTTTAAACCTGGATTCGGAATACTGCCCCTTGAAGAAGAGTCGAGCCTCCAGTTGACTCAACTTTGTGGGCCTGCTGTCTTTGTCGACGGTTAATGGGAATATTCGTTTCTGACGGGCGACATAGGTATCTCGGAGAACTTTGATCAATTCTTGGGCTGAAAAGATCAACCTTTGTTTCAGGAGGAAAACTTAGGCAAAGTCTAAAGATCAAAAGCACCAATAATAAAATAACTTACCATGATGATTTCTCCCATCATTCCTCAACACATCCGCGATGTGCAAACCCAGTTCATAAAAGAACCTTTTGTCTGTTTCAAAATTTAGAACCCAAGGCCCAGCTTGTAGGATTTGTTTTGAAGCCGCCGTATAAGTAGTTGGCATAACAAGCTCCGCGAAAGGGAGATCCTTCAGAAGCCAAACACTAATGTTTCCTTTGATGCCACGAGGCGGAATTGTGGTGTTGGGATGAATCTGAGCGTATGGAAGGACTTCTGAAAGAAGAAAAACTTATTAGGCAAAAGCACTTCTGTTTAGACAAGCCTTCAAAAAATTAGGTAATAAAATTACATTATTCATGGCAAATACATCACTTCCGCTCTGATAAGTCCCTAAACACCAAGAAAGGCCCACAGAAAGTCTCACCTTTAGTTGTCTGCGGTCCTAACAGACACTGCACATGCGTGTGGGATGCAATAATATCATCCAGATCCAGATAATCCTCTTCCACCCAAATCGCGTTGTCCATTTTCCATTTGTTGTAACGCGCATTGGCTTCTCTTCTCAAGGCATTTGTACCCATCTCCTGTGAGATTGTAGGCAGTAATCACATCAAACGCAAAAAAGTTTTTGTGGAACTTTAAAAATAGTTTTTCCCACTTAATTTGGGCGCAGCTCGCCGAATTGGCGTTCTGCAGACTGCGAGAGAAGAAACAAATATACGCAAAATTACCGTAGCAGTATGATTACAAAGTCAAGAATAGGGTACATTGGGAGTAATGAAGACTATTTCAGAGTTATGTGGTTATGTTTACAAAGGATCCAATGCCTCCGACAACTCAATGGACCAGGTTTCGGGTTGGGCGTGTAAAACGTTTTACGTTCAGCGACCTTCAACCCGAAACTCGTTATATTTGCGCTGTTACGGCAGAACACAATGCTGGCTTGGCCACAATGTCCAAAACATTAAGATTCCGGACCAAAACTCGCAGTTCTTTGAAGAATCCGCAGTTCGATCAGGAAGAAGATTCGATCGCCGTAAACATGGCTGTAGAACAGGTGAGATTACTGTAACAATTATGCGAAAACACTCATAGGCCTCTCATTCGCCCACTCCGTCGTTGATGTGGCGTCCTCAACCGTTCTTTGCTCAGATTCAGAATGCACTTCAGACCCATTTCCTTTCCTCACCCCTCAGATTCAGATTTTTGCCCGACGCGAGCTCGCGCGACCTTGTTCTCAACGACACTGATGATAATTGAATAATTTTTGGTCTGTTTTCCATTTCATATCATTCTCTTCACTTTTTGAATAAATAGTTTTATCCTTTTGCAATGATTTTATATTGTAGTAGACAAAAAGGTGACAAATCTTTGAGAAACAGTAATATTTTGATAAAACTTTATTCTAATCGTTTGCAAAAGAGTTTATTTACCATTTGTGTCTAATTTCTTGTAATCTATGGCGAAGTCCAGTGATTTGGGAGGTCTTTTCGGTTGAGAATTCTTGTCCGAGGCAGTTGTCAACGAGAGGTCGCATACGGTCGATACATTGCTTGAGGTCCGTGAACTGGAAATAAAATACAAATTAGCCGTCTTTAAACTCATTCCAGCTTATTACATTCCTCTAATCCTTTCTATCAATACATAACAAACGTTACAATATTCCAGTACCCACCTGATATTCACTATCCAGGAAAGCCAGTCCCAAATGAAGATCCAACTCTTCAAATGCATAGTCCAGAGTCTTATTTGTTATATCCTCACTTGTATCCGCGAAGATATGTAGTCAGCCGAATGTAGAGTAATAAATATAGATAGATTTATTACAGAAACAATAATAGCAATATATAGCGTAACACACACATTCCCTGAATAATATATTCCTCCTTGGCCATGGGACAAAACGTAATGCCAAAGGTCTTGTAGTTTTCGTCACGGGACCGAACATCTCCCTTTGTGGAAAAGGATCATTGCTTGGCTTTTTGACGACGGCCGGAGAGCTGTTGATAGTCCAAGGGCTTCTTGGCGTTTCGGCTGGGCTGTATTCGCCGGGCAACGGTAGGAGGTGCGTCAGGTCCATTAGATCGGTTCGGAACAACCGGAAAATAGTGGGATAGATTAGAGGAATAACTTGCCGGGGGTGTATTATTCTCTTCTTCCACCATCGTATCGTACTCGTAAGGGAACCGCTTCCAGATTTGGTTGAAGTGGCGAGTGTGTACTTGGTCCTGCACTTGAACTTTTGCCATAGTCTTCCCCAAGAACTGAATGAGTTTCCCAGTGACTCGTTTACCAGTAACGAGTTGTATCGTCACCATCTCTCCCTTTGTAAAGAATCGAGGCCTGGCTCCATGGTGGCTATCGAATTTCTTCTTCATGATCTTCTGGGACCGATTTAGCTGTGTAATGTCATCGGATTTGTCCATATTTGGGAAGTGAGGTGAGTTTGGTTTGAAAACATCAAAGGGTGTACGGAGTTGGCGTCCAAAGAAGACTTCGTTGGGGGTTCGTCCATCAAGAGCTTCATTGGGGGTGTAATTGTACGTAAGTACCGCTGTATCGAGGGAAGATTTGTTGGCTTCCAACGATTTCTTCAGTGTCTGGACTGATCTTTCAGCGTGGCCATTGCTTTGAGGCATCCTGGGTGCGCTTTTGAGGTGGACGATCTGGAGGTCTTGACAGAATTTGGCGAACTCTTCGGAAATAAACTGTCCTCCGTTATCTGTGACAAGAGTTTCCGGGGCTCCAAAGTGTCGGAACAGGATGTGTAAGTAGGCGATCAAATTTTTGGAGTCCGCAGGGTTCATCCAGTGCGCGTCCAGGAGTTTGGAATAACTGTCAACGACAACAAGGAATTGATGACCTTTCTTAGGTTCGGCGAAATCGAGATGAATCCTAGACCATGGTTTTTGGGTTTCTGGCCAAGGTTGGAGTGGGATTTTGCGGGGTGTATTGGCGGTGTCGATGCAATGTTGACAACCTTTAACCGCCATCTCGATATCCTTGCCCATTTGAGGCCAGTAGAAATGGCTTCGTGCCAATTTCTTCATTCGTGTAGTTCCTGGGTGGGCTTGGTGTAATTTTTCGATAACCTTTTTCCTGTAAGCTTTTGGGATCATCACTCTGTCATCGTAGAGTAGGATTCCTTTGACTTCTGATAGGGAATCTTTGATTAGAACGTAAGGTCTTAGCAGCGGATCATCTTTGTCGGAGGTTTTCCATCCCTTCGAAATTCGTTGTATGAGGGTTTGGAACAGGGGGTCGGCTTTCGTCGCCTGGATGAACTCCGATTGAGTGGTGTACGTACTCAAATTTTCAGTGATGACTTCATTGATTTCCCTTTCCAGGACTTCGAAGGAGGCGATGACCGTCTCGAGTTCTGGGTCCTCATCTGATCGAGCTGCTTGGATCAGTCTGGAGAGACAATCGGCTTGACCGAATTGATCGGTTTTGATGTACTCTATGGTGAAGTCATATCCAATAAGACGTAACGCCCATCTCCTGAGTCTTGCCGCGGTTCGGTCACTCAGTCCTTTTGTATTTGAGGGATTTAGGAGGGTGAGTAAGGGTCTGTGATCCGTCTGTAGTATAAATTTTCGTCCCCAGACGAACTTGTGTAGCCGCTCCACTGTAGTGACGAGGGCAAAGGCTTCCTTCTCAATTTGGCTGTAGTTCTGTTGAGAGGGGCATTTGACAGCACCGAATTTGTAGATCCATTGCTGAATCTCTGTCTCTTCGGTGATTTCCTCAGACTTCTGAAGACTTTCGGACAACACTTCAAGTTCTGGTGTCAACTTCATCGATTTTCTGATTGCATCGAGCCCGCCAAGTGCTAGGAATCCGGCAAGAATTGAGAAGAGGAAAACAAAAAAGATTATTGGGCGAAAATCTGAAAAAAAACATTATTTTAGTTGAAGAAAGTGTAGTAGAAAAACACTTCAAAAATCAAGTTAAATTCCATTTTCCAGCGCCTCCCCAGCTGCTAATGAGACTCGCAACTAATCATCTTACTTACCAACTCCATTCCTCCAGATTGAGATGTCCGTTGGCCGCTGACTCATGGCTTTCTTCAAGTATTATGAACAACAAAAAATCTTTTCGCTAAGTCGATTGTCGCGCAAGATAAGAGCCGGTGTGCGTTTGGTGGCGGTCAGTGGGTCATGGGGTTCAAGAGCGCGGCGGGAGTTTGTTCTCATGACGCGGGGAGTTCGAACATCGCTTACATAACCTATATTATAGTAGGTGATAAAGATGTGCAATTATCAGCTCAAATTTAAATAGACAACAAACATCAGATCAAATCACAATCGTTTATGTAAGACAAAAGACGTTGGCCATGTTATACAGTCATCAATAATATATTACACCATATTCCACATGCTCAATTTGAAGACATTACTGCCAGTGCAGATCATATACTCGCTTCTTCCCTTCCGACGCTTGTCAAAGCCGTGTTTGTTCAGGATATCATAGTTCTTGCATTCCTAAACCATAAAAAACATGCAAAAGTAGACTTACATGTTTATCGCTGTAATAGAATCGGATATTCCCCATAATTCGGAAAGTGGCCTCCAGAGTGGACAATATCTCACAATCGGTGGCCATCTCCTCGAGGATTTCAAAGTGATCCGGATTCTAAAACATGAAAAAAATGAATACAATACCTACATCAACAGTTGAGAAAGTCGCTTCCAATTTGAATTCACAAAGACGTGGAAAAGCGGCCGACAGAGTGATTAACAATGTCTCGTAATACTCCTTGTCATGTCCAGTGGTTAACTGACAAACAATCTCCTTGACGTCTTCGTTCGGTTCATGACTAAAAACACAAAATACACATTTTAGATAACACTGACCTAATATCCTCAAAAATATCAAGTGGAAAGTTCGGAATGCTGATAATTTCGGCCTTCAGAGAACGGAAAATGTTACAATCTGAAGAAAAGACCATTATTCCAGACAATAAACGATACGAACTTACAATTCGCTTCTTCTCCATAATCTTCGACTCTCAGCTTGTGAACCGAAATGTCAGACAAATGTTGAAGACAACGACTGTCACACGACAAATCAATCCTGTTCATAAGATCCGTATTACCTCTTAGTCCGTCAAGGAACGCTTTCGACAACCGGGAATGAGTATCAGGATCGTATCCTTGAAGAGTTCCGTGGATGTTCAGATGAATAAATTTCTCTGTTGGCACCAAGGCGAAGAACTCTAAAAACACAAAGCATATATATTAACGGGCTATTGTTACCTTTCACAACATTCCCACATTGTTTGGCTACCATTGGATCCATCAGAAATCCATCAAATTCGAAATCGACATTCTGGTTGGGCGAGAAGAAAGATAAATAATTCTCGAGACGTTGCAGATCACCAGAACGGAACTGCAGCACTGACAGAGACTTGAATCCATTGGAGATTTCAAACGAAGTTGAATGAAGACGAATGAACAGTGAACTGGCCTCGGATTCAGTGAAAGCTGATAAGAATGAGCGGTTGATCAGCTAAAACAAGGTAATTAATATTACAGTCGGACGTCTGGTGTTAGGACAAGTTCAAAATCTTCGTCTACTCTCTCCAGGAAACTGTACTAATGCAATTGCAGCATTTTCACCAATTGGAATAAAAATCGGTCGATAAATCGAATAAATCCAGGTGGCAACCTGCGCCCGCCATTTCGCAGGCTGCGGAATTTACGGTATTCGCAAAATAAAAAACTTTGAGTTCACAAGTCGATCGTACGATCGACTTGTGAACTCAAAGAACGATCGTTTCGTAGAGATCCGGAAGATCTCCTACATGACAGTTTATTGGCTTTTTTAAATGTTTTTATTACTGTGAACCTACTATAACGCCTACTATAATATAAATTCCTCCCCAATTCTTACCCAAGGTCTCCAAAATTTGTTTTTTTCCTGTTTCAGGGCATTGACATAGTGATGGACAAACACCGACTTGCTCGACTTCCTCAAAGTTTCCTTGCGTTTAGAATTTTTGACCCATCTATTTCCAGGCAATTGGAAATTAGGAGATCGGAGTTGAAGTTCGGAGCGATCTCGAGTTGCGGCTAGCATTGAACCCATAAACTGAGTGACTGATTACTCTGTGTGCAATTTTTATCAATGATTTTCGTGAATATTCTAGACTAAAATCTAATTTTTATTTGAAAAAATCAATTTATTTTCAAAATGAAGAACAAGTGAGATTGGTGGATGTTGAGAGATTGGGTTATTGGATAGTTTTCTGCATTGCGTGACGGAGTTGATGCTTGAGGTCCTTGAAACTTGGGCGATGAGAGGGTTTGCGGCTCCAGCATTTAGTGATAACCTGGGGAATCGAAAATTTTTTATATTATACTAGCCATCTAGTGCAACAAAAAAATCAAAAATTTTTGGTGAATTAAAGGTAAAACTACAATTGATTCGACAAACTGAAGCCTCTTATTCCTTATTTTGCCTCCAAATTAAGCTAGATTCCTGCTAATTCTTCGTCTAAACCTCACCGATTCCAACTTGTTTGGTGTTAGGTTCTCCTCGATTTCCAAAGAATTTTCCATTCTAAAGGCTTTGCTTTTGATATTCTCAGGCTTCTCATTCTCAAACGGTAGCATTCCTCCATGACACATTGACCAGACCATTGACCCAAATGTGTAAACCATTCCCGTAAAGGAATACTGCTCTCCGGCCAGATTTCCTTGGCCGGTTGGGGTAGAAATAGGCTCCGGAAGACATTCCCAAGGGCTCCATCGAATTTTATCCAACGAATGGCAGCCCGTTTCTAATGGGAGAAGCTCGTCCGGGAGTAGCCCGTAGATTGCGAGCTTAATATTATGGTCATAAGTCAGCATTAGGCAGTCTAAATCGAGCTGATGATGGACAAAATTCATCTTCTCCAGATATCTTAGCGCGTCGCAGGTCTGAAGGGAGAATCTGAGGAGCTGAAATGGGTAATAATAGAGGTCTTAGATTGCTGAGTCGTATACGAAGTATACTTTTCATCTTCCACTTACTTGGTCTTTGTCCCAATGTTTTCGAACGTACGCCGCCAAACTTCCGTAGACAATATCTTCCAAAACTAGAGTGCACTCGGTTGAACAAGGACTGCAGATTCCCCAGAGTCGCCAAATCCTTCTGAAATTCAACTTTCAGCCGTTATATTACACTAGACATCAGCTACGTCAATTGTAATATAAAATGATTTTGATCTCAAAATTGATCAAGTTCAATACCAACTTACTCATTCCCGAAGATTAGCATCCTCTCGGTTTCATTTCGAATATGGTTGATGACATCCTCGTTCTCTGTGTTGATGTTCATACACATTACTGGAAGTCCTCGTTTCGAATCAAAACAGGCAGTCTTCTGAGACAACAGCCCTAGGGGAAAGATCTCTGGAGCAATGGGAAACGAGAGTGCTGGGATTATGGGTAGTTTGGGTTGAATTTGAAAGGAGTCGAAGACCGTTGGCCTTTCGATTGGTCGCAGGTTCTGGGATCGGATGAACTCTTCAAGACGAACTTTCCTATCTTTGAGCATTACAAAATGTTTGCTGAGGAAAGTGACCTAAAATACAAGGAATTCTGTAAAGTATAATATATCGGTGTCAATGTTTAGTAAACGGTTAAAAAAATGATTTCTTCCCATGCCGGGAATCGAACCCGGGCCGCGTGGGTGAAAGCCACGAATCCTAACCACTAGACCACATGGGAACACACTTCCAAATGCTTTGATTTCAGCCTGTGTGCTTGGCAGTAAAAACTGATAATACCTGAGCTTTAATGATGACATGATCATTGGCCAAAAATACGAGCAGCCATTTCCTGTGAGTTCCATACTTTTCATAATCGGCTGAGCGTGGGGCAGTGATCAAAAAACAATCGCCTGAAGAAAAGTCATCAAAATTTTGAATGAAAAAGATAAAAAAATCCAAGCGAAATATCGGTCTGTCGGGAAAAAAACGGCGGATCGTCGCGCCTCGGAGTCGCTCATCATCGCTTTGCGACTGCAAGCCGCGGCTTGCGATTTGGTGCGCGATAGCGGCGAGGCGAGACATTTTGCTGCGACGATCCGCCTTTATTTTCCCGACAGACTGATAAAAGTTTTTGTGATTTGCTACAAAAATGGCTCGTATTTTACCTTGATCAGCCAATAATTGCGTGTGAAGGGTTTCATCATCAAGGAGAGTGCCGAAAAAGAACAAATAAGAGTGTAGCCCCTCGTCGATCCTTCGCTTTCGTTGTGAATACGTCTTGGCACTCCAGATGTGACGTCGTGTTCGCAGAGCACGATGGGAATCCGCCGAGTCCGTAACAGTGTGCTTGTCAAGGTATTGAGGGTGCATCCTGCAAGACCGAAAAGAAATATCGAAAGGCATCAACAAATCGTCGAAATTTCAAGTAAAAAATCTCGGAAGAGGTCAATATACTAAAAAAACATGTGGAAAAATAATCCGAAAAGTAAGAGTGCCCCAAAATTACCACGAAACAAAGTCGGCCAGCCTTCGCCAAAGGTATGACGTCATGTTTTTTCCGGTTGCGCAACCCCAACCGATCGCTTGTGTTTTGAGAAATGAGGGAGAATTTTGTAGAAAATCCCATAATTGGGGTGTTTTCGACTTGCAGATATAGTGCGCGCTTCTGAGGCCTCTCAGCAAAGTCGCATTGGCATCTGGGTTTGAAAACATTAAACTAGAATTTACGGTATATTTTATATTATGTGCTCAAGATTACAAACTGATGTTTGAACAGTAATTTGAATACTGTTGAAAAAATTACAAGTCAAAAATTATTTACACAGGAAGTACCCCAAGCGCGACGCTCAGATTTTCTTTAAATTTTGCACACACGTCGCACGTCAAACTGAGGATTCCGGTGACCGGAAGAGACTCTTCGCTATCGTTTTTTTACATTTCGTCTATTTCGCAGAGAAAGAGAGAAAAAAGACACGCAAAAACGTACTCTCTCGCCCCAAAAATTCCCCATTTCTTCCGCGACGAAACGTTTTTTCGCGTCTTTTTTTGGCGAATTACCAATCCATTCACCGGACTGTTTTACCTTATCTCAGTTTGACGTGCGTCGGGCATCAACTAAATATCAATTCCTGAAAGTTTTAGCTCGCGCTTTGCAAGCGCCACCGAGATATTGAACCATTTTTGCCGCGAAGAGAGTACGCTTAACGCGGAGAGCGGTAAGAGAGAAAAATGTTTTTTGGCCATAACTTTGGCAGTTTCGTGCGGAAAAAATTGATTTTTTGTGGAAACATTACCCTTTACGGTGGAAATAGGTATGCAACTTTTCGCGCCGAAATTCGGCAAAAAGTCCTAAATTTTCGCCGGCTTTCGATGTAAATCTCGGCCGTTTCTGCAAAGCGCGAGCTATATTCTGGCATATATTCTAGAAAAAATTATTTTAAATTTGTGCCAAGTGTCATCAAAATCTGAGCGTCGTACTTGGGGTACTTCCCCTGTTAATTATCGATTATTTAATAATTTATTGTAAGCTCAATACCATGAAATGAATAAAAGAAGATGAAAGCACCATGTAGACGAACTAAAAACTGATATCATAATAAATTAGGGTCTTAACACGAGATCTGAGTGTAATCTCCGAATTGCCGTCGCTCGAATTTGATGTCATTCCCGTACATGGGCCGGATGATCAGTTCGGCCGCGACTCGCATTTCGTGCGTTTTCTTCAGGGATTTCACTCTGAATCGTCTCATAATTTGGGAGATTACGCATTTCTCTTCCATCATGGCGAAGCGTTGGCCTGGAAAGAACGAATTGAATTTGGTATTAAGTTTTGTATTAACAATGGCATATCTGATGTCTAGTGTAATATAAAATAAATTTTGTCCATAAAATTTTCGATTTCTTTACTCACCAATGCAATTCCTGGACCCCGCGGAGAACGGAATGTAGGCGTATGGATGTTTGAGGTCGGAGTCGATGAATCTCTCGGGATTGAAGGCTTCCGGATCTTGCCAGAATCTCTCGTCTCTGTGGACCATTGAAGGGATGATCACCACTCCAGTTCCCTTCGGAAGAATGTGTCTATCTAAACAAGGAAGTGAGATTTTATCAAAGGATCTTGTTTCTGATATCTAGATTGGGGTGGACGTGAGTTTTGAAAGTCATAAACTAGAGGGTACCATTTGAGGGCACAGAAAGTACGTTTTGAGGGATCGTGGGGACAAAATGAGGTTTAAATTAACTTACGAACTTTGGTATCCTCGGTCATTTGTCTTGCAAATAGGGGAACAGAGGGATATAACCTCAACGTCTCTTTGAAGCAGGCTTCCAAGTACTTTAGCTTCCCCAAGTCTTCAAAAGTCGGGATCCCAGTTTCTCCCAGAACTTCATCAACTTCTCTCTGAACCTTGGCCTGAATCTCTGGATTATTCCCCATCAAATGAAGGAACCAATTCATCGCAGCTGACGTAGTATCATGCCCTTCAAAAGTGAAGGTGTCCACTTCTTCTTGAAGTCCCTCCATATCCAATTGGCCTTTATCCATCATGTCTAACATCAGATCCAGAAAGGCCATACGTGAATGTCCGGATATCCGCTCTTCTTCCAGTAGTTTCTGGACTCCTCCGGCTTCATCGACAGCTTTTTTCCGAGCCATAATCACCTTTCCAGTGAAGTCATGAAGTATGTTGACCAATTTCTTTTCCTCACGTCCGTACCCAAACAGATTCCAGATGATGTCGGGATAATAAAAAGGCTTCACTTGGCGTTGATGTATGATATATTTCATTCGAAATACTGCATCCAAATATTCACTGTTCACTTTTTCTTGGGCTTGGATATTGCATCCCAAGGCGGATTCACAAATGATATCCAGCGTGCACAAGGTTATTGTGTGGAAGATGTCCGCATATTCTCCTGTTTCCGAGAGTTTGTCGAATTTGCTGAGCAATGTGGCGGCATGACGATTGTAGACTTGAACAAAGTCTTTGAGGATATCGTAATGGAACGTCGGAGTGAGCAACTTTCGCCGGGGCCGCCATTTCTCTGGCTTACTGAAATTTTGAGAGGCGTTAGTTAAGGCTTCTTGACTTTCTTTTAGGCTTAATTTTTGTAGGCAAAAAATGTCAAGAATAGTCTTACAATAGGCGCGCATAATTTACTTTAAACGCACATACCTTATCAACAGTCCCTGTCCAATCCAAGGCGTCAAGAAATTGTAGTGGAACATCTTCGTCAGAGTTTTTTGCCCACCCAAAACGGCCTCACATTCCTCGGCGCCATAGATCATGACAAACATGACTGGGCCGAGGTAAACGGTAGCTATCCTCTCATCTCTTCCCTTCAGCATATATCCAAGACCTTGAGCTTGTTCGAAGAACTCTGTAAGGATTAGAAATGAGCTGGAAGTCGGTAATTTTTGGTTTTCTCTAGGAAAAACAGCATGTTCATGTTAGCCAGAGAGCCCAACTTTATGATAAATGAAATACCCTCAACTTACCATCTGGCCGAAACCTTAACTGATGAATATTCCCAATGACGGGTGCTACATCAGGTCCTTGAATTCCAGCTCCATATCTCGCGGCTTTTTTGTAAAGGCTCACAATCCAGTAAACGACAAAGGTCAGCAACCCGACTAGTGCTGCCACTCCCAAAACACCCATTAACAACTAAAATTACGGAATGATCAAAACGAACGAACAAAGGAGTTATCGCAAAATTCACGAAGTGCAAAACGGTTATCAACACAGAGGGTGCAAACACAAACAAAAAAATAAATGAAAAAAACTGTAATGTAAAATGAGGTGTGGAAAGTGCTCATCTTCTAACATCGCAAACTGTGATCGGTACAAGTGCTTTTTTGAACGAAAATTTGTTGGATAATAAGGATGATATTGGACTCTAAACGTGCTCAAAGTGTGGCAATTTTGATGACTTAGCGCAAATTTAGCTCTATTTTTTTGAAGATATTTATAAGCCTCCAAAATTTTTTTATGAATTCATGAAATGCATCGGCTCAATGTCGCAACCCCAACGAAAGAAGAGCTACACCCACCCAATAAAAACGGTGAAACATTCTCGCCTTAAATAGTAGCCAAGGTCATTAGACGGGTTTAAAAGTGCAGCAAGTATGTACCCTGGGATCATAGTACAACTGTTGTAAACAAGTTTCAGGAAGTCTGCTTACTCGAAAAATTGGGAAATAAAACAGCAACAAAACACAATTTAAAGTCCAGGGTCCCTGGAAATTAAAGTTCCGTGCAGAACGAAAAGAAAAATAATAAATGTCCATAAACAAGGAAAGAGTTAGCGACAGGACAAGTTAGTAAGTAGTGTTAGTTCAAACGAAAAGTTATTTTCCAAGTCCAACAGCCCGAGGGTTTGCAATGAGTTCGTTTATAGAGGTCCATTCAGGGTATTGAAGCAAAGATCCAACAATAGGTTAAAAATAGTAAATGTATAAGGTAAAAAGTAGTAAAAATTGCTCAAGAAAATAATAAAATAGTCATCAAAAACATTTGATCACAGTAATCTTCAAATTCCCAGTACTCAGAAATTGCCAAGTCCCGTTGGAGGCCACCTAAATTTGAAACAAAACTTACTAATTTGGCAATGCTATCTACGAAATAAATTAGAAAGACAATCAACAATAACAACACTACTGTTACTCGGAGATCGGGCTGTAATCGCCGAAGGAACGGCGCTTAAACTTGATGTGATTCCCATACATGGGCCGAATAATCAGCTCGGCCGCCACTCGCATTTCATGCGTTTTTAGCTTCGATTTCACTTTGAATCGTCGCATTATTTGAGCGATAACGCATTTCTCTTCCATCATCGCAAATCGTTGGCCTAAAAATGTGAAGGGGGTAGATTAGAAGGCCTGAATTTTTCACCAGGCTGCAACTGCAGAGCTCAGATTTTGGTAAAACTTGGTAAAAATTTAAACACTTCTAAGCTCTTATAGACTTTTACCTCAACCCGTCTTATGGTAACTAAAACAGCAACCCCCTTGAAAATGTTTAGCAATAAAGGAAGCCTTTAAGAAAAAGATTTCTCCTAATGTACCCTCAAGAAGTTCTAGCTAAATACTTAAATTTTTCTTTTAAAATTACCCTCAGAGTGACCTCTTGACAATATTTACTACTGAGAAAGTTAAAGGTAATCATAGATCGTTCCTTTTATAAAAACATCTCTCTTTTCTTTTGCCTTCCAGATTTTTCTAATGTAACTTTGTGACATTTGTTTTGTGTCTGTCTAAGATCAATTAAAAAGCAATTGTTACTTTCGAGAAGTCTATAAACTTTTTTTTGTTACCCTTTTGTTCCCTTTTGTAGTTAGAAAGTAGTCAAAAATCTTGAGTTCAAAAAATGTTCAATCATTTCAACAGGTTAGGTTTTAATAAATATAATTAAGTTAGTGATGGCTATAGTTGATTTTTGATTATTACAGTAAAAGGTCAGCCCTGCTGAAGCACTTATTGTAAGTACATCAAAATCAGGGCAAAATTTGTTGTAAAAAATGCACTCTTTTTAACAGTAAACTTTTGGAGGTTAGCGTAAAGAAAAAGCCTACCAATGCAATTCCTGGACCCGGCCGAGAATGGAATGTAAGAATATGGATGTTTGAGCTCCGAGTCCACAAATCGATCTGGGTTGAAGACCTCAGGGTCTTTCCAAAATCGCTCATCTCGATGGACCATCGATGGGATCACCAGGACTATTGTGTTCTTGGGAAGGGTGTATTTGTCTGCAAAAATGAATGGCTAAAGGGATAAATTGTGTAGCATGGAGATGATTAGTTTATGAGCATAAAAAATGACTTCATATCGATGTTAAAAATGTCAAACAGCAATAAAAAGATTTGCTGTTTTGAACAGAGACAGACCAGATTTTTTGCCAACTTACGAACTTTTGTGTCTTCAGTCATCAACCTCGCAATCAGCGGAACAGATGGATATAACCTCAACGTCTCTTTGAAGCAGGCTTCCAAGTACTTTAACCTCCCCAAGTCTTCAAAAGTCGGGATCCCAGTTTCTCCTAGAACTTCGTCAACTTCTCTCTGAACTTTGGCCTGAATCTCTGGATTATTCCCCATCAAATGAAGGAACCAATTCATCGCAGCTGACGTAGTATCATGCCCTTCAAACGTGAAGGTGTCCACTTCTTCTTGGATCCCCTCCAGATCCAATTGGCCTTTATCCATCATGTCCAACATCAAATCCAAGAAGGCCATTCTCGAGTGCCCATCAGATCTCTCCTGCTCCATCAATTTCTCCATTCCTCCGGCTTCATCGACGACCTTTCGTCGTTGAACGATCGCTCGATTAGTGAATTCATGGAGAATATCGACAATCTTTTTTTGCTCCTTTCCATAGCCAAACAGTTGCCAGATTGGCTCGGGATAATAAAATGGCTTCACCTGTCGTTGATGCACAATATATTTCATTCGAAACACCGCATCCAAATATTCACTGTGCACTTTCAGCTGGGCTCCAATGTTATAGCCTAAGGCGGATTCGCAGATAATATCCAGCGTGCACAAAGTAATCGTATGGAAAATGTCCGAGTACCCTCCGGTCTCGGCTAATTGATCAAATTTACTGAGTAAAGTGGCGGCATGTCGATTGTAGACTTGAACGAAGTCCTTGAGGATGTCGTAGTGAAATGTTGGCGTTAGCAGCTTTCTTCGAGGCCGCCATTTCTTCGGCTCACTGATCAATAATCCCTGACCAATCCAGGCAGACAGAAAGTGATAATGGAAAGGTTTTGTGAGCGTCTTCTGACTGCCAAGGACTTGCTCACATTCCTCGGCTCCATAGAGGATGATAAAGGGTAAAGGGCCGATCCAAACCGAGACTATCCGCTCCTTCAAGGTGCAGAACATATAAGAGAGGCCTTGGACTTGCTCAAAGAACTCTGAAAGTTGAGTTCAACTCTACCAAATTTATACCATGACTTTGAAATCGTTAATTACATTCATAAGAACATACCGTCTGGCTTAAACCGGAATTGATGCACATTTCCCACCAATGTGGCGGCTTGAGGGCCCTGAATCGGATCGACAATTTGATGATTTTTTCTGTACAACCTCGCCACCCAGAAGATGATCGTCGTGATTGCGACGACCACCGCCACCGCACCCAGAAACCCCATCAAGTCTGATGGAAAATATGGAGTCTAAAAAATTAATAAAGGTTATATACTGATTTTAAAAGTCATAGGTTTGCTTTAAAAGAACGCATTGACAAAGTTAAAACCGCTGTTACAAATTTATGGTTTAAAAATCATGGGAAGAATGTCTATGAGCCGAGTAGGTCTCTTTAGTGGACTTTACAGCAACAACAAGGTAAAGTTAAGAGAAAAGAAGAGCTAATAGATCGGGTTGCCACATTTATGGTCAATAAAAAGGTTTACAACGTTGGAAGGGGCTTAAAAATTCGATAGAAACAAAAATGAAATCATCCAAGAATTTGCGAAATAAGACATTAGAGTAAATTCAAAGGGTGACATAAACTTTTTTAGAGTGTAACAACAAAATTGAGCATCGTCGATCATTTATCGATGATTTAAAAAATCGAAAAAAAAACTTTGACTAATTAATTGACTAAAAAAACCACTACTTTCCTCCCAAAAATTACCTCCATCAAGAAAGCCTCGGGAATTTTTCGGAAATAATCCGGATAACCGACAGCCGCTTTCGTAATCCCACCCGTTATCAGATCGCCCCCGTCGCCGTGACCTCCCCATACGCTGCCCTCCGACCTTGAGTCCCATCTTCACCCAATTCTCACGCAATCGCGCAGTCGCTACAAAAGAATCGGCTGAAAAAAAGAGTGCAGAATTCAATCCTCAGCCGAGTGAAAATGACCCCATTCCGCCTTTTTGACTGCCGCTCTCGGATTCGCCCTTTACCACGTCTCTTTCGCAATGGCAGGATTAAGCGACGGTTTGGGCGGATTTCCACGATTTGCGCGGCTTACGTTTGTTTTACACAGTTGGTGAGGCGATTGGGAACGGCAGGAAACGTGATAAAAACGGATAATCAAGGAGAAGATGGGATTAAAAATAAAGAAAGCTATAAATAATGGATGACATCGTCGTAAAAGTCATTGGAGATATGTAGTTTTAAAAGGGATGTATATTCAAATTCGGGACATCAAGATTTTTTTTTCAATTTGGCACATGTGTTAGTCCTAGAACGCATATAAATTCACAAAATTTTTTAAGAGCGGCTTGTAGCGACAGTCGAGATATTTAACAATCTTTGCTAACTAGTAAGAGGGCACGGAAAGTCCGGAGAACAAGCGGCAATATTAATTTTTTTGGCCGTATCTTTGACAATTTCGGTGGCCAAGACTCAATTCTTTGTAAAAAAATTTACTTTGCAGTAAAAACATTTTACAGTTTTTTGTGCCATCACTCGAAGAAAATTGCTAAATTTTCTTCAATTTTTGACTTGTTGTTAAAGATTTGGATTGCTTTAACAAAACATAACCCAGAACCTTACAATATGCCTTCGAAAAGTGTGATTTTGATTTGTGCCGCGTTTCATCGAAATCAGGTTATCACGAGGAGTACCACTCGTCTGTTTTCGGTACTCCAAAATTATAGTTTAAACACACAAAAAAACTTTCTTGGAGGAGGGCGTTCATTCCAAGGCATAATCACAAACAACAAAATCACAGATCACCCATTTGAAGATGCAAAAAAAGGACCTCTCAAAACGGACTAGAAACTCTCGAACGAACAAAAGTCGAGATCGCGAGAGATCTGGCGCCCTCGGTGATATGTTATAGCGCCACGAGACGACCTTGATGACGACGAAATCGGGCGATAAAAAAGTCGATAATTTCAATTCGAAATGCTCGAGCAATCGATTCACGGGGCACTCTGAGGGCACGTTTGTAAAGTACAGGCAGTTGCAGTCGCAAACAAATAGTTCGGAGCTACTTTGGAAATGGCTTCAGCTTAGTTGGGACTGTAGAAAAATGTGTTTTGTGGTGGTGGAAAAAGATTTAGAAATTGATCAGAAAACGGTTCAAACGTAGAAAAAGGGCAAATTTGTTGTTGAAATCGCCAGAGGGCGTTTTAACGACATTACATTTTTCAGTTCTGGGAGACTTTAACAAACGTCGGAAGCAAAAAAGCAAAGGTTGCCGCAAAGAATGAGATTACATGAGTTTTGAGAAGAAAATTTTTTAAATTTAAAAATAGTATTGCTCAAGTGCAACTCTTAAATTTTCAACAACTTAGATAGATGCTTATTTTTTCGAAGTGTTAGCTGGGTGTTTAGGTGATTAAAATTGAGTTATCTCAAAATTTCAAGCTTCAAATTTAAAAATAAAATCTTAAGAGACGCTTCTTCTATGTTAGGAGATTTCCGGTGACATTTTTAACCTGTCGTGCTGCCTTATCTTATAATAAACTATGTGTTCGTACCGGTTTTTTTTATCAATTGCTGAAAGTTTTAGCTCGCGCTTTGCAGGTATAGTCGAGATATTCCACGATCTTTGCGACCGAGAGAGTACAAACAGAAGCACCGTTTTTGGCCATGCCTTTGCCATAAGGTTCCGAAATTAAAAACTAGTTTTTTGTAGAAACTCTACACTGTAGGACATAAATAGGCTTGAAAGTTTTCGGGCTATAATGGAAAAAAAGTGCCACATATTACTATTAGGGTGAACCAAAAGTCTTTTCGTTTTTAAGGTATCTTTTTGTCCGATTGTTTTTGTACGAAACAAAAACTTTTAGATGAATGTATTGTATATATTTTTAAAGGTCTTGAACTGCTTTATCATAATATATATTAAAACTTTTAATTGGTCCTTTATTTAAAATCTTTTAACCTGTAGAAAAAACATGGAAAAATCCGAAATTCGTGTTTTTTTACGTCATTACCGGAAACAAGGCTTTAACGCAACTGCAGCAGCAAAGAAGATAAGCGAAGTTGAAGGCCACAATGTGGTCTCAGATCGTACTGCGCGATTGGTTCAAACGATTCAACGACGGCGACACGGACCTCGAGGGCAAGACATCTTAAAAAACAATTTTGAAGGCGTAATTCACTTCGAGTTGGTTCCAAATGGTCGGACTATCGACGCAGACCTCTACTACGCTCCACTCGATCGAATGTATGCGGCGCTTGGCAAAAAATATCCCGCTTTGATCAATTGAACCCGCGTACCCCTGCAACAAGACAACGCAAAACCTCGCTCCGCCAAACAAACGAAGGAAAAGATCAAAACTCTCGACGCCATTGAACTTCTTCCACACCCAGCATGTAGTTCGCAGCTTGCGCAATACGACTGTCACCTTTTCCGGTCCATGGCGCACTTTCTGCGTTGTCGTAGCTTCAATGATCTGGACGATGTCGAAGACGGGTGCCGCGAGTTTTTCGCCTCTATGAACAAGGAGCGGTACCGCAGCGGGATCGCACAACTTGCCGATAGATGGGTTCAAGCCATAAATTCAAACGGCCTTTACTTCGAAACTTGACTAGTTTTGGTTTGTTGTAAAATTATGTTTAAAATTTTAATAAAAAAAACGAAAAGACTTTTGGTTCACCCTAATAGGAGTCTCGCAAATCACATAAACAGAGTTATTCTAAATACGAGCCAAGTTTGGTCTAAATCTGAGCGTAACACTTGGAGTACTTCCCCTGTACCATTATACATTTGTAAAATACGATGCAGGTATCAATACTTTTTTAATAAATTATTACTTAACTAGGCAAAATAAGACAAAAGCTGTGAGCAAAAATCTTTTCTAAGCCGCCTAAAGAACACGTCAACAATGAATAAACGTTCTGATAAAAGCAGCTTCCACTTCATTAAGCGTCGAGAATCGGGTGAGAAAACAGTCGCGCAAAGATTTTGACGCTTTCAAAAAAGAAAAATTTGAAAAAATCTTCTTTTCAAAGTTTTGAAACATTCGAATTGTCTTTGGAATTTACATCGGAAAAAAGATTACTACGTAATGGCTACTTTTCAAAAAAAATTTCAAATCCATCATCCCTTTTTTCGCCTTCTCCTCAACGAAAACACGATTGAACCGGGTGTTGGATCAAGAAATTCTGCTGATAGAGATACGCAAAAAAGAAAAGGGAGATTCTGGATGGGAATGACAAGTTTTGGGAGGTTCGACTCCCAAACAACGGGGATCCGGAGCGAAAGCGACTTTTTAATGTTGTACAGTTCATCAAAATAATTTTCTCATATGAAGTCAAAATGTCATCATGACGTATTTATCAAATATCACAATCAAATTCCCAAAAAAGTTTTTTTATTTTTAAAATTTTTGTTAAAAAATGCAAACGGGATTTGAATTCTTGTCGAAAGAAAACTCTAAATTATAAATAAGCACATAAAAAATCTGATTAAACGTATTTTGATTACACACATGATCGCCAAAAACGACTTGATCCTGATGGGACTCGAACCCACAATCTTCGGTTTAGGAGACCGACGCCTTATCCATTGGGCCACAAGACCGCGCGACTTTGCACTTTTGCGCCCCTCTTTGCCTTTGATGCCAAAAGCGCGACAACCATAAAATAGCGACACTCAATGTGCAAAAAAATCAGGGTGCGAGCGACACTCGAGAAAAGCCAATTGCACGGTGCGAAAAACAACAAATTGCACAGTGCAAAGTGAACACTGTGGCACAGTGCATGCCACAAAAATAACTCCTGCGAATTTGCAAACAAATTAGGTAATTCAAAAATTAATACTTCATAAATAATTATTTCCAACTCATTCAAAAAATCAAAAAACTTTTTAAATTGAAATCGAAAGCCACCTCATAAAATTTCCCCCTGATTTCACCGCAAAATTGCCTCCGGAGAAGCGCCTTTCGCCGGGTGGAATCATACTCGGTTCGTCTCGACGCTCGGCTGATTAATGGAAAGAGAAAATAAAGGGGGATCCGGGATGACATTCGGCTGCGATAAGGGATCGCGCGACGTTTTTTCGAAATTCCTGGCTGAAAGCGATATCGGCTACCGCGTCTCGAAACAAGTGGCGGAGGCTTTTTGGAGGAAGCAATCTGGACTCTGAATACGTGCAGCACAATGGATAACAGGGGAGTGGAAAATGATCTCGTTGAAGTTTTGAGCTTACTCACAAAATCATAGCACTTTGGTTGTGGTATTCGAA